GATTGGACGACTTTTCTCTTTCAACATATAATATCAAAAATCCAGCTAATGATCTTTTATAAGAAATTTGTTCATAAACAGATGCAAATGGTAATCTGATGCTTATTTAATTTCTTAATTATTGCCAAAATGCTTTCAATTCTAATGTGGATCCCCTTACTAATCAACCATTAAATTTACTTAAAAAAGAGGCTTTACTTTGGGGAATCGAATGTTTGGTTCATTAAATCTAAAAAATCGATGCAATCAAAGAAGGATTGGAATAAATTTTAGAGAAACATATTTTGCCTGAGTTCTAGAATCCAGTTGGATTTTTAAGAGCACGTGCTTGCCATGTTTTTAATGAATATGGAACAATTGAATTCAAAAATAAATAGAATATTCAATTAGCAGTACAAGGAATATCTAAGTGTATTTTGGATAAAGAATTACCAGTGAAAGTAGCAGCTGCAATCTCATTTAGTTAGATATTATAAAATAAAGAAGCTTAGGATTTGATCAGACCATAATTGAGTTAAGTATTGGAAATCTACATCAAATTGATGGATTTAATAGACAATGAAAGGATTGTCAGATCATTGGAAGAAATAGTCAAATATTTTACTAATGAAATTACACCATATGCACATTAATTGGCAGCACATATTGCTACAATATTTTAGAAATATTGCAATAAATAAAATTAAGGTGAGGGGGATTCAGACGATGATGGTGAAGCTGAGTTGGCTGCTTCTGGATGTCTGGAAGCAATAAAGAGAATCTTAAATGCTCCACTTCAATAAGAATCCTATGTGCAATTAGAACCAGTCATATTTCCAATAATCAACTTTGCTTTGACTGAGGCAGGATGTGATTTCATTAATGAAGCATTGGAAATATTAAACTTAATGCTATACAAGAAAAAACAACTAACACCAGGATTATGGTTCTATTATCCAGTGTTATGTTATATTATCATTGGATTGCCTTAAGAAACTAATGTATATGCTATCTAAGGATTGACAGAAGAACAATATATTTTATTGGATGGATGCAAGAAGGATTGGGGTAGTGAATTTGTTACTTAAATGTTGGGTTCATTTAGAAACTACATTCAAAAAGGGGGAAGCACATTCTTGACTTAGACTGATTTCTTTGGAAACTCATTTATTTCATTGATTTTCAGATTTATCCAGAAGATCTATACAATTGCTGAGAATGGTTCAGATGAAACAGATCAAAATCAAGTTACTACCATATTGATTGCTTTAATTGAGAACTTCCCAGGGTAAATAGATAATTTAATTCCACAAATTGTAGACTTCACCTTATTAAATTTATCAGTATTTATATTTTTAAATTATATTTTTAGAAAGAGAAGAAGACTAACAAATTCAAGATGGTTAATATTGGAGTCCTCAATATGTGCATATGGTACAATCCACAACTTGTTCAAAACTACTTGAACAGTAAGGGAATAACTGACTAAATATTGTAGACCTTGTTGTCTATGGAAAAACACTATAAATATGAATGGGATATCAATAGATTGATCTTTGCTCTCTGCTAATTATATTCACTCCCTTAGATACCCAATTATTTGTTGACAGCATCTTCAGAAATAGGAAAGTTGTTTGTGAGATTGTCTACTAAGATTTTAGAATTGAGAGAGGAGGAAGAATCCTGTGAATAAGAGGATCAAGCAGAAGAGGAAGAGGATGATTAAAAGAATAAGGCAGACAAAATCTAGGATTTGGAATAGGATGATGAAGATGATGAAGAAGATGATTATGATGATGAGGAGGATGATTATGCTGAATTATATGATAGTCCATTGGAAGAATACGATGCTATATTATTGATGGAGAAATTGATATTGACTCTACAATAAAGTTGTCCTCAATTGTATACAGGACTATTCTCACAACTAACATAATAAGAGCAAGAACAGATGACGAAGAATATAAAGGAAGCCAAAGAATAATATGATGAATGGATGAAGTAGAAATAGCAATAATAACTGAATAAATGATTATTTATTTATAACATAATTAAATCATATGTCAGGCTGATGATTATCTTTGTGAGCAATCGTTTCCAAAATATCCAACCCAGCATCTGCAAGTGCTATTGCTTATGCAAACTCCTCTGTTGCTACAATTGTTGGGACAAAATTGCAATTGAGCGCAGAACTTGGTAATGTCTGGACATGTAATTGTACCATATTATTATCCCAACTTCACTGATACAACTTGTCCACTTGTTGTACAAGTCACTGCTGTTCCATCAACATTTACAATCACCTTCCCATTCACACATTAAGAACTGTAACAACTACTTCTGGCTGTGGCAAAAGCATTCTAAGCTAAAGTAGTGATAAAGCATTAGGAGTTGATTCCAATCGATCCTCCTGTCAATTTCGCTAACTTATCATTGTAATCTGTCTTATATCTACAATCACTTTGTTCTCTCCAGTAATTGCATCCTTAACTAAGTTGATCGCTCGTATAACAACCACTTACACTATTAAAGTTGTTGGAACATCCAGATTAATCTTTTACCTTACAAAATTCTTCATATACAACTGAACATGCTCCTGTAGTCAATGTACAACCATCATCTTTGCCCCATCCGAATATTTATGCATATGTGTAATTTGGGAGGTACCAACCTGTTCCTTCCAATAAAGCCAAAGTGAATTCAGATATCACCTAATCTGGGAATGGATCACCTGTCATTATCTCATTACCAAATGTAATTCTCTCCCAATGAAATCCTGCTATATCCTATCCACCATTTTCTTCCAATAAAGCACCTACTGCAGCATTACATGAAAAATATCTCTTCACTCTATCCAAAACGGGTGTTAATATTATATATTATCTATTCTTGAAAGTTCTTATTACATTGTCTACTCCCAAAACCTTATTATCTGCTGCATTCACATAATATGGGTACAACACACTATTGAAACCAATCAGATGAATCATCTCATGCAAGGTTTGCTATAACCAATATTCCCATTCTTCATTATTGTTTTTCTCAACGTTAACTTGATTGAAAATGGCCAGATTGACCTATAAAGTTCCTAATATTGGCCTATTAGTCACACTGTCCAATTCACATGATACTCCTCTCAACCACCAAGTCCCGGTTGGATCATTTGATGCAGCCATGATAATTCCCAAATCAAACACCTATCCAGATTTTTATAGGTTTTAAACACTATATCCCCCGCATTTCTAACTTACAAAGGTGTTTGACATTCTTGGGTACACTTTTAAAGTAGTCTATAAAAATGCCAAGGCTGGAGTCATTAGATTTTCTTTAATGAAGGCTAATTGATTTTTCTTAACATAAGGCTCCACATTGGAATAATCCACTTAAGTTCTCAATGGACCCCAATTTCCAACCAAGTGTTTTTTCAATATTGACCTCTCGTGATGCAATGTAGCTTCTACTGGTATTTCATCTCTTTGTGACACAACTTATTCTCTTTGATATGCTGAAACACTTTGATCAATTATTTAGGTATTATTAGTCGAAGAATAATAATAATAGCATGTTGTTAAGCCTGAAAGAATCAAAAAACTCACTCCAATCTTTATCACAGTTGATAAAAATATCATGTTTAATTATATTGAATTAAAAATGATTATAGAAATTTATAAAGTATTGTTAAAATCATACCTTGTTCTCAAAGGTCAATTAACACTTTATCTTAATTTAATTGGTTTATGTGTTTTGCAAATGTTTCCATCGTATATTCATTAGTTTGTGCCTCCTCACAGTATGTCAGAATTTTAAATTTCTTCCAGTCATATTTGTCATTCACTTTAACCTATCTTGGTACCAAATTAATATTCTATTTTCCACTGCAAAATGATTTTCTGTAATTTGACATGATTGCTTTCGCTGAAGAATAGTTTATACACAAGTCTTTTGATGCCTAGATTATATTAACATCATACTTATCTAATTGTTTACCCATTTCGCACTACCTTTATAATGAACTCCTATTTTAGTTTATCAGTTAGTTTGGCGTATCTCTTTTCAATACATTTCCCAATCATTTTTTTCATTTCCTACTCCACTTGATTTTTTATTTCTTCGATAATCTTCATAACTAATCGGAATCACTGTAGACAGAGAAATAATTTTAAGATATTAATATTTATGATATGTAATAACATTACGCATCATTAATGTATATTAATATAATCATCTTTAGACTTAAATCTGTATAAGTTTCAATATCTAAAAAGAAATGTTATGCTAAACATCTATACTTTATTTTATTAATAAATCATGAGCATTATTACAACCCACCCATTATTAGATTCATCAAACATTCAAAACCTTGATTTCAGTTAATAATTGATCAATCTAATTTCATGTTAAAATATTTCATTTTATTAACTTTCCAAAATCAATCGCATTGTAAGAATAGTTTAATTTAATTCAAATTATCCGTGTAACTGCTCCATAAATAGACAAAATATCTGATTTATACAACACAACTGAACAAGAAATAATTATTTATTTAGAAATAAGAAAAAAAGTAATATTTACAATATTGTATCTCCCAATTAGGAAACAATAAACGAAATCGAAATTAACGTTGTTAAATATTCTATGTTATCTCAATCATATTTGAAGTAACACAACTAGAGGATTTATAAATGCGTATATACAATTTCATAAATAATGCTTTAATCTACTCATTATTTTTTCATTTGGTTTATATACAACGTAATTCTAATCTATTTGATTCTCTTATGCCTTTATAGGTTTATGTTTTTTTGGTTATTGCCTTTATTATTTTACTACTTATTTAGGCTTTTTAAGAATTTTCTTCTTAATTTGTCTCATCAATTTATGTGGTCGTCTCTCTATTGTCTATTCCTCTTCTACCTTAGGTTTTTCTTGCTTTGTTTTTTACTGCTAAATCTGTTTTTGAACGAATTATTAGATAGCTTTAGATTGCATATCACAAATCCAGAAATAAAATAAATATATAATCAATTAATGAATTATTAAAGGGCCCTTTTAAGCTCAATAGATAATGCCTTCTTTATCATACCAGGAGGTAATTTGATCTTAAAATCTACTTCAGCATATGCTTAGACTCTTATCTCTTAATTTGGCATTTCTTCCAAAAGAAAACCACTTATATAAATAATTCCCCTTGTAGTTTACTATGATTAATCAGAGTTAATAGAGCGAATTACTTAGATATACTTATGTTAAGAAAGCTGCTTCTAATATTTGATGAAAACATATTCTCTAGAGTCAACAAATTAAATTTTCTTGAAACTTGCATAAATTAGTTAGAATTCACTTGTTGTCTGCAATGTAGTAAATTAATCTATGTGAGTTAGATAAGTATAATTCAAAAAGTCGTTAATGCATGTCTTCTTCATTTTGAATTCGTATTTTATTTATATTACCGTGTATCTCTCTGCATGTTTAAAACTCTTAAATAGGATTGCAAGTTAATCATCCCTAAAAATCTCCTCAAACTCTTTAGTAGTCTTGATCCTGTAAAGAAAGATATCAATTGATTAGTCAATAGTTTCTTATACATTATCTGAAATTGCCAGAATTTGCTCTTCTGAATGTTCATGATAATTTTCTGACTCATCAACATTATCCACTTTTGTATATGCCTCGTCTTGCTGATGAATATCAGTTTGAGGTAATTCGCTCATATTCTTAATGTTTTATCTTTAAACTAACTTTCTAAGACAACTCAAACATTGATTACCCATAAATAATATTATTTAATCAGAAAGTCTAATTTTAAAGAATACCAACTCAGAACATTGATGTTATATAAAATCTTAACAGTATTTTTTGAAAAATAAGGAAAATAGACTTATATGCAATTCTTTTGATTAAGTATTAATCTATAAAATGAAAAACAACATGCTTAGAACAACTTTTAATTTATTTAATAATAAAAAGGTATGAGTAGAGGGAAACTCTTTACTTTAATAAAAATCATACATGAATAAATAAAAAGATGAATCCTAAATAATTATATGGAATATGCACAAAGCACTTTATTAGAAACATAATTTAAGCATATTTCATAAGAACTACAAAATATATAGAAGATTGCCTGTTTTAATCTTAATCACCAAGGAACTAACAAATTTGAACCCTAATTCAGTATTAAATCACAATATTTTTATAAAAGATATATGGTGTATATAAGTGAAAATATCATATAAACTCTAATACTTTAGTGTCATTTAAAGTTACTCAATCACAACTTAAGTTTAAGCATTAATAATAGAGCCTATTCATAAATTTGTCTTATTAAGTTTTTAGATGATTTGTTTATAATTGACAATATATTATGGAAAAAGATTAAATTAGAATTCACAGAAATAGGAAATATTTTAAAGGGAAGAAGGTTCCTCTGTCCTTTAAATTATTGAAATTGCTTATAGTAATAAGGAGGAGAATTATCATTAATCTCAGAAAAAATATTAAATTTAAATAAAATACAAAAGGAGGGTATGACATAAATAGTACTAAAATCTAAATTATCACTGAGTTATTTTTTTTAATTTACCATAATGGAGAGAATATTTTTTTGAATTTATATACTAATAATAGGAGTATTAAACATTTTTTTAATTCTCATTTTAAATATATTGGAATTCAAAAAAATTATTCTTTGAACATTATTTCACTTATATTTTTTTATGGGAAATTCTATTGAATATTTTTAATCTAAGTTTGCTCTAGGCTTTCTATAAATTCAGAAGACAAAAAAAACCTGGAATAATTATAATAATAACAGATTATTATTTTATTATTATTGTCTGGATAGTAATTTCTTTTTAATCAAAAAAAATTAAAATTTTGTATAATTTTTCACTAAAACTGGGATTGATACCGATTATAACGAATTTTTTTTTTAAGGAGGCTCATCATTATTTAATTAGGATTTAAAACTAGGCTAATATAGCATTTTTAAGTTCTTTAATCATAAAAAGTAAACCAGCTTTCCCATTTGCTCTAAGACGAGATTCTATGGCAAACTCTAAGTATATATATTAAAATTTGAACGAAAATCTCAAAGTTTGAGCAATAATTACTCTATATATAATTTAATACTTATAACTACATAATTTTTTTATGTATTTGTAATTATTGTAAAATTCCATTTATATTATTATTATTGATTATAAAAGAAATAATAAATAATCAAGAATATCAATTATATAAATTAATATATGCAAATGAATATTGAGATGAAATAATGTTATTTGATCACCATACAATAATAAACAAATTAATCATAAAATGTAAAAAATTAAACATGAGCACCCAACTTATAATAAAGATAAGAATAACGCTAAAGTGGGTTCAAAACTATTCTCACATTCTTAATAATGAAAAAATATGTACTTTGAATTTATTGTTCAATACAAATTTATGTTGATTTATAGACAAACACAGCTTAACTTAACAAAATATACATTGTTCCAACTGTCCAAAATATATGATACGTGATTAGATTAAAAATGAATAGAGTGGTTAGACTTAAAAATCATTATAATAATACCTGCAATATCTGTAATTCGAAATCGAAACCAAATCAATAATGCTCACTTTTAAATTGCCAAATAAAAAAAACAAAATTCGCATTAAAGCTACCTCTATGGATGAAATTATGAGGCATTTCCAAAATGAATTGATCATATATATTGAAATATATTAGGGAGCATTGTTTATTCCAATATTTAAACATTATAATAAAACTAAAGTAACCAAGCCCATTAAAGGTAAATAGAGATCAGGAGCATGCATATTTTTGGTTATAGAAACACTTGATGTCTCATTACCTAGAATATCAAATGAATTATACTTAATGTCCAATCCCCTCTATAAATAATTGGTGTATGCAATAAGGATAATTTACGTAGTATATATTGATTATCAACATCAAAATAAAATCTATATTGACTACTGAAAAGAGAACATATGAAATTTTCATATTTTGTTCCGAATAGTGCTATTTTTCTTTCGTATTTAATTTCTATTACTTCCCAATATTAGATGCTGTTTCCTCCAAAAAAGGATTCCCAATTCGAGATTGAAACGATTTATTTTGATCAACAGGTATCATAATAAAATCTAATGGATCTGTCATAGGGATAAGTTCTGGTTTCATAAATAAAGGGATTTCTAGAAATCTTTTTTATTATATTATTTATTTATACTTGTTTAACGATATATGTTACAACAATACAGAGGAGGTAGTCAACCACCTAGATCAAATCAGATGTAAAATTATGTATTATATGATTTTAAAATCTAGTCTCACTAAAACAATTAGTAAATGACTCCTTTTAATATGTTTTAAGAATTTGATTCTATGTCTAACAAAATGATGCAACATATGGATCGTTAATTGGCTAATTTAGGGTTTGGATCAGTTTTTAGAGGATTTGATGATCTAGAAAACGAAATGATGGAATTCTCGAATCTTCATCGACATATGACAGGTTTAAACTAAAGAGATGTTAACTAACATTCCAAGGACGGAGTATTCTAGGTATACTCATCTAGTTATGTTTAATCATCTAAAATGGGTCCAGATGGTCGAGTTATTTAAGAAAAATATTTTGATAATAATGCTGTTGCTAGAGGAGTCAATGGACATACTGTAAATAATTATAACTTAAATTAGATAAGTGAAAGATAACAAGGATATAAAAATAGTGATGGAATAGATAGATTTGGACATGAAAGAATGATGAATGATAAAGGCAGAAAACATGTAAGAGAAAGAGATAGAACAGGTTAAATCACTACTACCAACCATTACTTGAATATGGATGAAAATCAAGTTGAATAATTTGAAAATGAGTGGCTGGGAATGGGAAGAAATTTAGGAATCAATGGATCATCAGGAGGGTTCAGAGCATTGTAGGGATAACAAAATATGAGAGATCTTAATAATCATCCTTTCCCAAGAGAACAGATATCTTATGAAACCCCTAGTTACCCTAGAAAAAGTAATTTATTTTAATAGAATAAAATTAGATGATATCTCACCTATTATGTTGGGAAATAATAATAATAGTTATAATAATAATAATCCAGCTAGATTGGCTTTACCCTAACAATAATAGCCAATAACAAGATCTGCAATTTAACAACCTGGAATACAAAGCAGAGTTCCACCCTAGTAACAACCTGTTAGGGCTTTACCTTAAAGAAAACAAGAGTTCACTGGAGTATATCAAAATAAAGGTGCAAGAAATCAACATCCTTAAGCTGGATGAAAATAATATTTTTATTCATAACAATAATTCAAATTCTATTTTATTATCTGATTAATAAAAGAATTATTCTCATTATTCACTTATTATCTTTTCACTTTAGTATTAGAAGTTATTTAACAGATTCTAGAATAATTTGAGTTAGAGAATTAGACAAAATAATTATTAAAATTTTAATTAGTTTTAATATTTATATCAAGGGTAAATCAAGCAAAGCCAAAACCTTCCTTTCCTTCTAAGATTGCAAGTTCTAATTTTTCTTTTAACACTTATCTTGTGGGATAACATGGTAAATCCAATTAATTAAAACTATTTTAAATGATTGAAGAACTTACCAAGTATGTGATGTAGGCAACTCAAAATTTATGTAATGCTTTTTATGAATCTAAATCTTTTAAGAACCATTGATTCCTTTTAATTCTTTAAATCCCCCAAGCGGCACTTTGGAAGTTCCTTTTAAATAGTTAATTAGAATACCTGTTACAAATTATAAGAAGGCTGCTCTCTTGCTTTCATCAAAACTCTCCAGTAATTCCCAAAGCCATTAAATTACTTTTTCCTCTCTAATATATCCATGATATTCAACATTCTCCTTCATATCCTCAACTAAAATATCAAATGAATAATATACGATCAATATCTGGTAAGCCACACAACATAAGTTCCATTTCTTTCCATTCAAATATGCTAATCAAATGTTAAGGAATCAATTCATGAAAACCAATCAAAAAAGCCTCGATTTAATCTTTAATTTCCTTTGCCATTTTTTAATAACAATAGGTTTGAACATACTCGACTTTATTATCTTCAGTCACTTATTTTTATCTGCCACCTTCAACAAGCTCTCTCTCTTCCCATTTACCAAAATTATCAACTGAATATGTCCAATAGATTCCCCAATCATTCACGTTTTCCTCTAAGATCTTCTTCATAGATTTATACTCATTTAAATCAATATCTTCCATATCATGTATAGTCAACTTCTAACCTAGAATATGCTTATAAAAAGAACGAGTAAAATAGGTATCCAATAATTATCCATCATACAATGCTTTTCCAACAACTCTTCCAATAAATTTAAAGTAGTTCATATGATCATGATTAACATGTGACTTATTGCTAGGTTGGAACATTTAACCATTCAAAGATGGAGTGAATAATGCATAGTTAGGATTAAATATTTCCTTAGACAACATCAAAAACCATTCTCTAGTAACTCCTCCTTGATCTATGCCTTCCTCTCCATCAAATTCAACATTTAATTTCCCTTTTAAATCTTGGGGTCTTAATTTACTGAAACAATGATATGAATCCATAAATATGTCTTTTCTTCTACATCTAACATTTACATTGCCATAATGATGTCTATGATTCTGAATTTTCAATTATTTCAATTCTATTTTGAAATACTTTTACTTATTTTCAAAATCAACAATTCTTGGATTCTTAGATACTATTATTCCCAAACTATCATTTGTTATTTTTCCCTTCTCTTTGTATTCTTAAAGTCTTTCTTTGAGCATCATATTTAGCAAGGGTTTCCCACTTTCGCAAATCTATTAAAATAATTAATCATGTAATTTTTGCTCTTGAATCTCTTAGTTTTATCCTTCCATTAATGCAATTTTCTAGGGCTCCTTTAGATTTGATCTTTGTTATTAAATAGGGTTCACAATTTGGTATATAATGAAAAAGCACTCTAAATATGGAGATATTTTTGGTGTAATTTTTATTATCTATGATGAGGGGAGTTATTACAAAAACTTTATCATATTTCTCCATAGCTTTATTAATTCTATACTTTCCAATAATTCTTTAAAATTTATTGATACATTATTGTTTTCACCTACTTTGGCATTAATATCCCTTACAAACTGAAAGATATTAATCAAAGCCTTGTCTCCATTAAATATTTCATCAAATTTTTAAAACTTCTCATTTATCTCCTTAATTGCTTTCTCTATATATTCCTGTATGTACTGAACTATTAGTAATTAGTTTTCTTTGGTGTTGCAGAGACTTTGAATAATATTTGAGAAATTCCTTACACTTTTACTCACATTCGATAGCAAAGTCTTACAAATACATTCAACTGATCGTTAGTCCAGCTTTACTTTAAATTAATTAAAATCCTTTTATTTTGTACTGATGTTGGTAATAGCCTAAATGAGCAATTCCTATTGCTCCCCTTGAAATTCAGGTAAGAGTTAGATTAATTCTAACAAGGGAATGGATAAACTATTTTCTGAAGAGTTATGATTTTATTTTTTGCTTTCGAAAAAGTATTTGATTGAAGAACTTTGCAATTTCGAAAACAAATACAACACTTTCAATGACACAACATTATATATTTTGCTAAAGTCTCTTACAAGTCCAGTTCGCTTAACCAAAAATTAAGGAGGAAAAGATCTAATTTATGATGATTTCTTATATTTATTTGATTTTAATATTAAAAATAGGGTGTCTATTAATTTGTACTCAACACTTTAAATATTACATAAGGAAATAAAAAGATTAATGGGGAAATTGATGAAGCTATGAGATTCTACATAAAGTAAACTTAGCAGTGATTCAGTAAATTCATGTTCAACGGTTCCTAATTTTTAAATTATGTGTCTTTAAGTAGAGAGTAGGTATTTTAATGCTTAAGATTTTAGTTAAGGTGTTTTCTATGGGATCTATTACAAGAAGTTTATTTCCCTAGATTCCAAATTGAAAATATTTTAACCAAAAGGACGCGTATGTGAAAAATTATATCTAGTTGGAAAGCTGGAAACATCGTCTGGAACACTTTATCTAGAAGGACTCCTAAGATTAAAGAGTGGACTAAATGGTTCATAGAATTCTTCTGAGCGAGGTTATTAGTTATTAGAGATTGAGTGTTAATGAATTATTTGATTTCTAATTTCCTATTGAAGAGAGGCTAAAAATTAAGGATCTATTTCATCAATCTCTTGGGGAAAGCTTAAAATAACTTCCATCATCATATCCTCATTGAGCTCTTCAAAAGCTGCTGGATCAATGTCATTTTTAATGAGATACTCTATTGTTTTACCTTAACTTTTCAAAAGATTATAACTCTTTGGATAAAGCTATTGATAATTTTAATTGTTTTATTACTATTATTATTATTACTATTATTATTATTATTATTATTATTATTATTATTATTATTATTATTATTACTATTATTATTATTGTTATTATTATTATTATTATATAACAGGCTATTGTTGTTCTATTTTTTGTGGTTAATCGATAACTTATTGTTGATTACTAGTTTAGTCCTGTTCTAGTATATTTTAGTCATCTGAAATGGTCCAATTTGGGCAAAAAATAGCAGCATCATGATTTGCTTAATCTGAATTGCAGTATTAAATCAAACCGAATCTGGGAGAAGATTATTCTGATTGTACTTATTACTATAACTACTCACTTACTGCATCTTAGGTTCTTTAATGTTAAAATAAGTTTGATTATAATGGCTGTTATTACTAATTCATAGCATCTTAGGTTCTTTAATATAAAAAGAATGGCTATTATTACTAATTCATTCGATCTTAGGTCCTTTAATATTCAAATAATAACGGCTGTTATTACTAATTCCTTCGAACTTAGGTTCTTTAAAATTCAAATAATGGCTGTTATTACTAATTCCTAGCATCTTATATTGTTTAATATTAAAATAAGTTTGATTATACTGGCTGTTATTACTAATTCATTATTTACCGATAATTTTAATTAAAAGATCTCATCTAAATATTTAAAATTTATTCATTAATTTGTCTTTATTATTCCAAAATACCATGATGAAATTCTCTATCTGAATAGTCACTTGCTTATAAATGATAATTATTCCTAATTATTCTGCCTTATGGAACTTGTTACACTTGAGATAAATTTCCATCTTCATTCATTCTTTGAAATTCCATTCTTACTCTATCCCGGAATATATTAGATGGTTAAATTCTTATATCTTATTAATGAAGATCTCTGTCTTCTGGAATTATTCTCTATTAGGTAACTGAAGTTAATTCAGTCCACCAATTTACGAGTTAATAATTTTCAACTTATTTATTTTCAGGTAATAAAAGGCTAAGCTTACTTGAGATTTTGGCAAATTGTGATGAAAATTTAACTCCAGTCTATTAAATTATTGATTTGGCCATTTTCATGAAAATCACCTCTTCTTTATTAGTGAGAGGATGATAATGATTCATAATTTCTTTATTTTGCTAAAAGAATTAGTTATTTTAATTATTCTATTCAAAATCATATTGATGATTCAATTCTTAATCAATTTGTTCTATAATTTCCTGATCAATATACTATTAGTTCTAAATTTATGAGTGACTATGTGAAGCAGATTTATCAATAGAATCACTGCTTTCTTCTACATCTTGATCAACTTCACCAGGATGATCATCTTCTTCATCAGTCCAACTTGAATTAATATTTTAAGGATCCTCAGATTCTATTTGATTATTTTCAATTGCAACCCAACTATTTACTTCTTGATCAAATTCTTCCTCTACTGATTCTTAAAGATTGCTTGAATCATATCTACTCTCAACACTTTAAATTTCATGATCATGATCATCATCTTCATCGTCGTCATCATCATTGTCAAGTTCAAATTCCCCTTCTTCATCTTCAATATTCTCAAAAATTTCCATATCTAAGTATCTATTTCTTCTACGGAATGGAGACCATATGTGTTGAAGATCCATTTGATCTTACCTTACATTTTAATTGATTTCTTAATGGAAGGAAATAGGAAGTAGGGACCATTTAATAAAATATTTTCTTGGATCTTAATAACTTATGCCTTTATTTGGAATAAGTTGACTATTAATATCCTCTGGTATTAGTTAGCCAATCGTACCTTGTAGTTGAAAATGATCTTTGTGTTGTTCGTAATGCTATCTGTATGTCACAAGTAAAGATGGTTTATATAGAAGCAAATAAGTAGCCACATTTAGTAGCACAGCAAGTGTCTCATTTAAGATTTGCAATGGATTTTCATGGACATAGTATTATCTCAAATCAAAGTTCTTAATTCTATCTATAAAGAGCTTGATACAATTAAATGAATTTTGTGGATCATTTACATTTTTAAAACAAATCTTAGCCACAGATTTGATTTGTATTAAAAATACTAATGCTTCTGATAGATGACAAAAACTTTAATCTAAATTTTTAATTGTCTTTTCTATTCCATCATAGATATCATTAATGATTTTTCTTCGGATTTCAATTGAAAATGGAGCAATAGAATTATTAGACATCTGATTTAAAATAATATTGTCTAAACATAATTCAAATAGCAAGTTCTTTATTGGTTTCATAATTTTAGTTATCAATGATATAAATGAGATTTTACGAGGGAATTCTGCCTCTTTAAAATCAAATCCTAATTATTTCTGATATGGCTTAAGAAATTTGCTACAGTTAATTCTAACTAATTGGGGAATTAGAATTGGATAGCGTCTTATTAATACTTAAAGGGCTTAACATATTGTAGTCCATTAAAATTAATATGTGTCGCTTTTATCAAAATATGATACGATTATCTATTCAACTAATAACTTTAATAAAATTTAGGTTTCTTATGTATGCTAAAAATTTGACTATAATTTCGATTTTTCTTCACTCTTTTTCTTTTTATACGAGATCTTATTACTTCTTTTGGAATTTTGTAAATCTTTATATTTATAAAAACTTGAGGGTTCAACACAATCAAAAGTATAAAGGTTTATACCTTTTTTTAAGAGATAGAAATTATTGTAATTTTCAAATAAGGAATTCATAACGAATTGAGTCTGCTTTTTGTAAAACCTTTAATTTAAAATAGCCATTAAAGCTTAATTATTCTTAGGCAATTTAATTTAATTTTAGATCTTTATATTATAATGAATTGGTTGAAAGCAGAAGGGATAATGATTTTGATGAGATATCTGCATTAGATGCTAAGATTATTGCTAAGAGATTTACTTGTGGGCCCTCTCAATTTCTTTATTGAATTCTTAATCAAATAAAATTTTTTTAATTTTTGCCTCTATTTAAGCTATCACAATATTGGAATCATGGACAATAGATAACATTAGGCTTGTTAGGGTATAAAGATGATTTTTTGAATCTCCTTTTACTTTTAGAAGAAAGTCTAATCCTCTCATTTGAGTGACAAACTTACGGACATTCTCTTTATTTATTTAGAAGGTCCGAATTAAAATTTCGATGCAGATTTTAGAAGTTGTATGATTATACACTTTACCTTTCAAAATATTCAGAACTCCCAACAAAATATCATTCATGATATTATGTTGATGTTTTTGTAATCTGCAGTCATCGGTTATGAATACAGTTAAGATTGCTAATACATGATTAACTGCTCTTATTGATTATTCATCTTCATATTTCAATAATTCTTAAATTAATTTCATCATCTCAATCGCTATATAATCATATTCCTAAACCAAGTTTTGCTATTTATAGATGTAATGCAAAATTGTGATTATTAATTTGATATTATTATAAAAAGGTTTGTTAAGAATTAATTTGCAATCCTTAAATTTTAACTTCAATTTAAACTACTCTTAAGCAGCTTGTTTTAAACACATTAATAATGAGGGCATCATTTATCCTTCAAATACTTTAAACAAGGTTTCCTCAAAACTGCTAAAATAAAGTATGTTTATTTGAATGTAACTTTTGAGTTCCATTTGTTTTTTTTGTATTTCATCAAAAATAGAACCTTTTGGTTATACATTCTTTTAGCTTTCTTTGATCTCTAAAATATTCTATTCAACCTTATCTGAATTATCTGATAACCATGTAGCAGCCATCCCTACATCAGGAATCCTAATATTCTAGAAAGCCATAGTTATAGCATCATCCGAAAATCCCATACATCGTAATTGTTCTCTGGCCTAAGTTGAATCATTCCTTTAAATAGGTCCAAATTCAAATTCATTTCTCGAACTAGAAAAAGAAAAAAAATTGAAGCGATCCCTTTCTTTACTAATTAAATCCTTCAAGAAAGTAGGACTTAAGATCAACATTACTTTTTCAATAAGCACTGTCTAGAGGTTATGAATATCATCTGAATTTGATAATTTAGTAATTTCCAACATAGTTTATATATCTGAAATTTGTTAGGGTAACATTGATTATGCAAATTCCTGATTCAATTTATCAAATTTATCAATATACAAGGCCTTTATGATATTGGAAAAATGCTTAGCCAAAATATTAAGTTGTTCATTAGTACATTGTTCAGATACAGTCAGTTTAGCGTATGAATGAATTGCCGTTTGAAAATGCTTAGTAAACTCTGAATTCAATAACTAATTTATAAACTCTAAATTTAAATATCTTTTTTCAGGCAAGATCTTGCTCTCCAAAAGATTGGTTAGGAATTCCTCAATTGTAGATATATACATTATCACTACCCATAGATTTTCATTATCTAGATTTGAACTCATAAATATAAACAATCTGATTAATTGATTATAATCGCTCCTTTTTCTCACTACACAATTACAAGAATTAACAATAATAAGCTTCAAATTTTAAATGTAAGGGTAGAACACTGACTTTTTAAATGTTTAATCATTACAATCCTTCTCATTAAGTTTGATTGATCTTAGAATTATTCTAAACAGACAACAGCATTTATTGTGTAGAGTTATAAGATCTTATTAATCCCAATCAATCTAAGGTGAATTTATTAAATAAAGTTTTAAAATTTCTAGCAAATATTCTACAAAAGAATAGCAAGATGCCATTTAAAGATTTTGTTATATTTATTTTTAATTGCACTTTAAAAATTGTAATGAAGATTTGTAATACTTTTCTGTAACCTCATGTTAAGTGTTTTCCAGATCATCTCCTATTTATGTTTCCCATAAAGTTATTGCAAGCAAAGTTTTCTTTAATATTTTATTGGGGTTATCGTATTCATCAAATTATGTTAGCCATCGAAATACTTTCAATAAATCATTTTAGAATTCAAATGAAGGAAATTGAAAAAACACCAATAATGACTCAAAAAATCCTCTTGAATTCAAGCTAGCCAAATATGAGTAGTGAGGGTAATGGAACATCTTAAAAATGAAAATTGACAAATCTTAAATTTGAGTAATAATATCAAAATATTAATCATTAGCCTACCAATCATATAAGTTTTATTTATTTTCTATTAAACGCAAATATAATTCATCTATTGCTTAAATCACAATTGAACAAACCTAAGGCACGACTTTATCAATTTTTTGTGTATATTTAGTTATACACAAGGCTAAGCTACTTAATTATTCCCTTGTTGAATGAATTTCATCAACTAATACATTATGCATAATAATTTTCATAAAGGCCATTCCAAATTAATTAAATTGCTCAAAACCTTCTTCATTTAAAGATATGTTAAAGTAAAATGAAAAAATGGCAGTCATCATTTTATTATTGATAGAGTCAGCCTCCATTTATTATATGATTGAATTCAAAGTTTATGGTAAATGAGAATCAATTAATCTACCAATTAAAATCGGAACCTCATTAGCAAGATGAGAGACGAGAATTAAGGTCTACAAGATTGTTGCATAAAACTGAGGACTAGATTCTAATAAATGTTATAGTTTCTTAATAATTGTTGATTCTGAGACTTATCTGGCAAATGTTGGAGCATTAGCTCTATTATATCTTCTCCCTTAATCATCTCTAAAATGATCATTAATTGATTCGATGCAAGTTGCAATAATTTAATCTTATTCTTCAGATGAAATTTTGCTGTAGCCTATAAGAGTGGGCTGTAGGGTCTCAGTATCAATAGTAATCTAATTTTCTACTATTTTAATAATCTCATTAAATATTCTTAAATCTCTTTATATATCATCCTTCCTTGATAAAACACTTAAAAATATAATAGCATTCTGAAAAGGCCCCGAAGGTAATAATAACTTATTATCATTCATCTAAAGTGCCCTAATTAAGGCTGAAGAAGAACCAAGTGCAATGTTGCTCCTGCTTAAGATTTGTATCCCTGGTTCAGTTGAGAATATCTAAAAGATACTTTATGTTAATTTTTCATTTCTAGCACAGGATTCGTTTAAAATGGTTGGGTGGTATTGTAATGGATATGTTTACTCTATCTCAATTGAATTTGGATTCATGGATAAAACATCATAAATTAATTATAGAAATGTTTCGTCATAATTTTTGGCAATTGTAAAAGCCACTTCATTTTCACTCTGCTTTTCGAGAGCGATGATTTCAGTCAGAGTTCGAAGTATTATAGATAATAGCAAAGGATCGACTGTTTTCAATTAAAAGAATTTCATATACATTTTAAAATGCTATTCGTACTCTAATTATTCTTCGAATACTTGATCTAATAATTCTCCACAACTATTGATTAAGCAAAACTAATAAAGAAGCATATACATAAGGAGAGATTGTATGTGCAAAGAAATCACAATAGATACTGTGGGAATTTAATTTTTTTAAAATTCTCTATAGATGAGGATTCTATATTTCATGGCATCAACTAGAGGACATAGGTTTTAATCTTATGAATTCAGATAAGTTTTGGACAATGATAGGCCCGTGTTGGAATTTACATCAGTAATTTCAAAATTCTAATTATATTGTTGACACTACTCTAATTAAGATGGGTTGATGTAATTCTTTCTTGTGAACACCGTTCTTGCACAAATCTTGATATGCTTCATTCAATAAGTTTGGTTCCATATACTCTATAACCAATTTAGGAAATTCTATTGGGGCATCAGAAAGGATTTGATAATTTGGATCTTGATAATAATAATCTATTAACTCTATCTTGTTAGAAGACAAATTATTATAATGATCCAGCATGATTCTTGTAAAATATATGGTTCTTGGAAGGTATTCTTTCAATTGTTGATTGCTAAGATCCTTTTATTACGGATTGGTTGGACTCTAGGGTTATTTGTAGAGTTTTAATAAAATTAGCATTATTTACTCATAGACTAATAAATTGTCTGAACATTCTAGCATATCAAATAGATGATCTAATGAGTTAAACAATTTTCTATTTTAATTTAATGTCATACCGATAGCACTCTAATTCCAGCATTTAATTTATGAGAGACAGCAGAGACTGACAATAAAAACTAGGGTTTTATTGTATTTGATCAACTGCTAATTAAATCTGATAATCAAGCTTATTTAATATTAAGGATAATGATCCTTATGATAATTTGTGGATTGGATGAGTATGATCAAGAGAAATTAGCATAAATTTATCTATGAAACAGGAGGAGTACTCTTGAATTATTTACAACATCTAGGCTTATAAAATAAAATACTCGCAGCTCAATTTCTTTAGGTTGTTCAAGTAAATAAATGGGAATTTTCATATTTAAATTAATATAAAAATAATTAATTTTTATCTTGACTTCAATATTCTCTAATAATCAATCCCCTTTTGTTCCCTCCTCAACTTTAAGCAAGATTAATTGATAAAATACCATTTTGTTCAATTATAATTTATTGGACATCAACCCAATGCTTGAAGCATTAAAGTTTCAGTCACTTCTGTCATTGAAAATTGGATTGGTGAATAATTTAATTCTTTATATAAATAATAACCTCATAAATATATATATATAAATCACATTCTAAATTTTAATCAAATGGGAGTTTGCACTTCTCAAAATGTCTTGGAGAAAATAGACAATAAAGAAGAAGATTATTTAAAACTTGATTACAATANATTGATTAAGCAAAACTAATAAAGAAGCATATACATAAGGAGAGATTGTATGTGCAAAGAAATCACAATAGATACTGTGGGAATTTAATTTTTTTAAAATTCTCTATAGATGAGGATTCTATATTTCATGGCATCAACTAGAGGACATAGGTTTTAATCTTATGAATTCAGATAAGTTTTGGACAATGATAGGCCCGTGTTGGAATTTACATCAGTAATTTCAAAATTCTAATTATATTGTTGACACTACTCTAATTAAGATGGGTTGATGTAATTCTTTCTTGTGAACACCGTTCTTGCACAAATCTTGATATGCTTCATTCAATAAGTTTGGTTCCATATACTCTATAACCAATTTAGGAAATTCTATTGGGGCATCAGAAAGGATTTGATAATTTGGATCTTGATAATAATAATCTATTAACTCTATCTTGTTAGAAGACAAATTATTATAATGATCCAGCATGATTCTTGTAAAATATATGGTTCTTGGAAGGTATTCTTTCAATTGTTGATTGCTAAGATCCTTTTATTACGGATTGGTTGGACTCTAGGGTTATTTGTAGAGTTTTAATAAAATTAGCATTATTTACTCATAGACTAATAAATTGTCTGAACATTCTAGCATATCAAATAGATGATCTAATGAGTTAAACAATTTTCTATTTTAATTTAATGTCATACCGATAGCACTCTAATTCCAGCATTTAATTTATGAGAGACAGCAGAGACTGACAATAAAAACTAGGGTTTTATTGTATTTGATCAACTGCTAATTAAATCTGATAATCAAGCTTATTTAATATTAAGGATAATGATCCTTATGATAATTTGTGGATTGGATGAGTATGATCAAGAGAAATTAGCATAAATTTATCTATGAAACAGGAGGAGTACTCTTGAATTATTTACAACATCTAGGCTTATAAAATAAAATACTCGCAGCTCAATTTCTTTAGGTTGTTCAAGTAAATAAATGGGAATTTTCATATTTAAATTAATATAAAAATAATTAATTTTTATCTTGACTTCAATATTCTCTAATAATCAATCCCCTTTTGTTCCCTCCTCAACTTTAAGCAAGATTAATTGATAAAATACCATTTTGTTCAATTATAATTTATTGGACATCAACCCAATGCTTGAAGCATTAAAGTTTCAGTCACTTCTGTCATTGAAAATTGGATTGGTGAATAATTTAATTCTTTATATAAATAATAACCTCATAAATATATATATATAAATCACATTCTAAATTTTAATCAAATGGGAGTTTGCACTTCTCAAAATGTCTTGGAGAAAATAGACAATAAAGAAGAAGATTATTTAAAACTTGATTACAATAGATTTTCGACTTACCAAAAGCTGGAAAATATTGCAAACAATATCGCATCATGTAACAAAACACACACATATTTAGAATAACAAATAGATAAAATATTTTCATCTTTAATTTAAAGAATGATTGCTTCTCGATAAACTCATATTTTAAAAATATTAGACAACATTGATAATTAAAAAAAGTAGCAGTTTATGACAAAATTAGAACGCATAGATTTTGAATTCATTGACTCTGTATAGAAATTAAATTACATTATTTAGCTATTTCATCATTGTTATAAAGAAAATTAGACAGATGCCTTTTAATGTAATGTTATTTAAAGCACTAATTGCCAAGAACAGAACTTTGATTTAATAAAAGTAAGGAATTACGAATTAATTTTAGGAACAAAAAGTTGGAATAGTGTTATTATGTGGAGGTCGCAGTTCTCGATTGTCTAATAAACTGTTAAGTGATATAGGACTTCCTTCTAAGAAATGTGCATTGTAAATAATGATGGAAAGACTGAAAAAAATTCTTATGTTATGTAATAAGTATCATTTAAATGTTTAAGCTTCTGAAAATAAGAATATTGCTGATTATCCAATTGCAATTGTACTTTCTGATCAAAATTCAGACAAGATTTAAATGTATCTCAAAAACTAAAGAGATTTTGAATTTTAATCAATCTACTTTATAATAGAGAAATCATTGCCTGTGATTGATTAAAAAGGATAGGTAGTGTTTGAATAAGAAAATTAACCTATTATGACACCTGAAGGGACTGGTTCAATTTTTATATAACTCAATTCATTCATTAAGTAAAAGGGTTTTAGATAATTTCAGTAAATTTCCAAACATGGAGTATCTTCATTTCTTGGGTTTGGATAATCTAGTTGGATTGCCATTAGATCCATAAATGCTGAATCTCATTTGTAAATAGAAGGCTGATGTATTATGCAAAGTTATAGAAACTAATTCAATATTAGATGACAGGATATTCTATTCAAATAGACAATTTAAAACTATGGAAGAAGGGGACTCCACCATAACAGAAAATTCATACAACTTGACTTAAATGTTACTGAATGATTTATATCTATCAGTTTCATTTCTCAATAAAATAAAATCGACTCATGAGAGAGCATTGAAACTTAATTAAAGATATCACTGTATCAAGAGAGGATCTAATATTCATTTTGAAAAACACATTCAAGATATAATAGAAGTAACTGATATAACAATTTTACACCAAACAGAAGATTGTGCCTTGCTGATTGATGATCCACGAAGAGCAGTGATCTAGTTGTCCAATTTACATAAGAGATACCTGAAATTAGAGGGAACTTAAGAAGAAGATTTAGTTGAAATCTCTCCTTAAATGAGCTATTGTGGAGAAGATCTGAAAAAAATTGAGAATGCCACATACCCCTTGATTATATGAAGAAGACAGAGCTATTCGGTTGATGTTGACTTTTTATTAAGATATAAATATTATTATTTATTATTACATCTTTATTAGTTGTTATATATTTTTAATGATGTTTACTCTTAATAATTATGTTATTAAAATAAACTCTATTTTTCCAATATCAATGATTTTAATCAATTATAGTTAAAATAATCTTTAGGCTAAAAACATTTAGGCATGTTCAGAAATCAAAAATATTAAATCTAAAATGTTGATAAATAATCGCAGTTTACTTAATTAATTAACAAGATCAAAAGATTGACAATAAATTATCTTAATTGCAATGATTTTATTTTTGAAAGAAATTGATCAAAGCATCAATACTAAAAATACACTTCCATAAAATATAGAAAACAACAAAAAATAATTTTTTTAATTTATAAAATTAGATTTGACATAATAGTTCAAGGGGAGAAATGAACCACCAACTTATTCTTAATAATAATTACTAGAATTTGTTTTATTATGTAAAAGGATGCTAATTAATTAAAGTTTATTATAATTTTATATCCAAATAGAATTAGGTAATTTGAAAGGAAATATTTTATATTTAACAGAAGAAAGTAAAGGAGCTATTACGATTTAGAGAGAATAATTAATACATTCCCTAAAAGGAGAGCCACTCTTTGATCAAGGTTAACTAAGAAAGGGAACCTAATTAATATGAGAAATAAAAGTTTTATTTCTATTCCTTAAGTCAGAATCTAACTCTGGAGATGTTAAAAAACTTTGAATGATTTTATTTTAGAATCAGATATACCTATTGTTTACTTCAAAAATTCGAGTCAGAATATATTGTAGATTATGTAAATTCTTCAAGTTGCCTCATAATTGCTTTTATAATAACCGAAAAATTGAATATTTTAAATTTCTTTTATCATTATGATCGATGTTTCTATCAATTATAAAATAAATTTAATTCTTTTATTTTGATGAACTATTCTAACTATTCTGAAAAACATAAGCGAAGTATATCTCCTATTTTAAAGAAAACTAGTGAAGATAGTAAGATGATTCCTCATAATAAAGAAAATTATATCAAACATCTTGAATAGTAATTGGAAAAAGTAGAAGTATTTATATTTAATAGGCAGCATCAATTGATCATAAATTTGAAAAAAGGATCAGAGGAATAGAATAATCAATTGAAGATCATGATGAAAAGTTGAAGAATTTGATAAAGTTAATAAAATTGTTGTAAAATTTTGCAGAAACATAAGAATATGAAAATTGTAAGATTGCTCGATATATAAATACAAAAATGGAAGAATTATATCATAATGAATTAAGAAAAATCAATCATCAATTACATGAAACTTAATATCGATTAGAGTTATTGGAAACAATTTAATAAAAAGAATAATAACCAATATAAGAGGAATTTGAGAAAACTATCAATCGTAAAATCGAAATCATGATGGATGAAATTCGATAGAGTGCTTTAAAAGTAGATTTTCATAAATTGGAACAACGAATAGCTAAGATTGAATCGAAACCTGATACTTAAATAAAAATTTAAGATACTGAGAGTGAGAATCATGATAAAAGAGTTGAATAGCAGTTAAGTGATATGAGACGGCTTATGGAGGTGTTACTAAAAGATCAAGATATCTTAAAGAATAATGTTCAAAATTTGCATATTGGATTTAATTAGTATAAAGTTCCTGCTAAAACCCAAGTTTAAAATCAAGTTAGAAAATCTGTGATTTAACAACCAGAGGGAGAATCTATAATTTAGCCCAAAGTATTAGTCAAAGATGATCGTAAAACAGGTAGGAATAATAAGAAGGAAAATTCGCAAAGTCGTTCGTAATCAAATAAAAAGCTTGGAGATAAAATTAATTTTAAATTGAATCGAACTAAAACTAGTAAGCAGATTTTACACTAAAAGAAATGATCGAATGTTGTTTTATTAATTCAATAAAAATGAACTTATTTTACTTGTGCAAGGTTGAAACTTTTGTTAATTTAAAAGTCATAGTTTAAATTAAAATTAGTATTATAACAAAACAGATATTAATCTCTTCACCAGTTATCTTTTGGTTTGAGACAAATTTAAGATATAGTATCTGGTTTATAAAATTATACCTTTGGAAACTTCCATCTAAATACAAAAAATTTAATGTGGAAGTTTTACTTAATTTAATACAAATTCTTAATTATTTTTTTTATAATTAAAAATAATTAATAAAAAATATCTAAGACACATCAATTTATTAGAACAGATTGCGTTTTAAATATCAAATATAAATATTATATTTATCAAATTAATAGAGACTTTATATATTATTAAATCTTATTTGCTCATACATAAAATTTCAGAATATAAATGCTTCTATATCAACATTTTTTTCAATTATTTTTTAAATTGATTTAATCAAATTGTATGGCATCAGTTGAATAGCTATCTAAGGTGGAGGATCATGAACAGATACCCTAAGTTGATTCTTCAACTCCATCACATGAATCAGATTCTTCAGACTCTTCCTATGATTTCGCGTAAGACTTAAACCAAAAGCCCTCCTTCAAGAGATCTCCAGAGGAGGAATAAGAGCTTCTGTATAAATATAGAGGTATGTTTTAAAAAATGAAACAATAGGTAAGCATGGGCTAAAGTATGCCAAAATATCAAATGAACAACGACAGAAGCTAATAAAATAAGTGACAACTACCGGCTGTACCATAAAAAGCGCAGCTAAAGAATTAAATATCAATTTTTCAACTGCTAAGGCAATTATGCAGATCTATAGAAAAGAGGGTCGAACATCAAAGAAAATCAAGAGGGATAACAAGAAAACACTACCCACTAAGTAAGAAATTCTCAACCAAAGTATTTACAAATTTTTAAATTTTTAGCCACTTCTGATAAACCAAATTATGGTGAATAAAGACAGACAAAAGTTGATGTAGTCCAAGATAATTTGGAAACAAATCTTTATCAACAAGCAGAAGAGACTAATAGGAATTAGGCTCTATTAATTTAATAATTGAATACGTAGGTAAATAAACTCAATTAATGAATTTTAGAATATGTTATTATCCGGCAGAGTACAGTAATTGCAATAGGAAAAATAATAATTAACTCAAAACTTCTCCTATCTAACTTATTAATATAACCAATTATAATAGATGGTATAAAAACATAAAATATCATTCATAGATGTCTCAAATGGTGCCTTCGTATTATCGACCTTATCCTTGATTATGATCTTGTATTATTGTATTAAAAAATTGTATTAAATTTAATAAAACAAATCCAATTAAGAGTCATTAATTATGTACAACATCTCAAATTAAGAATGCCATTTTATTTTTGTAAATCTAAAATCAAATATTTTTATTTGAAGAAATCAATAATAAATATAATTTTATAATGAAACTGAAATCAGTTGAAATTATTATCTTTAGACTATTCTATTCAAATCTAGAATATTGTTTTAAATATAAATATACCACTAGACACCCACATATTCTTGTCTTATTTCAAATATTTTATAAAATTGATTATTTTTTTCATCAAAATTAGAAAGGTATATTGTTATATAACTAATATTGAAAAGCAAATCTAAATACTATTACTTCAAATATATCTAAATGATGTAATTGCCAATCGATTAGATAATCAAACAAAGTTCAACTGTATATCTATTTTATTAATGTAATTTATATTAAAAGAATTTGAGTTCTTTATTAATTACAATAGGTTATTATATCATAAATCTTCTTGATATTATAGTAAAATAATCAGAACATTGTTACTTCTGAAATTCTAATTATTTATAAAAAATTCCCATCTGATTTGCATTAAGGAGTTTTATTCCTTATAGAATTCAAATTTAGTATATTATATATATAAGGCCATCAGGGGAAATGAAGTTTATGAAACTTTTGAAAGAATTTGAGGTGAGATTGTTTGAGTCAATATTGTTGATTTTTATTTAGATCTGAATGTTTGTTCTAATGTTTTTGAGCATACAGAATCCTTTATTTGTAAATATCTTCTTTATACTTAAAAGAATAAATATAAATCTCATAAGCTTAGAGTCAACCAGATCTTAATTATAATTGCAAATCCTTAATTCTTTATTAAATTAGATTATTTACTGGATATATTCAGCACTTGTAATCTAATCACTATTCTTAAGATATAAGTGGATGTTTGAATCTTATCTATCGAAATCATGTAATGAACCTAGATTTCTTAACTTCAAATCCAAATTTGCTAAATTTAGAATAATATAAGAATATAGAAAGTCTTCATTCCTAAATTAATAGTTTATATCAGAAGAAATTGACTCCCTGTGTTAATAATGGGCTGTTTTGAGTTATCGGGAGCTTTATCAGGTGTTGAATTTAATTAAATAGATATAACTTGTGTTTGGTGATAAATATGACAGTTAATTATATATATTATCAATTTACAATTTATTATAATTAACAAAATGGAAATCGATTAAACATGCTCTCAACATCCTAAATAAAAGATCGGCTGGGTTTGCTTAGAAAAGCAGTGTATGCAACGAGTAATGTGTTCACCTTGTGCAGTTAAGCATCATGAAAAATCGCATAAAGTAAAAATTTGAATTCACATTTTAAAAGTTAGAAGAACTTTCAAATTTATTAGAGAATGGAGTTTTATAAATGTATTAAAGCAACAGCAAAAATGTAAGTCCTGGCCTTAAATATTTAATTAATGGTGAACCCGAAATAATCCAAGAAGAAAATAGATGTGGAAATGAAAATAATTATTTTTAAAGTGTGATAGAGAGAAATTTGGGAGGAGTGCAAAAGAAAATGGATGCTTTTAAAAAAGAGTTTCAAGATAAATAAAAGGAGATTAAATAAAATAATTAAGAAGAGAGAAATGAAATCATTACTACTTTAGAATAATTCAATGAAAAAATAAAAGTCTCGGAGGATGTTGGAAATGATATTGAAGAAGCCTTCAAAAAGATTTAATCTTATGTCAACCAGAAAGAATACGAATTCAAAAACAATAAAGAGGGAGAGATTGTAAATAAAAAGTATATTTTTCAATATAAGTCTTAGAATTTACCTTCTCAATTTGATGAAGGATAACTTTGTGAAAATGATAAAAACATATTTTAGTAATGCTTTTACTATTGAATTTTGTAAGCTATTCGATATGCAAATGGAAACACTAAATTCAAAAGAAGTTCAAGATGTGAATGGATTTTTAGATTATGTGGACAGTAAATGGAAATAAGATTATAAAAATCTTTAGACTTCCATAGAAAAATTCGTTTAAAAATTGCATGAGGGCCTCAAATATATTATACAATTGCCTTTACAAGAGGAGAAAGTATTACTTATATAATTTCTTATTTTAGACCTTAAAGTAATAAATTGTTGTTCCATAATTTACTTCTCCTTCTAGAAATCCAGTTTAGTTTCAATAATAGCCTTAATTTGTACCATTAACACCTTACAATCAAGTACCCCCTCAATATTAGTTTCATTCATAAGTGCAATTGACTGGTTAAAGAGTATATCCGAATCAAAATTAATTCAACTCTGCTCCGATGCCATTAGCTGATGTAGAAAACGATTATTTTGCATAATCGTAAATAATTTATGAAGAGCCTTAGACGCGGAATAATACAAGACCTGATTTTGTTAGTTAGAGTTTATAATAATATAAATGATATAAAATTATAAGAACTAGATACTCCTGTTATTATCAACCATTCAAATTGAGTAATTAGGCTTATAGAGCTGTAGATAGTTGCCAAGAAGGAAGAAATTTAAATATAGCAAAGTAATGATGGATCGATTGAGTAGAATAAATATCAATAAGAATTTCATAAGATTGCCATTAAATATAAATATGAGTTAAGACTAAAAAGAACTATTTTGCTTACAATGAAAGGCATGCTTTAGAATTTAACATAAAATTGGATACTTAAATCAAGTTAGTAATTAATAAGAAAATGGTTTCATTATTTTAGTTGAATTAGAAGCTTTAGGTTTATGATAATATAAATTTGAATTCTGCAAAGAGATCGTATAAAAAGCAATAAAATATCTACAATATGTTAATTATTCAATAACATCATTTACCAGACTTAAAATTGAATAAATAATTGAACAAAATTAATAATGGCTAATAAATTCTCTTTTTATTAACACTATTAAGCTTAGAAAAAACAATACACAACAATCTATTTTATAGAATTATTTTTTATTATAATTTTTTTTATAGCTTTTTGGATTTACTTGATATGATATTAATATAATTTTTGATTTTTGATAAACATGGCTGATAACAACGATGAGTTCAATCAAATTAATTTTGGAGTACACAATATAAATATTGTTTATAAACTAGAACGCCTGAAAAGGAACTTAATTTTGATAGAGAGATTGAAAGTTAATCTTCAAAACTTGCAAAACAGATTAAAGATCAGATTATCATTTCTGATTTTAGTTATAATTTCAATGACTTACTCTGGATTATATTTTTTAATGCATTAAACAAACTAGGAGGTTTATTAATAATTTTTGAACAATCTAAATCAAGATATTATTGTTGATTTAAAAATTGAATGGAATGAATAAACTTGTAACTCTCCATATGAGCCACTATTTGAATATAAATATAGAAGAGTAATCAAAGGTTGTGATTGCAGTTAAATTAAAAATATCACTTAGGAACAAAATCATAAGCCAGAAATCTTTATTGATAAGGAATGTACTTAATCAAATTTGAAACAATCATGCTTTACGTTTTCTTAAGAACTATATTCAGATTTAATTTATTTAAACGACAATAATTATGGAGCTCGTATATATATTCATATATAAATAGCGTTTCTAATTTGTGCAAAAAGAGAAAAGAATGTTTCTTTGAAGAACAATTTTACATATTGTAAGGAATAAGAAAAGAAGATTTGCGGCAATAAGGTTAAATATTGTTTGCCTCAAAACCTAAGTTGTCCTATTTCAGACTTTGGAATAGCAAATAAGGAAACATTAAATATGTCTCTAAACTATTCACTAATAAATCTTGGAAATAAATAAGTTTTTTTTTTCGGTTACGATTCAGATAGATTACCCATTTCTTAAGCATATCTTATAAAAGGAGAGAAGATGTGTAAGTTAAATAGCCAAAAAGCCTTTACTGAAAAATAAATTTTATCAGAAAATTAGCAAGAAGTTTGTAAAGAATTTGATAATTTATTCCAAATTTAATATGCTTTATCTGAGGAACAGCTATTTTTATCAAACAATTTACTTTAATTTAAAAATGAATTAAGTCATTTTTACATTGATAAAAATCATAGTTGGACTTTGCAAGCGAAACCTTTTACAGAAATAGAACTAAATTGCTTAGAAAATGAATACTTTGAAAACATGTTAAATAATAAATATGAAGAAAAACTTATTATAATAAAATCAATTCAAATAATTGTGGTGTTGATTTTACACGTTGGCTCAAGATTGGCTGAGTAGTACATAATAGAAAATTTCTTAAAATAGACAAATTATGGAAGTTAATAGACAGTTTTGGGTAATTTATAAATTGAAGAATTCTGTATTGATTAAAAGGGATAATTGAATCAAAGCTAGTAGTAATTACAGGTAGTGGAACGATAGAACAATTCTTAAAATAATTCACTTAGAATAATATAAATAACCCGCATCCTCCACTCAACTACTTTAATTATAGTAATCCAAATAATTTAAGATCAAATTAATAAAATTATTGAAGAAATTTAAATAATTATAAATATTCCTTGCATAATAAATGATGATGCAAACAACTACTTAAAATATTTTACATAGGATCATCCAATTTCTTCGTTTTTGAATTTCTTAAAATTTTTCATAATTATACTATACGGTATTTTACTTATAAATCCCTTTATCTAGCTATGTGGAATATAAATAAAAAGAATTATTGCTAATAAAGAGTGAATATGTAGGATATAGGTTTTTTGAAAAAATTTGTTATATTTATATAAGATAATTTTTTCTTATTTTAATTTATTCATATTATTTAAATTGTTTTAATCTAAAAGGTTTATTAAAAGTAAAAGTAAATCTGAATCTTACTTAAAGGCAAAATTCACTATAAGAATGAATTTTGTTTTATAAACACCATATTTTTTATCAAACTTGTATTTAAACAAATTTCATTCTAAACAACTATTAAATAAGTAGAATAATTATTATTTGTTAACATTCTTCATACTTTTGATTACTAATATAGATTGATTCTTTTTTATATCTAATCAAGTTTAATTTACTAAAAGACTGAAATTTTGTTCAAAAGAAATTAACTTTTTAAGGACCTTAAAAATATTTGTTATCTTAATCCCTGCCAATTTACTTTGGATAAAATTCTTTTTAATTTCTGGTTTCAAATGATAATACTTTTTTCTACAACTCTCGAATCGGAATCTTCTACTAAGTTTAAGATAAATCTAATTATTCATATTAACATAATATAAAATCAAAAACTGGAAAATAATAATATTGTATATTTAAAGGATTTATTTTAACTTAATTTTGTATATAAAATAAATAACTCATAAGGAATCTAAATTTTAATTATAAATTTAAGCTTAATCTTAAATATTTAATTAAATAATAACCCTATGTGAAATTGATTTCACTAAATAAATTAATATTTAATTATGAGTTGAGAATACTAAATTTTTGGAATGTAGTTTTATTATTAAGTACTAAGAGCTATTATGGTCTATTTTATTTCCTTTAACAATTTGAATTTTAAATCCTCTTATTATTGATCTAACTAAAGTCATTTCTTTTGTAAATAATAAATAAGGCCTAGGGCAAGAGGACTTCAAAATTATTAATATATTTATGTATGAGCATCTTTTTCTTAATTATTTAAAAGATGCTGATTGATCGCCATAAATGATAAGTCTATCTTCAGTTTTCCTTTTGTCACAAGATTTCAACGTTCTAAATAAGATTGTTGAATTCAATCTGGTTTTTCTCCATATCCTTAATTTCACATGAGACTACTTACTGAGTAGAATTTGTATATAGAATGGGGATGTTTCATTTTTCAGCCTCGTTCTAAATCATACAAACATTTCACAAAACTAACTTTATTAAGCAATCTAACATTCATTTATCACTTAAGAACTTCAAAATGGTCTATCCTAAAATGGGGGTTTCCTCTTAAGCAATTTATTATAGATGCTCCAATAGTCCAATTATGATTTGATCAGTCAAAGAATAAGTTATCTGTAATGATATCTACTTACAATTACTTATTTGGTGGACAAAAGAGCCAGGATTGAAGCGTCAATACCAGATTTAAGAGGTAATAGCTTGGCACATTAAATAAAAGATTAAATCATTGCATCTTTCACTTCTTTTTTATTCTTTTGATAATATTCTCCTAAAATATCAACTTTCTATAGTAAATCCTTTTCAAAAGTTTCTGCTCCTTCATCACCTGCTCTACATATCTATAATTAACCTCAAAATATATTAATTATCCTATTCTAGTTATTTCAGGTTGTATTTGATGAGAAATCGGTAGCATATATAAAATCAATATATAATTGAATAAAGAATTTAATTTTTCATATTTATATATACGTTAAACATGCTATCATCATCTAAGCTATTTAATAGTCAATCTCAATTAGAATGTAAAATCCATTTAAATTGTTTATTAGAGTGCTTGTTGGATATCTCAACAAAGATTTTACATGACTCAGCAATTGAATCTAATAAGGACTCCAAAAGCATAGTGTTTAGTAGAATCAAAGAGATCACTCTAGAAGCTTTCTCAAAATAGTTTACAGATGAAATCCATCGTTTATAAGCAGAATTAAGATAAGAATAAGCATTGAATGATTAAATTAAGAGAGAGTTCTTGGAAAGGGAAGAAACTATAATATAAGAGTTTGATTCTAAGCAACGAGAATTTCAATTATAACAAATAAGGGAAGTTTAGGAACTATAGGATTTACTAGAAGCATCTGAAACATAACTTCAAGTAAATTTAAATTTCAAAATTAGAAATATTAACAATAAAATGATAAGCTCAATAAGCAAATAAAGGAGTTATAATAGAAAGAACAATAATTATTGAAGGATAATTTGAATGCAAAGGAACATTTGTAGTAATGTGATTAACTATAAAAACTATTAAATTCTGAGTTGAATGATATGAGATCAAGAATTGAGTCTCTTAATTAATTAAATTAGTAATTAGATAGATAAAATGGAGAATTCAAAAATGAATGTGAACTTACATTGAAGGAACTTACCGAAATAAAAAGAAAATCACAATAGTAAATGGATCTTAATCTTCAATTAGAATAAGAAATTGAAGAATACAAAATTGAAATTGAGTAGATTAAAACGAGAAAACATTAAGAAATATCTAAATAAAGAGAACTTCTTGATTAATTAAGAGAAAAAAGTAATCACAAAATAACTGAATTGAAAAACAAATTAAAAGAAGCTTAAAATATTGAATAATATTAATAAGAGTAATTGGATGAACTTTAAGAATTAATGAAATAATCTGAAAATCAATTAAAGTAGTTATAAAATAATCATAAATAAGATCTTAAATAAATGGAATAATAATACACTAAATAAATTTAAGATTTGGAATAGTAATTCTTCGATGAAAAATTAATCTTAGAGGAAAATTTAACAACATCTTTTGAATAAGTTATTATAGATAAGGACAAATAAATCTAAGATTTAATGAGGGAAGGCAAAACGAATAAAGATAAGTTATACCAATAAAATTTAGAATTTGAGAATATGTAAAGATAATAATAGAACCTTGAAATGGAGATTAATCATTTAAATGAAGAATTAAATTAGTAAAATTATGATCAAGAAGAGTTAGATAATAGAAATAGAAGTCTAGAATTGGATATCACTAAAAAAGACTAAAAATTAAAAGTTTTACTCTCAGAATTAGATGATATTAAAGTTTTCTAAGAATAAACCTTAAATACTTTAAGAGAAAATCAAGACTATATTACTGAAATGGAAAAGGAAAACTAACAACATTAATAATTGTTATAACACATTTAAAATCTATTAGAAATTTAAATTTAGGGATCTTTTTCTTTCTAAAGACTAGGATAAGAAGTAGAGTAAAAATTGAAATAACATAAGGATGATATAAAAAGATAGATTGAAGAAATAAAAAAGAAAGATGAATTACATACTTTAGAATTGTAAGATAAGGATTCAAAACTTATGCTCTTGCAAGATAATTTTAATGATGAAAACAACAAAATTTAGTCTCAATTATAAGAACAATAAATTGAAAACCGAAGATAAAGAAATGAATTTAAATAGAAAATTGATGAACAGAACAAAATTATAATTGAGTTATAAAAAGATTAAATTGAGAGTAATAATTAAATTGAATTCCTACAAATTTAGAATTAATAAATTATTTAGGATTTAGAATCAAATAATGAACAATTGGAATATGCTGAATTAGAAATCTCAGAAATGATGAAAAAAGAGAAAATTTAAAATGAGGAAATAGGTAAGAAAATTAGCCATTTGAACAATGAAAACACATAATTACAAATTTAACTTGAAGAATAGAAATTTAAATAAAAAACATTAAAATAACGAATTATTAGAGCATTTGGTAGATATAAAGAATTAATATCCATTTAACTTATTGAATTAAGAAATTTTTTAATCAACAAGTAAAAATAATTAGAGAGTGATTGCAAATTAATATTGCATAATCTATATAAAAAATAACTGCTTATAACAGAAAATAAGATATAAATGATAGAGGAGGAAAGATAATATGAAGTGGAGTAAATGAATTTGGAAATGGAGAAAAAATTAGATAATTTCAAGAAGTAATTTAAGCAATCAGAATAATTAATATATGAAGAAGGTTAATTTAAATTAAAATAGAAATAATAGCAGATAGAATAATTAATGACATCGAAAGCTAATGATTTTGAATTTAAACATTAAATTTCATTGCTAAATAAAGAAAACGAAGAACTTTAAAAATAATTATTATTGCAGGAATAAATATTTCTAGAATAAAAGTAAAATTATGAGCTAGAATTTATGAATTTAAATAAACTCATTAAAGAATAATAAGAAGAATTGTATTTTTTATTATTATAATTAGAATATCTTAATAATAGTTCTCTGAATATACAATGAGCAGAGAGAGACAATTCTTTGAATAAAGATATTAAGATTTTAAACTGAGATAAGAAAAGAAAGTAGATTAAATTTAATAAGACTATTAATTATAAATTTCACAACTAGAAAATATAATTCAATAGCCTAATAAATTGAAATCTTAATCTCCAAATAAGAATATCTAAAAATCGCCCATTTAAAATCAGTAACCCAAATTATTAAGTAAATATTAATAAATTATTGAGACAATAAAACATAAAGTTTTGGAAGTCCAAGCATAAATTTATCAACAAAAACACCAAACAAAGCAGTGAATTCAATTGATAATACAGACAAAACGATTGAAGAATTAAGATTAGAGATCTAGCAATAAAAACAAAAACTAAGTAGAATGAAATTAACATTTACTGAAAGTCAAAAAAAACAGTATAAAAGAAACTGATTACATTACTTTTATTGTGATTGTATACTATTTATTATATGTTTATTTAAACATCTTCGATTATTTCGTTATGAAAGAACCTATCGAAACAAATGTTTATTATGTTAATTAGAATGAGAAAATATTACGATAAAACAAATAACTTAGATAAATATTATATGATATAATGATTGCAATTATGAATCATCATAAAATCACTTCATCCTATTCTGTCTTTTTTTACTTCATTTAAAGTAAAATGAAATCTGATCTTTTGTATGATGGTGCTGTTTCAATTTCTCTGAGTTTCAAAGGACCTTTTTTGATCAATAACTGTAAATATGAAAAAGAATTACTTATTCTTAATCTTCTGTTTCTTCTAATTGAGGAACTTCAACAGGTTATTAGTATTCAGGAGGTAAGGAGCTTGAATCTCCACCAACAATATGTATCTCCTCTTCTGATTCCTCTGTATGTTCAGGAGGCAATGAGCTCTAATCTCCGCCTACAATAAGAGGCTCTTCTGGTTCATCTCTGTATTGAGGAGGTAATGAGCTCTCATCTGCACCCAAAATATGGGGTTCCTCTGGTTCATCTCTATATTAAGGAGGTAATGAATTCTTATCTCCTCCAACTATTGGATGATCAATTCTTTCTTGCTATTGATAATATCAAATCATTACTGTCAATGCTTCTTTTTCTTCATCAGTGGTTTTATTGTCAATTTCTTTATCATATAATTAATATAATTATGAGAAAATAGCTAATTGTTTAAGTAATCTTTCATGTTCCTCAGCATAATCTTTGTAGGCTAGAACACTATCATTTTTTGCTACTTCAATAGCTCTTTCAATATCTGTTACTCTTTCTCTGCATTATTGAGCGCTGTATTATAAAGCGAGCAATTAATCACCTAAGTTTTCCTAATCACTTTAGATAAATTTAATTTACTAATTATTTTCCTAATTCAACAATCTTTTATTCGAAAAATTCATTTTCTTTAAGGATTCTTTATTTCCATTCAAGATAAGCTAATCCAACTCTGATCATATCAGCTTATGCAACTGGAATATGAGAATTGATATGAGCCTCTAATTCATCCAAAACTGCCAAGATTTCATTTCTAACTTCTTAGAATTTCTTCATTTCAATTGGGCCCATATGTGTTTCAATCATATTAGGATTTTCCTCTCTTTCAATTTCCATAGTTCTTGTTAATTCCAAAAATTCATATTTCTACTCTTTTATATCCTAAAGGAATGATAGGATATTTTTCATAGCTTATGATTTTTATGCAAATGAGGTGCCTTCTGACACTATTTTTTCAAGTTACTCTTTAACAAATACTGAGACTGTTAATGAAATTTTATCATCTCTGACAGTGTCAACAAAGTTCAAAGATTGTCTACATTATAGATCTTCAATAGTTTGAATTCTATTTTTATTGACGTGAATTCTATGTTCGATCCATGCAATTAAATCAGACATTTCTTAGATTTCTGTTTTCTTATTGGTTACATTCTCATCTCTTCTATCACAATCAGCCTCTTGATCAACCTTTGTTTATCTTAATGCCTAAATACTTGCTTGTTTCATCTTAATCATAATTTATGAATCAATACTTTTTATGTTAACACCCATTCAGCATCTAAAGCTAAGATTTGCTCATGGATATCATCCTTCAGTTCTAAAAGTAATTCTTGCACATGCTTAATATCATTATGTGCTAGAACAACACATGCCAAAAATGCAAAAAGCACTATTTATTTCATCTATTAATATTATAAAAACGGGTAATTAATATTTTATATCGATTTTAATATATAACTATAAATATTCCCATTTTTACGCAATTTCTTATATATTCAACAAGATTTCACTTTTCAATCTTTTAACATCCCTTTCATTTGATTATCAAAAAGAATCATACTCATAAGTTGAAGTTAACTTATGGAAATTCTCACAATTAAGCTCAAATTTATAAAATATTCAATTAAATCAGAATTATCAATTCCTAATAATTGTTACAATGAAAATCTTTATTAAAGTAATAAAATACTTTTATAATCAAGTTTTTAAAAAAATAAAAATTACAGAATAAAAAGATAATAAATAATTGAAATAGGAGAGAATTATGAGAAAATTTTAAAATTCTTATAAGAACTTGACAAATAAGATTGCATTTTAAAATAGTTACTAACTAAAGATACAATTTATAACAACAAAAGGTAATAAAGGAATGCTTCAATCGACTAAACAAGAAAATATTCATTTTATTCATGTCATGTACTTAGTTAAAATAAAACAGAAATATAGACAATATTTTCTATCAATTCATATTTTATGAATGCGATGATCTTAATAGAAAAAATTTAAGAAGTAATATGAGATATAATTTTCAATTTTTTTCAAGAACTCCTTTTAAAAATAAGTTAATTTGATTTTATCATTTTGAAATGATGATATTATTGAACCTTATAATGGGTGGATTAGCTTTACATTAAAATTTCATAAATTTTACTACAATTTGTGAGTAAAGAGTAATTCATCTGGAGCTCTATTTGACAATTTGATATTCAAAACTATTCATTAGGCAAATATTATACTTTGAGTAAAAGTGATTTAATATACTTGTTAATAAGATAAATTAATTTTTTAACAAAATAATTACATCTTAGAGAGAGACAAAATAAAACAATTTTAACTTATAATTTAAAAAGATATTTGATTATCTACACAATTTATAATCTTAGCGTTATAAGATAATATATAAATCATTATACAAATACAATACTCTGTTTAGAAGTATTTTACTTAAATGCTTTTACTTTTTTGATTTTAATGGATGATGAAGATGTATCTATTAGATTAGATGATGTTTTTCCGATAATTGTAGTTTCACTGCTTTTCTATTTTTTAATCTTTTTATTTATTGTATTCTTATTCCTTTTCTTGAATAAACCTTTTGAGATGAGAGTCTATTCATTTTCTTAGTTAATTTTTTAGATATTAAAGAAATCTAATTGAATATTCTTAATGAGTTTCCTCTTATTTTCAACTAGTATCTCGAAGGTTGATTATTAATACAAACTATCTAAATTACCACCAATTTCTAAAAATGTTCTTTTCAATTTGTAAATAGAATCATTTCGTTAACACCTGATGCAGAAACATAAACCCTTAATTAGTAACAATTACTTACTTTACATTACGGGCAAATCCAGTCTGGCCCAGAAACATCATATTCTTTAAATTCATATTACAAACATTTAAAACAAAAATACTTTTAGCACTGGATTTAATTGTCTAATGATAATGAATTCATTTACTTTCTATAATATAGTTAGCAGAATAAAGATCTGTATAAAATTTTTGGGTTTATTTTTAAGAAATTGGATACCTCTATTAGATCAGTAATTCTTCATTGTATTATTGTAATTTCATGTTTACATGATTGTATTTACATTACTATAAATCGGTTATTTCTATCATTTATCTGCAACTATGACACATTTCAGTTTGAATTGAAACTATTGTTTATGATTCCTCTTAAATGTTCTATTACGAAACGCTTAACTCTAATTCTGTTTCTCGAAGTCTTTAGAAATTTAAAAATTAATCTAATTTAAAATCAATTGGAGTATTGCTTAAATATTTATCGAATGTAATAGAAACAAGATTAGCTATTTAATCACTAATTAACTTACTTTCAGAATTATAAATGCTCTTTCCAATTGAATCTGCTACTTAATAATCTTAATAATGAATTATCAACTTTTCTAGATTTTCTAACTCTAATTAATGATGCTAAATTCGGAATCTTGAAATCCTTAATGAAAATTATCCTGTCTATTTAATAGTATATTAATATAATAGATATCTATTGATTTCTTCTAAATGTCCTATAAGACTAAAATTTCAAAACAGAAAAATACTTATTTATTTATTTAGTATTGTTATCTTAAACTTTTATTAAATCATCTTCCAATTCCATTATAACCTCTTGCAATTAATCAGGCGCATCTAACTTTTACTGCAAGTTTTGTAATATTGAAGCTTCTTATTCCAAAATTTCCATTTATTCTTCCAAAGGCAGCAAATGCATATTTTTCAGCAAAACTTTATTTAATTCTAATCTGCCTCCTAATTCTTACTAGCAAATCTTATCAATCATTTCATTCATTAATTCTTAAATTGGCTCGAATGATTTATCTCTTTACATTAACAATAAACTTAAGTGCACTCTGGTGTTATTTTCATTCAACATCTCAAGCTAGGACCCTTTTTTTCTCAAAGATTTCAATGTTTTATCTATCAATTCCTAAATCTATACACTTCCAAGATTAGAAGCTAAAACTAACATTAACACCTACATTTTTTATATTTTTTTTTCTAAACATTTAATGAAATTGGTGATTCTACCATAAAATACTGAAGATTCACTTATCGCCAAAAATCGGATGTAAAAAGAGATTCAACACTTTTATCCATTTTTAATATTAATTTTTACAATCAATAAAATGCCCTCATTAAATCTATAAAAACAGCTTAATTTTTTATAAAAATTCAATTTTTCTGAGAAGAAAACTTAAATTAATTTATTTTATTATGCTGTCTATTTTAGGAATGCTGTGATTTATTCGAAATCTAATCCCGATAGAAAAAATAATAAAATAAAACGAAAAATTATAATTATCAAATTTTATAGAATTCTTAAGACTCATATTTACTTTAAATACAAGAAGAATATCTTAAAATAATAGATGACCACAATTAATGTGGCCAATTACCTATTAAATTATTCTAATAAACTAACTGATTACTATAAATTTCTTATAAATTTTACTTCTTAAATCTTTTTCAATAACAGCAGAATTAGGCCTTGTTAATACAAGTTAATTCCAATTGTATAAATAAAAAGGTATCACAAATATCCCTTTTCCTTGCGAATGCAAAAAATATCACGGATCATTTTAGAAACTCCTTAAATCATAGTAATTATAAAACTCCACCTTACATATTTTAGATTTTTCTAAAAAATTACTTTATATATTTCCAGTAAACTACAGCAATCTATAAGAATATCCTATTCATTTATTAATAAAATGAAAGAGTGAAGATGCATCTCATTTGAAAATTGAAATTAAAAGGAAAGTGAAATTATGATAAGTTTTGTCAATCAAATTGTATTCTAAAATAATGAATTAAGAGATTCATATATTATTATTAAGATCACTTTAATTGAAATTCTCTTTGTTTTTGTTCTGCCTTCAATGACAAAAACTCAGGCTGTATTTTATAAATTAAGTAAAACTTCCAATTTATGCTGTTGATGTTAGAATTAAATATTATAATCTCCTACTAAAATAATTTAAAGTATATAAAGGAATTCTGATGTATGATATTAAATCACATAAGCGTTGATTTACACTGTTTGTCAAAATACAAACTTATTAAAGAGTCTTACATTTATGATAATTATCCACCTAGAATTAAGCTCGATAATTTAGTTTTATATCTCATGCTTCTTTGCTTCTTTATGTTTTAATCCTTAAATACTTAAAAATTAATTCCGATTTATTCCAACCCTTAAAGTATTCAAACCAAACCATATAAAGAGAATAAGACTTTTTTTGTTAATTTATACATTGATCCATATGTAGTAAGAAATTTACTTTGTACTCAAGTAAATGTTCAAGAGATACATTATTTCTAAGATGAAGTGTCCAATTTCTATATTTTAAGAATTGAAGACGAAGGATTTTTCATTTCTTAATTTTTATTTTAATTTTTAATAAACATCACCTTATACTACATCATTATCAATCACTTATAAAAACTGGTAAGCTGAATAAATAATTATGCAAAGGATTGAGATTATTTGAAATTTTATACTTATATTCTGCATCGCATCTTACATATTTGGAAATAATATAGCATTCTTGATTAGAATATTAAATCAGCCTGTCAATCTATAAAAGTATTTCTTATGTTAAATAAAATACTTAAACATGATATCGTACTCTATTCTTAAATCATAAAAAGCTACTACTTTGAAATCATAAAACTTGATACACATTAAATATTTAAAAAATAATTCTCTGCTTTGTAATTTTCAACTTCTCAGATTTAATTGGAATTCAAAAGTATTATTCAAAAATGGATTCAATCTCATTGATAAAGGAACTAAAATTTTGGAGAATTTAATTTAGTACTTAGTGTTGCTTTTATGCTCTTTTCATTTCAGCGCAAACAATCTAAAATATTCCCTAAGGCTAAATCTTTTACATTATATAAGGTCTTTGTTGAATAATAATAGTATTTAATTTAAATAAATATATTCAGATTCTCAATCACACGACACCTTTAATTAATCTTACTTTGATATTTATGATGTTCAGCGAAAGGTTGAATTTAAAATTAAAATTTGGTTAATACACATCAAATCACTTTTATAGTTCACTTACACAATTTCATCGAAAGATCACAAAGATACAATGAAATTTTTAACTATATCCTAATGTTATTTTCATTCTGATCAGGGAAATAAATTCAAATAAAATAATTTAATTATGAGTTCTTCAATCCTTATTTACAGAGAAACATTAAAATTAAGAATTCTTTAAATTAAAAATAGTGATATATTCAGTAGATAGAATTTTTCTTTTATTATTTTCTCTAAATTATTTGTGATTATAATATTACACTTCTTAATACATCATGTTTAAATTTTAATATATATTTTTTGTTACATATAAAAAAATTTATCTGTTAAAAATATGAATTTGTCAGATATTAAAAGATCATCCAGTGTTGGCAAATCATTTAACACTCAGTCAACGTACTCCTCAAAAGGCTCAAAGAAATTTACTTACTTTACTGAAACAAAGAGCAAAAAAATTGATAAATCGATTAATGTTCCTTTAAACAGTTGGAGAGAGTTATCCCTATTCGAATTGCTTGATGAAGCAATAGTTTTATTAAAAGAAAATAGATCCACAATTAATGATTAATAAACTGTGTAATTAGCATTAATATCTAGTTTAAGAGATTGATTACGCAATACCAAAACTTCAAATAAACTAATCAAATGAAGCAAATGCTATTCTAATAAAGATCTAAAATAATTAAAAGTAACATAGAAAATATAATATTGTCATAAAACGACTTTTAAAGTTATTTAGAAGGAGTATAAAAATGACATTTTATCATTATTTTTACAAGCTAACTGACAAGAAATTATTTTCATCCTCTCTAGTTTTTATAAACATTTTTTTCAAATTCCAAAAAATTATAATAATGAAATTTAGTCTTGAAATTAAAATATTCCAACTTATTAATATGTATTATTTTCAGTAATTAATTGTAACACAAGTTCAGCTTATTGCTACTATAAATGAATCTAGAATAAATTATTTGATAAATATAATGTTTCTTCAGAAAATTATAATTAGTATCATATTCAATATTCATCCTTTTAAATTTTGATAATAATTATAAAATCACTTAAATTCAATTGCCAAAATTTAGATATTCCGATTTTTCTTCAATTTCAGGGAATTTTTAAAATTAGTTCGAATAATAGTTTAAATAATTTTTTGGTGTGGAATCCATTACTAATTAAATTGAATCATTTTATTTACCTAAATATAATACAAAGGATTTATAAATATTTTCATAATATATAATGAAAATTAAATATTTGTTTCACATTAAAAAACTTAAAATTTCCCAGAAATTTAATATTTTAAGTAGATATTAGATAATGTGATAAAGGAATAAGGCATCTTTAAGTATTAATTCATAATAGACTTCATTAAAACAGAATCTAAATCTACAAATACAACTAAGATATAAATCTAAGTCCAATAATTAAAATCTCTAAATTATTATATCTTTCTAAAAATTATTTTTTTTAATACAGGTTAACTTAAAAGATTCATACAAGTCATTTTAAAAATAAATTTGATAGGTTGAGGAACTAAACTGTTATTAAATTTTCTTACTTTGATAAGTACAAATTGGATAGACGTTTTAACTGTTACCAAGATGGCATCTAATTCGATCTAAAATTAGCCTTAGGGAAATGCTAGTTTTTGACTTAATGTATTTTATAACACCAAATGTAATTTTATTGTAGTTTCTATTATTTATTTCTCATATCTTTTGGCAAGTTAAAGTTCTTAGGATAATCTATAAAGGGATTTATTATTTGAAGCTAATTGCTGTAAATTGAGATTTCTATTTCAATCCTTTCAGATTATTCATACTTTAATAAGATTCAATTTTATGTGTTGGTTATTCCAATTAACCTGCTTAATTCAATATATCTGTGTGGTTCTTTTGTCTGGATATGCAATTATTATTTAGTTGATCTCTGCGTTTAGATATTAGCCTACTTATTCCATACAGAAAATTTTATAAACAGGACTTCTATTGATGGTTGTTCATTTTATAAATTACTACTCCTTCTTGGGGATTCTAAATATACAGCTTTTTATTTAGCTTATCAATATAAATCCTTAGGATAGGCTTTAATTTAGTGACTCACTTTATATTGAAATTTTAGGGGGCTCTTGGAATTAATTATTTTTTTTATAAAACGGATAGAATGAGAACAAAACATCTAGTTTTATTAGGTGTTATCATAATGCAGGGTATTATATCTTCAAAAACTGCTTAGTTTGCTTTGTGCAAGCAGTGCACTATGATTTGACAACACTTTTGGATTAGCAAAATGAACTTGACTGTGAGAACACTGATTTTGTTTAAATGCTAGAAGACATTGATTCTTGGAGTGAGATAATAGAGTTGTTGCAAGGAGGTTAATTGGATGCAGAAATGAAGCAACTGCAGGAACTTTCTGATTTCACCAATGAAATGATATCAGGTAAATCTTTTGACCATAAAGTTAGCAACTCCAGATGATTTGATGGAAGATCAATAATACGATGAGTAGTTAGAGCAGATGGATGGGTAATTGTAGACAATTCAAAACTAATATAATGGTCCTCAAAGAAAATTCTTATTCGAATAAAGCAGACAAATTTCAGACTAAATCAGAAGAGTGATAGAATCAAGTATTAAATAATATTAATGATCTTAATAGGATCCTTCGAATAGAAGAGATCATAACTGGCTATGTTATATGGATTAATTGAATATTTATTGAAACAAATTTCTAGAGTATAAAACTAATATTAATAAACTACATAACCTTAACCAAGAGCCCAACCCTAATAAGTTCAACCATCACCACAATAGAGAATAAAAGAATAAAAAGAAAGATTTGTAATCTAAAAAGATAAATGCAGTGATAGACAGCAATTAAGAAAAGTATCTAAATAGAGAGTAGTCCCAGGAAATTATAGATAAAATGATCATCCAGTGCCAGAAGAAGCAGGCTGTGACATTCCATTTCCATAATAAAGATAACCTAAGTGCGTTGTTGGATCAGATATCGTTTTAACAAGTTCAATCTCTGCTGATCAGCCAACCGTTTCAACAGAAGTTAAAAAATTAAAAGACGTTAATGAATATGGTTTTGGTTTTTGGATGAGATTCTTAACATTATATCCAGAATAATTGTAAAGTGGTTTAACTGACTAATCTTACTTTGTCGCTAAATTGACAAAGAATCAATAGGATGGAGATGATAAGATTGGCGATAGATTGTTAACCATATTCTAGACTTAAGAATAATACATCTTCAGTGCTTAACATGATAAACCTGAAAGAAAAGAAGCCACAGCTGCTATAGTGTTTGGAGATATTGAGGCAGTTTGGACATACGTTTATTACAGTTACTCAGCCTTTGAATAATAAGCTATCGGTTTCTATAAACAATCAAACAGTCAATTAGTTAAATAAGTGACATTACCAGCATCTTAAGGAACTCCATAATATTTGAGATTTGTTTTGGGAGGTCAATATTTCGATTTCCCAGGATTCAATGGATAAATAAGCAGACCAGTCTTAGCAATTGGTTTTGGAACATATTTAATTAATGAATAAGAATTCTTGTAATATGCTATTTCATGCAATCCTTAACCATATGTTGCACCATAAAAATTGATTCCATATTAATTTGTAAGAGATTCCAAATATGTTGACATCGAAGATAACAATGCACCACCTACCTAAGAATTTATTGATTTATTGTTACCAGACGAATATGCAGTTTAAGGATGGTTCAAATGGGAAGAAACAGATTTGTAAGAGAACTGGCATACCATGTTCAGATTATCCAATACACCCATAAGAAAATAATAAATCTTATTAGGCGAAAGAGTCTTGGCTGCTTGGTTAGGTAAACCAAAAGGAGGACAAATCCATTTCTCAACATATTCATATGCTAATATGAAAGGATCAGGTAACCCCAATGCTCATCAATATGTTCAACATTAAGATCAACATTTACACTGGCATTTCGTTTACTTTGGATACAGCAGAGAGTAAAGAAAGGCCTATGCTTAAGTCTTATTCAAACATGTTCATGCCAAATCTTTGAGTTTCGTTAATGTCAACCACTTTGTGTCACCAAAGCATTATTTCTACTTTGGAAGAGAAAGACAATTCCCAGTCTATAGTGGATTCATGGCTTACCTTGAAGTATTCTTCTGCAAAGGATCTTACTTGACAAATGTTAAGCCAGCTTTGAGACCAGTTCCAACACCACCTCCCCCCAAAAAGAGATGTGTTGAAGGACCAAACAGAATCATCAATGCTAAATATGATAAAGGTCCAGTTGTTCATGTTGAATTACACAAAGACGATTTGAAAGACACTACTTAATATGGTTATGGATTCTGGTTCAGATACACTGGATTGGCAGGTGGATAATATGAAGGTGCAAGACCAGATTGGTCATTGATTGCCAGACTTACAAACAAGAAGGAAACACCAAAAGATATTAGAGATGGGTTATTAACTATTTTCTAAGGAAAAGTTGGTTTCTTCTACATTACAGCTAATAACAAAGCTAAGAAATTAGTTGAATTAGCTTAACCATTTGGAGACATTGAAGGAGTTTGGATCTACACTTATTTCAGTTACACTAGATATAAGGCTATAGCATTCTATTAAATTGAGAACTAAGCTCCAATCACTTTAGAAGCTAAGGTTACACATCCAAGAATGGAGTAATTGTTATTCTAAGTTGGTGGAAAGGATCCATAAAACAGATACTATTCATTCAATGGTTAATTCCATAGACCAGTCTTAAGATTAGGATCAGGATCATTCTTTGATACATTAGAAGAATACACTCCATTCTGTTTGAGTTGCAATCCTCAACCTTAAAAGGATTGTTCAAGCAAGGGTTTGATCAGAGCAGTCTCAGCCAAGGCTTCATAATTCAATGGAAATCCAGTTAATTCTGGTGACAGATTCGGAACAACTGAATAATACTCTGTTCAAGGATGGTTCAAATGGAATGGTAAGACCTCTGGAAAAGATTAATTGTTATTCAGATTGACATCCACTCTAGCTGGTGAAGATGCACTTAACTTTGATACCCTCAGTTGTTACTTCGATACTAGAGATTAAACTCTTAACTTCTACACATATACATACACTGATCAATTAGGGTATTAATATATATTTTAAATATTAGATCTGGAAACCCAGAAGTTAGGTAGATTGTTGAAGGTAAGACCTTTGTGAAAGATTGGTTCCATATTTACTTTGCTTATTCTAGAAAGAGTAGATAAGCTGATGTCATTGTTGAGCACTCATAAGGAAAGGGAGCTTTATCATTCAAGAATGTCAACCATTACGTTGCTCCATCACTTATTCTTTACTATGGAAAAGATCAATTGACAGATGCTTTCTAGGGATTTATTCAAGGATTGAATCTTTTCGCATGTGACATTACTTATTAACCAACTCCTAAACCAGTCGAAGATTGCACACCAATGAAAGAGTAATAGATTCTTTTATTTTAATAGTCCTATCTGTTTAGGTGGTGATTAATATGAAAATGTTTCATTGACTAATATTGACAATGTTGTTTAAGAATTAGAGAAAAGAAAGTAATTGATGTAAGACAAGTAATTTGTTTTACCAACTACTTAATGCTTCTGTTTCCCATAATAAGGAAAGAGAGTTCTTCCATAAAGATAAGAAGGCTTGCTTGAAATCTACGATGATGATGAGGAACCTTAATAATAAGATGTCGTTGAAGTATGAATGTGTCATTGATATTATCATAAAATCATTATCAATAAAACTATTAATGAAATCTAATAAATTGATTTTAATTACTTATGAATTATCTATTTATATGTAGTTTTATATATGTTGGGCAGAGTCATTCTTTTTTCTAATAATTATTATATTCGAAAATAAATACTATCGCATGATTTTAAATGAATAAAATCTAAGAACATCTAAACTTTAAAATTATCGGCATTCATAAATTCTTATTTTCTAATTCAGTTTATTATTAAAATATTAAGTAAACTATCAACAACTTAATTATACATTTCTTTAATGTTAATTTCTATAATATATTTCTTCATTCTTGATGAAACTACTCTTAATATATTTTATGTAATAAATAAATTTTACTCAAAATGAATTCTCTCACTAAAAATAATTTACTCAAGATGAATAATCAAAAATATATCAAGTTAAAGAGCCAACTGAGTTTTAACAATTCAATCCTTTAGGACTGTCCTTATTTTTGGAAGCCAATTGCCAACAAGAAGTAATAGAAAAATAATTATTTTCTCAAATTTTGAAAATGATTGAAGATAAATTGTATGAAATAGAATAAAGATTGGATAATCGAGAATGTTTAATTGCCTAATTTAACCTATTGAAGTTATCTGAATAATATGCTGCATAATAATACAATGATGATATATAATCAGATCAAATTAAATAAAGTATAGAAACACATTATTTAGGAAAATTTAGTGATTTATCTAATCTTGATGCAATTTCTCCTCAAATAGAACAAAAATTCGATATAGATTAGAAATCATCAAAAAAACCTTGTAGATCTCGCTCATCAGCTGCTAGAGCTAAGACTGTAATAATTAGAACTGATATCAAAAATGGATCTAATACAGATGATTTATGTTAAAAGATGGAATCATTTTAGAATAAGTTATAGCTATTAACAGAATAAATGAATTAAATATCATAACAGGAAAGTTAATTTTAATAGCTAATAAATGATGAATTAAAAGATAGTTTAGATAGACTACTTTAAAATGAATAATTTATTAAGTAACTATATTCAACAAACTAAGAAATAACCGAAAATTAAAGAGAATTCCTAACACATTTATCATAAGCGAGATAGGATATTAAGTAACAAATCTATTATATATATTAGTTATTTTTCTTAAGAATTAACTCGATTTTAATAGGAGAATAAAATCATAATGTATTAATTTGAGTAAAATTATTTGGAGATATAAAAATAAGTCAAGGAGAATAAGACTGAAATCACTTTACAAAAATCATGTTTAGAATGCATCGATAATGATTTTCTAGTGCTTTTAAAGAAATTTAAGGACTTATATCATGAACTTGCTAAAAAAAAATTTGATTCTAGCTAACAAAAGAAGCCTTTATAATGATTATTATATAAATAATTCATTATTAGATTATCCTCTAATATAATATCCTCCTACAAATTATATTTATTTTTATTTGTACGAGAAACTGAATCTTATGTAAATAAATGTTGAAAAACAATTTCAGAGCAAATCACGTCCTTAAAACTGAATATTTAAAATACCCTAATTCTAACCTGAAAAGTAATTGCTAAAATCTTCTAGAAGTTTATAAATCGCTGTAAATAAAATTATAAAGCTAAATAACTGTTGTCTAGAACAGTTTTTTTAGTGATTCTTTAAGACTCTATTTTTTTGTCCATCAGCTTGATATTCAAATTTTGTTACTCATATCTATGCTTAAGCTTTCTGTTTAGTCCTTTATTAGAAAGTTAAAGATTTAAATCTACTTTATAAATAATTATTTTTCATTTTAAGTTTAGTTTTTATATAAATATGTAAAGCAGGGTAAAAAAAAGAGATGATTCAAATAAAGAGATTATGAATGTACTAATTGCGGAAGACGATTTGTTCTAAAGTACATGAATTTTTAAACTGTTATAGGAGTTGCAATAGTGGATTTATTATAATTATGTGGATTTTAAGTTATTGCTTGCAAAAATGGGTTAGAAGCCAGAGATGAACTTTTAAAAGGTGAAAATGAATTCGATCTAATTCTACTCGATTTATTGATGCCAGAAATGGGAGGACTTGACTTATTAAAAATCATCAAAAGGTATTTAAAAATGAATACATAGCATTGATAAATTAAAGGAAACTCCAGTGATAATGATGAGTGGAGATGGGGAAACTGATATTGTGGCTGCATGCTTAGGAGCTGGAGCATTGAACTATTTAGTTAAGCCAGTAAACTTTAAGTAATTTTAAAGTCTGCAAGAATTAGTAAAAAAGAAACCTAAAAACAGAAATGTAATTTATTATTACACCTAGAACAATTCGAATGAAAAAGGTTTTTATGAAGTAGTTAGAGATTTGGGAAGAGGAGCTTTCGGCTGTGTCTAATTAGTAAGAAAAAGTACTGATTAAGAATTATATGCTATGAAAGTAAAATTTCAATGAATTTAGGTTATTCCAACTTCTTTTATGAATGAATAAGAAAAGAAAAATGCTGAAAATGAAGTGAGTCTGTTAAGAGTTCTAACTGCTCCAACAATCATTAAATATTATGAAAGCTTTGCTGAAAATGATTCATTAAATATCATTATGGAATATGCTGAAGGAGGATCATTAAATGAAAAAATATCAGAGCATATTAGAGTTGGTTAAAAAATTCCCAAAGATTAAATATTAGCTTGGATGGCATAATTAGTGATAGCCATTCATTTTATGCATTCTAAGAATATTCTTCATAGAGATATTAAAACCCAGAATATGTTTTTGAATAAAGGTTTAAATTAACTTATATCTTCTTAGAATAAGTTATTAAATTAGGAGACTTTGGTATTTCAAAAGCATTAGGAACTCATGGAAATTTTGCATAAACCTTTCTAGGAACTCCTTATTTTATGCCTCCAGAGGTCATTAGGGGTGAACCATATGGAAAAAAAGCAGATATTTGGGCCTTAGGTTGCGCTTTATACGAATTGGTTATGTTAAAACGACCCTTTTAACATGATGTGATGCAAATTGTATTTGACATGATACAGAATAAACCTTATGATATGGATCCATCAGTTGACTCAGATCTTTAAATACTCATAGAAAAAACATTACAAAAGGATCCTAATAAAAGACCATTTGTAGAAGACTTGGCTAACATTCCCTGTATTGAGGAAAAAATCAACTAATTTTATATTGATCATCCAAATGAAAGTATGGATATGATATATTCTTAGCAAATTAAATATTTTTCAAAAAGTATTAACTTGGGTAAAATAACGATGATGGAGGTAATTCTTAGAATCCAGAAGATAATTGTCTAATGGTTGTGGCTGCAATGATAGATAAAGTTTAACTTAGAAAAATAACTATAGGGGTTGTAAATCAAATGTAAGAATAATTATATTAAATTTAGTGAATAAATTGGAGTTTTAGGATCAGATATTCTTAGTTATCTTAAACAAAATTTTGATAAAAAAAATGAAACTGAATTACAATAGTTTGTATCAACTCTTCTTGAATAACATTTAATAATCCCGCTCGACAATAATAATCAATAACTCATATCGACTTCTTATTATTCTTTTCCTATGTTTTTAGAATACATACCTGCAAATAATTACTAAGTATTTACTAGCAATTCTCAAGATATGATGTTTATTTTAAAAAAACTCATTAGAAAATTCAAGGAATTCTAAAGAAAGATTACAGATAAGAAATAATTAAGTTTTGAAGCATTTAATAAAAACTTCAACGACTTTTTCTAGTTAGTTCATCAAACATTAGAACTCTAGAAAGCAACTATGATTGACTATTCTCCTTAAAAGAAACTTGCAGTATATGTTAATATTTATTAATTAATGAGACTACATCAGTAAATTATTTTCATATTTTAGATCATTATAATAGTATTACGTTTAAAATTTGCAGAAAAAAAAAGAATTAATTAATTAACCTTGCAATTTACTATAATAGATAATTAGTACTGTTATAGTTCCTCGTCCCCTTTAATCAGAATTTGCTTACTGTATAGGTGGCTAAATTACTACTTTAGGATAAATAAAGCATGGGATCTTGAGAGGAAATAAAAACACTGAGAATACTCATTTGCTTCCTAAGGATGATCCCAGAATCTTATAATAAGAAATTAAAGGAATTTTCATTTTATTCATTGAAGAATATTAAGATTAATAATCATAAATTACTTAAGAGTTGATCTTCTTAGATGAAGGATAAGTTACTTAATACATCTATAAATAAATATAATAGTTTATTTCTAAAAATGTAATACTTGATCTAGCTGAATAAGAGATTGTGATTCATCCCTTATTACAAAGTAAATTAATTGTATATTTTAGAATACATGAGTGATTTTGGTTCATTAAGAAAGTTAATTGAATGGTTACTAGAAAATATTGAAGAGAGATAAGACAATAAAAAGATTCTCAATTAATTTGATAATAAAGAGTTCTTTATTTTGTTTAAGGATCCTAATGTCTTAACAAAGTATTGATTGATTAATACATATGTTATGGCTTTTTGCCTTTAAATTGTTATCAAAATTTTTATGCTAATAAATCGAATATCTCATCGACTTCTGCATATTGTAAATTCAAGAAAATGCTTATGTAAATCAAAAATGGAAGCCAGTCTTATATAATTATCTTGGCCATTTTTTCTATGTAATTTTCTTAATAAATTATAAAAAAGATGGTTTTAAAAATTATAATGTTGCAATAATCAATATTTAAATATTTGGATAATATAATGGAGTGTGTGCTTTTAATTTTTATTTATTAATTCATTAAATTACATTTTATTTAAAAAAACCCAAGTAACACATTAATTATAATTTGACTCTATTAAAAGTCTTAGAATTCTGTAAGAAATTATTTAGGAATTTGTTGGAAATAAGATCAAATGATATGATGATAAGCAATAGAGATGAGAATTAAGAATAGCGAATCAATTTGAAGGCTAAGGTTATTTATGTTAATAATCTAAAATTAATTTTTTAGTTTTTATTAAAAATTTGTTTAAATCCTTGTATAAAATTTAAACATCATAAATGCTTGAATATTTTATATATATAATATTGTTTTTGTATTGAAATGATCTCAATTGTAATAAAATTCTGGCAGTTTATTAAAACTGAAAAATGAATGATTTAAAAGTATATTCTAGTCTTGAATTGAATTAATTATTAAATAATTTTATGTAAAGGGTGAAAAGAGATGAACAAGCTAAAGAAGTTATAAATGTACTCCTAGCAGAAGATGCTCCCATCTAAAGTCTTAATTGCAATTTATCTAATAGGAATAGCATTAATTGATTTATTACAATTATGTAATTATCAAGTAGTTGCATGTGAAACTGGTATTTAAGCAAGGGATGAACTTCTGAAAACAGAAAATGAATTTGATTTGATATTGTTGGATTTGGGTCTTCCCGAAATGACCGGTTTAGAACTTTTGTAAATTATTAAAGCGTAAATTTTTTTATGAGAATCAAGTATTGACAAATTGAAGGACGTTCCAGTCATAATGATGAGTGGTGATGATGAGACAGAAACAGTGGCTGCTTGTTTAAATGCAGGAGCAGAAGATTATATGGTCAAACCTGTTAATTTTAAAAAACTTTAAGGGCTTTAAACCTTCGTAAAAAAAAAGCCCAAGTAACGAAATGTATAAAAATTATATACACTTTTCTTAGAACAACCAAAACGAAAAAGGATACTATACAATTGTTAGAAATATAGGCAAAGGAGCTTCTGGTTCTGTTGAATTAGTAAGAAAAAGTACTGATTAAGAATTATATGCCATGAAAGTAAAATTTCAATGAATTTAGGTCATTCCAACCTTTTTCATGAATGAATAAGAAAGAAAAAATGCTGAAAATGAAGTGAGTTTGCTAAGAGTCCTAACTGCTCCAACAATTATTAAATATTATGAAAGCTTTACTGAAAATGAATCTTTAAATATAATCATGGAATATGCTGAAGGAGGATCTCTTACTGAAAAAATATCTGAATATTCAAGATATGGAAGTTAAGTGCCCAAAGATTAAGTATTAGCGTGGATGGCATAATTAGTAATAGCAATTCACTTTATGCATTCTAAGAATATTCTTCATAGAGATATCAAAACTCAGAATATGTTTTTGAATAAAGGTTTAAATTAACTTATATCTTCTTAGAATAAGTTATTAAATTGGGAGACTTTGGTATTTCTAAGGCATTAGGAACCCATGCCAATTTTGCATAAACCTTCTTAGGAACTCCTTATTTTATGTCACCTGAAGTCATTAGAGGTGAACCTTATGGGAAAAAATCTGATATATGGGCCTTAGGTTGCGCCTTGTATGAATTGGTTATGTTAAAACGACCCTTTTAACATGATAACATTTAAATTATTTTTGAAATGATACAGAATAAGCCTTACGATATGGATCCATCAGTTGACTTAGATCTTCAATAACTAATAGAAAAAACATTATAGAAGGATCCTAATAATAGGCCTACTGTTGAAGACTTAGCAGCAATCCCCTGTATTGAAGAAAAAATTAATTAATTTTATAAGGATCATCCGAATGAGAGTACTTTATTTTCGATTTTTCATAGCTAATCTAATATCGGTCAAAAGATTGCAATTAGGCCCTTAATTATAACCTGAAACAACAGAATAAGTTTAAGATGAAAATTATGTTGCTATTTCAGCTGATATGATAGAGAAAATTTAATTAAGAAAAATAGTATATGGATTCGTCAATTAAATGTAATTATAATCTTTCTAAGCTTAGTGAATATATAGGTGTTTTAGGTCAAGATATTTTAAATTATCTTTAAAAAGCCTGCAAAAATTAGTTAGAAATTTAATAAGTTAGTTAATAGTTATTAGAATCTTAACTTATAATACCCTTAGAATCACAAAAGGATTTAACACCTAACTCATATTATTCTTTCCCAATTTTCCTTTAATTTATAGCTGCCAATAATTATTAAAAATATACTGGAAGTTCTATAGATTTAATGGAAATTTCAGAAAAACTAATCAAAAAATTCAGAGAATTCCAAAAGAAATTTGTAGATAAGAATACCATAAAGGAGGACATTTTAGAATAAGGGTTTAAGGAGTACTTTCAGTTAATTCAAGAAACAACTTAATTATAAAAATCAACAATTATTGATTACTCTTAAGAAAAGCAATTAGCAGCCTATGTTAATATATTTTAAATAATGAGATTTCATCAGTAATACTTATTATTTATATGTTTAGATCATTAAATTAATATTATGTTAATAAACTCCAATAAAAAGGAGTAATAGAAGAACCTAAATCAATCATAAAAACCATTATAGGTTCTATTTTACCTCCACATCCCAAAATAGTAGATTTTGCTTATTCAATAAACAAATTAATTACTACTTTACCTTAAATAAAACATGGAATATTGAGAAGAAATAAACCTGCTCCAAATTTTCATCCATTGCCAAATAATGATCCAAGAATCCTCACTGTTGATACTAGGGGAGTGATCTTCATTTTTACTGAAGAATACTAAGATGCGAATGTTAATTTAATTACTGAACTACAATTCTTAGATGAAAAATCAGTTTAATAGTTTATTCAAAATCATATTAAATAATTTATATTGCGAAATGTCTGCCTTGACATTATTGAATAAGAAATTATAATACATCCTTTATGTTAAAGTATTAAGACTAAAATAATTTTTAGCCTATCTAAGTGACTTTGTTTCTGAAAAGTAATTGTTTGAATGGTTACTCGACAGAATGGATGATGGATACAATAAGGGAAAACTCTTACATTAGTATGATTAGTAGGATTTTTATATAAGATTCAAGAATCCTAACGAGTAGAAAAAATAACCAAAAAATTGAATCGTTTAAAATAAAAATAACATATTACACTACTCATTTTTTTAACCTACATTCCAAGCATTCTTCTTTATTATCCAATTTTACTCAATTTGAGTATTTGTTAAAGTTGGATGTTTAAATTTAGTTACTATATACAAAATTTATATGAATTAAAATATCACAACTTTAAAAATGAAGCATGAATAAAGTTATTTCGATATATCAAACTTAATCTTCGGCCAGCCTCTTGAGGATTCAATACCAATAATTATCTTATGTATGGAATCTTTAATTCTACCTAATTAACATCCAATTTTCTGGTTATAGAACTAGTTTAACTAAAGATTCTAACTTAAAATACGTCATTATATAAATATATAGCTATGAAAAGCATTTTATGCTTCATAAATGCTCCTTTATATAGTAGTTAATATTTGATATATTTTAAATCATTATACTTATTGACTTTCATACCTTCTTGATTACTAGGTATGCACTAGTCAATCTAATAATTTAAATATAAAGATTGGCACTATTTATAGACTTGAACCTACTTTCCTCTTATATTTAAGGGAATATCTATGGTTTTGCAAGTTTCATAAGAATGAATTCGCAGTCGTATGGGCTGCCATCTAAAAGATTGCTAAATTTCAAGGCATGGAATATAACATAAGAAATTACAAGTTCTATCATTACAATATACTAATTCTGATACAACAGTCTTGAAAGTGTCCAATATAATTAAATTTTCATTTATGTTCATCTGCTTAATTATTTCCATCCATAACTTTTTCTCAAATACACTATTAGATTTAGTTAATAACAATTTATCATATAGCCAGCATGATTTATTTATATCATCCCTACAAGATTCATCCATTTATTGATTAAGTTGTAATGTTGATTATCTCTAAATAACACTTAAACCTGAGAAATTGGATGTCACAGATCTCTTAAGAACCTTTTTGGATTCATTAATTTAGTTAATATAAAGTTTTGTTCTATTTCTAAAAGTGTCAGGTGCCTTAATAATTAGGGAATAAATCTTATGGATTTCATTCAACTTCCAGGGTCTGAAGAATTATTCTATAACCTCATAGGGTTATTCTGGAAATATTGAATCTAAAAAATATTAGTTCATAATTAAAAAATCTGATCTGTGAATTGTGAAGTAAAATCTTCTACAATTACTTTAATTGTAGAGATAAATTTAAAAATAGTTTTAAATTAAAGTAACTATTATTATAAAATAGCTTTTATCAATTCTTTTCACTTATTTATACACCACTCTTGAATAGGATTTTTAACCTATTACCAAATTATTGTCATGATATCGATTTGATAAGAAATATTGCTTACGTATTTAATTTTGAGTTATAGGCATTAATTCTAATTTGGAATAGGTCTAAGTGGCTTTTAGAATGAATTACTTACATAAAGTATACATCAATTTAATAGGATCTTCTTAATTAATTTAAAAAATAAAGAGATGAGATTTGCTTTTGTTTCCAGCTGGCATTATTCTCATTAACATTATATTAGAATGTATCTTTGCAGAGACAAAGACAAAACCAATTGATTTAATTTTTGTCTAAATAAAATATTGTTTTGCTTAAGCAAACTTGTCTTGCATAAATAGAAATCTTGGATCCTTTGATTAAGAAGAACGATTCTCATTTTGATAGAGTTGGAACCCCACTAGAGTTTTTTTTAGTTAAGTTTTATAATTTAAAATATGCTAACGCATACTTCTTTCAATTTGGAACAAATGAGCCCATTTTTCTGTTTATTCAGAATTAAGGAATAAGGATATCTTCTTAGAGCTGTTATAATATATTAATAGATGTGCTTTTGCTTAGGCATTTCTAAAGTGTTGATGTAATTTTCGTTCATCTGATAAAATACTCAATTTTGCACCTATTGGTTTGTAAATGAATTGATTTTTTCGAATGAGAAATACAGAATTGAAATGAGGAAATAATGTGATATCCTTTCCATTAATAGTTTGCTCATTAGTTCTCGAGATATGTTTATTCATATCTTCATGAGACATAATTAGCCTAAAAGGAAATTTGGGTTTCCTTGGTTGCTCAGGGTCTTGCAACATAAACTTACCGTTTTCATTTCTCAATAGATAACATTTTGGCACGTAATTTTGATAGTCAACATAGGTATTATTATTTAAGACTCCGAGTATAAACACAATATCAATAAGGGGTTGTCTCTTATATTCTTCAATTAATTCAACATCATCGGATGTTTGGCTATTACTTAGCTATGATACTTCTTTGAGTCCTTCTTCAACAAAATCCACAGATTGTATTACATGATAAAGTCTCTTATTCACTCTAAAGATTTTATTTAACTTTCTTTAATACGTATTATCAGTCTCATTTTACTTGATTTAAATTCTACAATTTGTGATTTCTAACTTTTGTTATAGTATATTTTACAATTCTATTAAATCAATCATATATCCTGTCCTTCCAACAGAGAAATTTATATATTATTTCAATTATATCTCTAGCTCATCTTCCCAAAGATCTTTCCCAAACACTTATTTTAATTGTAATTTATCTGACAGCGTGAGATAATAAAATTACTTATCAATTTTAACTATTTATATTAAAATTAAGTAATCTTCTGTGTAAATCGGCTTATATTCTAATTAATCAAATTTAGTTGTTGATAATTCTTGTCTAAAATGATAATGAGACTCAGTTAAAATCTTTTTGATAATTGGAGCTGGAGCAGGATAGTAATCAACAGGAGGAGTATTAAGCTTGAATTCTGGAAATAATCTTTGCAAATAATCCTGTGTTTCTAAAGTAAATATATCTATTAATTAAGGAGGAGCTTCCTAGTGACCTATATTTTTCCAGTTTGACTTGATACTATGTTTCAATAAAGGTTAAATGATAGGAGTTTCAGGCCCAAGAATTAATTATCGAGATTGCAACTCATTACCTAATATGATGCCAGTATCTTTCAAGGATACATATGGGCTATCTCTTTAATTTAGTACTTGAGATTCATCATCTTAAACAGGAGATACCGCCTCTCTAATGGTTCTTTATTTTCTATCCTAAGCAATAAACAAATGTTTATCTTTATTCCTTTTGCGATGCCTTTTTTTACTTAAGATTGGTTTTCTTTCATGATTTTAAATTTCATAATCTTGATATTGAAAATATTAATTAATTCTTTCTAATTTTTTCTTATAAATATTATTATTATATTTTTGAATCGAAACCTGATGGTTCTATGAAACTGACTTAAATTTATAACCATTCATGGTCTTAATGTAACTCTTTCTTTTGATTAAAAAAAGAACTTTGGACAAAAGATATTGATAATATTAAATATCTTCTTATTATTATACTCTTCGTTCCTTAGTTTGCTCATTGATAACATTTTACCTTATTTGATTTTGGGCCATTGATTTGCCCTTGCTAACCCTATAAAGTGTTTACTCCTTCCTATTGTCGATCCACTCGCTAAATAAATCCTCTTGCATCAGATATATATTTAGTAATTAATCAAACAAATCCATCATGTCATCATAAGCTTAGATTTCTTAATAATGTTCAATAAGTGTATCTATAATAAACCTAAATTAAATCTTTCTAGTATGATTTGAAATTTCAATTGACCCAATTACTTGAAAGGCCGATTACCGTTTAAGATTAAAGAAACTATTTTGTATCTGTTCGAAATTAATTTAATGATATTCGTCATTTTTCGAGGATTTTTACAAAAATTATCCTCTAATTTTTGGATTTTCAAGAGTCCATTTTGAAGTTTCAAAATCTGTGAATAATTTATCATAAAAATGAATGGGATACCATTCCATTGTATTTGCCGATTACAATACCTTATAAATGATTTTGCTGGCTTCATTTTCAAGAAGTTTTTTTTCAACAATATCAATCAAGGTATTGGATCTGCTTAATTGTTATTATTTGTTGTTCATCATAACTCTATTAGGTGAATGCTGATGTTTTCGTTCTAATAACTCCATTTTTTATTTTTTAGAGACTTGAACATATTTTTTAAGCTTCCCTTTTATTTTCTCAACAGATTGTAACAATACATCCATAGAATGAGTTTCCAAATATTTAGCGATAATTGAATCATGAGGAGAATAAATTTTTATTGGTTCCTCATTTTCAGTTGATACAATTTTGTTTTCCTCTTACTTAGTGATATCTTCATCATTTTCATTTGTTAAAGTACTTGGTATTGGCTTTATGAACAGAGTCGTTGGTTAAACTTCAGGAGCTAAAATTTTCCTTTAAGAAATTCTCTCAATTTTTTAGGTACTAGGATAATTAGGGAGTTTCTTAATATCTACTTTTGTTGTGATGTTATTTCTAGAAGGTTCTCTAACTTGGGGTCGAGATGGAATAGTGAGTTGAATTTAGTAAGTTGGGGTAGTTTACTTAAAATTCTCCTATGTTACAAATTCGACCCTCCTAGATTATTTGACTTCATATTGGGGTCGAGCAATGAGTAATTCATTAGTTACATTGGGAATTTAAGTATCTTCTAGATTCTTTAAAGTACTTTGGTCCAAAGAAAGTATTTTAGTATGAAATCTCTCAGTATTTTTTTTGGATAAAATTGAAACACACTGAGTTTGACTAGTTAACTTAGAAGTGCATTAAGAACTTGTAGGTCTTTTCAATTGATTCTTAATTATGAATAATTATTATATGGGAGCATCTTTACTTAAAAGAGTAGGTTTGTTAATAGATGAGGGTGTGGTTAGTTTATCCGTCTTCTCTACCTTTTTATAAAGTTTTGGAGCTCTAGCAGAGTCTACATCAATAATATAATTGTTAACTGCAGTTACTTTCGGTCGAAAAGATTACAGAATTTCTTCTCTAGCTGTTATTTAAATTGGTTAGGGTTGCTCTTCCTCCTCTTCATCCAGACTTTGAATTTCAATGTTTACAGATATCTTATCACTTAATACTTCATACAACCGTTTATATTCTCGAGTTCTCTTCTCATTCATTCCAAGTAATTCTTCAGATAGATGATAGGATTAAAAATATAATTATGCTGCTTCCCTGTCTTTATTTTATTTATGATAAATTTTGGCTTAGAATGAGAGAGCTTGTAATAAAATTAATTAAAACTTTTGAGGGAACTGTTTATAAAGATAAAAAGTTAAACCAATTTCCTACATTAGGTTCAGCAACTTCTCATTCAAGAGCATAACATTTGAAATTTTGCTAAGTCGTCCATTCTCTATGATATGATTCATGATTTGGATTTATGTCATAATAATGCTTCTTTTATTGGTTTTTTACAAGGGAAGCAATTTTATTAGCAGATTGTAAGCAGATTAATTCTTATGCCAGAATTCATGATACTCCGCATACAACATGTAAGTAGAATATTTTACATTTAGTAACTCCTCCATTTCGATTCCAGATGCCAATTAAATGGCTCTTTAAAAATATTTTTCACCCTTCTGATTCTGTAATATTTATTATTGACCTGCTTGATTTAAAGCCTCTATGAGAGTCACACATGATTGAATTGTATTTGGAGCATTTTTGCCAAACTCAGTAAGAGCATCCAAATAAGAACGCTCAAGTTGAAGAAGTGACAATTTCATAAATATTTTATTATAAAATTCAATTTATATTTTTTTGCCAATAATTTATCTCCCTCCCTAGTAATCTACTATTAAATTGCCTTTTAACTAAATGCAAAAGTAACTAATTTGCAAGTATAATTAAACATGCATTTAAAGATAAATTCATAGTAATTTCACTTAAATTGAAGTAATAATGCATAAGTAAATGCAAATACTATCATTCAAAATTATATATAATAGAAGAAAATTCTTAAAATTCAAAGAAAAAATATTATAGATAATTACTATTCCTTTCTCTTTTATTAGCTAATCTTCAAATGCCTTAATAGACTAATCTTAAATTTTCATTATTTTGCTGTCCTTGTCTAATTCAGCTTATTTTCAATTTTTCCTCCGATCAAGTTCCTAAAATTTATTGATTTTATTATAGAAAACCTTATTTTCTCCATTCTGGGGGATAAAAATATCTTTACTTTTTTATTATGTTCAATTAAATATTTATTTATATTTCCTTTATAAGTATCCATTAATTTCAAAATTGGCCTACTCTTGTAGACTGAATTATTCTTTTTATTTTGAATAAACAATTTTATAAATTTTGAATGTAATTTTAAAGCATCTAAAATCATTTTAATGTCATTTAAAAAATCTCTTAGTATATATTGACTTTAAATATAAGTTTTAGATCTGGAAAAGGAAAAGGATGAGCAATAATAGATCTCTTATTATTTAGACTATTTAAAAATAATCAAAGCGATACTTTTTATCTTAATTTATTTTTATTTAATTCATAAATTCGTTTAGATTTAGAATTTTTAATATTGTTAAGAGGTTAATTATATTATTATTATTTTATTAGTTTAATTTTTCTTATGTAGAATAATTATCATAAGTAAGTACTGCAAGAAAATTATTTCTTGAGTTGCTTTATATTACTCTCCTTGAAATATTTAAAGTCGATTTCTATAATTGAATCTGAGTTTTTACCAATAAATTAATATTGAAAATTGTCTAAATCCAAATATTCTATTTATTATTCTCATGATTAACCATGATTGAAAATATATAGTTATCATAGTCTAAATTCATCATCAATGAGACAAATTTTATAAACAACCACATTTGCCGTTATCCATTAAAATCAATTTAATCAAATCCTTATTTTCTAATTCTATTAATTTATTTTTCTTAAGCCATTAATAATTAAAATCCATTTAGAACTCTTTTATCTCCTTATCCATCTCCATATAACATCTCTATCTCTTAAGATTTTAAATTAATAATATTCATATAATTCTATTGAAACTACTATCAGTTCTACCCCCATAGTAACATATCATTATAAAATCGATCAGACCATAACTATTAAATAGAATGAGTGAGTTAAACATTATTAATATAGTAATATAAAAATAATCAATTCTCCACAAATGATAAACTTAATTTCTCGTATCCTTTTCCAATTATATCCTACTCATCTAAATCTTGTTTATTATACACATCTTTTGACTCAATCATCTCCTTCTCTTTTATTGTTGATAGAAACGGTAACAATATCAAAATATATACACTAGTCATTGTTATCATTATCCACAAATTCTCAAATGAGGCTTCATTTATATCTAATGTATAAGAACGAATATCATACTCATAAAATACATCAATATTCCTCCAATCTGTCTGGCCACTAATTAACCTAGATTGATTGTCGACATCAATAATGCATACATTGTACCCTCTATTTTGGAGGGACAAATCTTGCATGCCAGAACCAAAATAGGCAGCATGTTCAGTTCAGCTACTAATTGCATTAGCAAAGTATCACATAATGAAAATGCTTCGTCTTTTATGCCTAATTCAACATTCCTCCTGGTGACTTGCAAAATCTATAAGGCATTCACAATACTATAAGTTAATGTTGTTACAAAGAACACAGATTTGAATGAATAGTTTTTTAAATATCTATTAAATATACTCACAGCTGTGATGTTAGCCAAAGCAAATAGGAATTTGATCTTACCCAAAAATTCAGCTGTGTAATGCAAATAGACTGTTTAAAAATAAAACATTGCTGTTGAAGTTGACGGTTACAACATAAAACAAAAAATAAACACTATTGGCTTGTATATGGCTTTGATATTCAAGAATCGATGTAGTTCTTGCAATTACTTCTTAATATCCATATCTTTATGTTGACCCTCATTCAAAAATAGAGAGGCTCCAGCAATAATTAAAGGAAATATTGAAGTTATTCTAAAAACTAAAATAGCTTTTTGACTTACTTTGTTATTTCTGCAAATACTTCAAAGAGTAACCGCTAAGGTAGCTTGTCATGAGAGTTCCAAAGGCTTTAAAACCAAAAAATAAACTGACATTGTTGGTTGAACTATCGTTGCCGGTTGAGATCTCAACCAATAGAGCCTCTTCATTGTTAAATAGTTATACCTGCAACAACATTACAAAATGCTATACAAATTTGAATGCTCAACAGAATAGAGACACCTGCAAATGCATCCTTGGTGCCATATATGGAGAGTGCATAAAAGAGCACAAATCCCATTAGACCAAATATAAAGAGGTAGCTCTTTCGTCTGTAACTGCAAATTGGAAGCAAATCAGTGCAGAGACCCCATATCGGTTTGATTACCCAAGGTATGCTGATGATGCCTTGTATGTATGTCATTTCAGTGGGGTTCATTCCATAATCTTCTTTGAGCAGGTACGAAATGGCCAACTCTGAAAGGTTAATGACTCCTTGAGAGAATGCCACCAAGCAGATAACAGCATACGTGGAGTGCGATTACTTTATCATATATTTAAAATATTATATATGCTTATTTTAATAATAAAACGAATTTCAATCATAAACTTATTAAATTTCACATTCTCTGAGTAACTTCACATTCTTTAATTTCAGCAGGACTGGGAAACACAGGATATTTGCCATAATTTGAAAGTATCTAAGCCAGCAATCTTCGTTTGATTTGATCTGTTCCATGGTTAAATGACTAACTTGTTGTGCTCCACACAATGACACAAAGGTTAAATTTAATGTATATGTGATACCTTTATAAGGCAGTTGCTGTGTGATGAGTAGATTAAGGCCAATGAAGTAAGTGATGTAACTAAGCAACATTGAAAAATTAATGAATATTTCTTCATCTTTAAATAGTTTGACTCTAGATTTCATTAATTGGAGGATGCTAAATGTTAACAACATAAGATTGAAAAAAATCATAACATTTCTTACGACTTGGATTAAATTAAAATTATACTAAATTTTCTATATAAAATTTGGCTTAGAACAGCAATAGTAAGAATGGCAGGAATAAAATAGCGTAATGGATGCTGAAAGATTTCTTAAGGTTTTGGGAAATAATTATGATTGTTGAATTGGAACCATGATAAAAGCGCTAAAATTGAACATCCCAAAAATCGCTATCGATATTGCTTACTAAATAAGGCACTTGTTCTTCTATTCAATTGACTGTATGTTTCATTGTTAGATATGTAAAAGTATTCAATCTCTTTGATATTACCTGAAAATTGATTCTTAATTATCACTCTTCCTTGAAGTTCTTTGAACTTTCTGTAATAATACTCCAGAGTCTGTTTGCCATAAATTGTAAAGAACGAGAGCAATCTAATTGAATTAGTCAATATTACAAGACTACTGATTACTATTTGTTCATCTTCCAAATTCTAATTCCTAATATAACTTACTCTTAACAAAGTCCCTAGAAAAAAACAGATTGTTGGATTATTGTTAAGATACACAGATCTTTCTTCTTCCCATCCCACTTATTCTCTGATGAATCTGATCGTTAACAGCCAATCACACCCTACGATAATTCCGATTATGCAAGTAAAGATCTTATAGATTAATTACGATGAGTAATCTTCAGTAGACAATCCAATGAATCCCACAGCCAACAACATCATGTTTATTCCCATTAATTTGAATCGAGTGACTTAGACCATCAATGGCGAAAACAACCAACTACAGGCCAATCCAATGTAAGACCACTCATAGTCCAACAAAGGAAAGTCCAAATATTGCATGCACACATAACCAGTAACTATTTATGGGATACTTAAAACTACGCTTTGAGCATACAATCTCCAAAATGATTTATACTTGAACATTATTTTATAATAATCATTTGTTGTTTTTATTTATCCCCAAAATTTCTTCATATTCTTCTTATGACACTATATCGGCATTCTTGGGAAAGTAGAATAGTTGAGGCTCTCTATCAATCAGTCTTTCTGCCTCCTCTCTTATCCTCTTCAATTTGTCTCTTCAATATTTTAATTTCTTTACCCATAATACATATCGTATTGATATCCACACACAAACCCCAGAGGAACCAAAGGAATTATGGGCAATGGACTCTAACTTAAATTATCATCTGTTTTACTTTCTTTTTCAATGCCCCCATAATGCAGAATGGAAATATAAGAGCATAAAAGGAAGCATACCAATGGAAAAACTCTTTGCCTGAAGCAAATTACATAGCCATTTAAGTCTATCTTTATTTTAACATCATGTCCAACTGTTTCTTTTGCATTTCCTTCTGCATTTCCTTTTAATTCTCCTTCATGCCTTTTGCAATAGATGATCCCATATTTTTGTGATTTTTATAATATTAATTTTTATTGGATTTCTTTTTTATTCTTACTTTTTTTGATAATCCAGTTTTTGAGTTCATTGGCTAATGACCATGGTTTAAGATTTAGATGCTTATTAAGTGAATTGATGAATTGGTTATATATAAATAGTTTTTTGAAATAAATTTATTTATATAATGGGAGCAACTTGTTGCAAGTCAAATTTGCAAACTTAAGATGGTATTAATAATTATCGATTGGGCTTAATAGAACTTTCAGTTCAATCAGCAGCTTTCGGAGATAATGACCAAGGATCCTAAAAGAGGGTTGTTAAGCAAACAACTGCAAGCAAACGTTAAGCATATATTCCAGCATAGACATTCGGACTGGGATTGAAACAAAACTTATCCGATGATGGGAAGGAAGTGTATGAGGAACCAAAGAAAGTTTCAATGAAAGTCTCAAAGGAATTGGAATAATTATTGGAGCGATAGAATTCTGACACAGATAGAAAGAAAATTCTCGAATAGCAATCAGGATAGAGTATGATATGTCATAGGTTATCTTAGAAATGGATCAAAAGTTGCATATAAATGTTGATATTTTTGTTCAATTGAAGAAGGGTCAAATCTCAGATCATTACATTACTGGTAAGGTATTGGGAGAAGGTGCCTTTGGAAAAGTGTGGAAAGTGACACACAAAAAGACCAAATTAGATCGTGCCATGAAGTAATTAAAGAAGACTTCTATATTGAAGGAAGACAAAGAAAAATTGTTTTCAGAAATGAATATTTTGAAGAATTTAGACCATCCTCACATTGTAAAATTGTATGAATTATTCGAAGATGACAAGAATTACTATCTGGTAACCGAGTAAGTACTAAATTCATTGAGGATAGGTATTGTTCTGGGGGAGAACTATTTGATCGAATCAAGAGCTTGAACTTCTTTAGTGAAAAGAAGGCTGCAGAACTAATGAGACAAATACTCAGTGCTGTTTGGTATTGTCACAACCAGAAGATCGTACACCGAGATCTCAAACCAGAGAACCTACTCTTCGTCTCCGATTCCCCTGATGCTGATCTTAAAGTAATCGACTTTGGAACTTCTAGAAAATTTGAAACTGGAAAGAGAATGACTAAGAGATTAGGCACTCCCTATTACATTGCACCTGAAGTCCTGTTGGAAAATTACAATGAAAAATGCGATGTTTGGTCCTGTGGCATCATTCTGTACATTTTATTATGTGGATACCCTCCTTTCTCTGGTCGAAGTGAATCTGAGATCCTCAAGAGAGTTAAGGCAGCTCAATTAAAATTTGACCATGAAGATTGGGCTCACATTAGTTAGGATGCTCAAAATCTTATCAAGAATATGCTCAATCCCAACCCAGCTAAACGTCTAAGTGCTGAAGAAGCCTATAATGATAAATGGATTTAAAATAATGCACCTTCCAATGTCATTAATTAAAAAGCATTGCAAAATCTATAGTAATTTCATGCCAAAAGCAAATTCAAATAAGCAGTTCTGACTTTTATGGCTACTCAGATCATTACTCAACAAGAATAGGATGAATTAAACAAGACTTTTAAAGCCATTGATAAAAATGGGGATGGCAAATTATCAAGATAAGAGTTAATTGATGGGTATACTCAAGTTACTAATAATTAAGAATTAGCAATCATCTAGGTTGATCACATTATGGAGTTGGTTGATATCAATCGTTCAGGGGAGGTTGATTTCACAGGTAATGCTATTTCTCTATATTTAGAATTTTTGATTGCTGCTATGAATTAAGAAAAGTTTCTGTCAGTTCAAAAAATGGAATAGGCATTCAAAGTTATTGATTTGGATGGTGATAATTATATTTCCAAAGCAGAATTACAAAATGTTATGGGTGATATTGATGATGAGGTATTTAAGTGTAATTTAACCAGATTTGGATACAAATTTTAAAGGAATGCGATAATGATAATGATGGCAAAATTTCATTAGAAGAATTCTCATCTTTGCTCCAATCTAAAGTATTATGATTTCATAGAGATTGCTTCATAATTATTTTTATTATTATATTATTATTATTATTATTGTTGTGAAATGCACTCTCATTTTCTTTTCCTGGGTTCAGGCACTGTTGGATTCAAATCTGCTAATTTTTGTTTTATATAAATATTCCTTAATTAATTTGCATCCTCATAAGGTCCAGATCTCTCAGGGCATTCCAAAAAAAACCAAAGAATCTTTATTTTAATATCATTTATCCTTACATTCTCAACTTTGCACACTCTCTTTGGTAGATCATCTTTCACACTCTTCTCCTTCAAACATGATACAAAGTTTTTTTCTAACCAATTGCATTCATTGCTAATATGGTAGGACACATATTTTACACATCATTAAGTGGTGGGCGATATTTGACTTCCATTATATTTATATTAATATTAATTAAATTCAACTCATTACATTTCACTTTCATTATTCTTTGCTATCTATTGATAAAGTATTCGTTGACATATTTGATAAAGAAGAGATGAAACTAAATAATAAACTATTTGATAATACAAAAATAGTAATGTCTTATAAATTGACATAAGATATCATTCGCTTTTTTTAAGTATAATAATTTTCTTTTTAATTCTCAATTGTTTTTTTAGATATCAGAAGTATTACTTATTTTAAGTAGAATTTAGATTAAGTCGAGCAAAAATTTCATTTATTATTCTTCTGATATGGTTTAATACTGTGGTACATGTATGAATATAGTTTGTGGATTCTACTTTAATGATTGATAATATAGATAATTGCAAAGGAATCGACCTGGATTGTATGACTTATTTACTTAATATCCTAATTGCTGTAATTAGGATATAATTTAAGTTATGTTTAAGGAGGATTTTATCTATTCATCCATATCTATTTCTTAATCTATTTTCACTCTTCTTATTTTGCATCCATTAAAATCACTTAATTCATAATCCAATTTATTGTAAGCACACATCTCTAATTGAAAATTTTGAAGTTCATTAAACAACCCAATATGAACATTTATAGCATTTTTATTATCAATTTGACTTAGATATTCATCACATGCTTCTTTGGTAACTTTAAGAACTTTAATGGACTCGATAGTAAATTCTTGTTACTGCTATGGAGACAATTATTATATCAAAAGTGCACTTGGGTTTCTCTCTGTCTTTCCCCACTCACCAAAACCAGACAGATTAATGTGCTTGTAGTTATTATTTTACATAATATATATAAAATAATTATAGTAAGAGAATTTTGTATTTGCTTTAAGATCTTAAGTAAATATAGGAAGATATTGATAGGTTATGTACTTAATTATAATTAATTTCATGCAGGTATTGCTATTTAATAATGTCCTGGAGTTAATAACAAAAAGATTTTTTCCAATTTTACACCTTCATTAACTTATTTAGGTTTATATTCCTTCTTATCATAATTAGAATTGTTTAAATCTATGAAATACAGGGTTATATGCCTAAAATTAGTTTAAGGAAAATAATTACAATTTAAAATGTTCAACAATTACACTTATCAAAATTTCATTATTGTTACACTCTTATTCCCAAGTGAGGAGATCATTATAAATATCTAAATCTCCAAACTATTTAAGGTCTTGAATATAATTATGATAGAGATGAGCAAAGTATCTTCTAAAAACTATAATAGTGAGTAAGTAAAATAGATAATCTGGATTCCTCATTTATCTTAACAATTATTCTTTTGTTTTTAATTACTAAAATTACCAAACAAACTCTTAAACTATTCTCTTATTCTCTTCAATTTTAATATCTTGATATTATATTTTTGCAGAGAGTTCTTCCATTTCCTTAATAAACCCATTTCTTCTCTACTCATCTCTTAGGAGAATTGATAAATATTAATATAAGAAAGCTGTATAAAAACAGTTCCCATCACCTCTAATGTTGATGTGTCCAACAATTTCTTTCTTAAGTTATTTAATCTACTTTGAAAATTTATTCTGGTTTCTTCCAAAATATTGCTTTATTGTATCCTAAATACTCTAAGCTTAACCAATAAATTATGAATATAAATACTCGACCTTTCTTCCTTTATAGGATCTATTGGCAATTTGATTAAGCAAGTCTAAATCATCTTCTGTTAAGTATTTATACTTTTCTATAAATTCAGATTCATCTTCTAGATATTCAACATTTTATTGCTCTTAATCTTCAATTATTTATTATTATTCTATTTAAGCAGGATTTTGTTCTTTTTAAGGTTCTTATTGTTACTATTGTCGATCCGAATTGTTCTACTATAAATCTTCTTATTAAACTATTTACTCTTATTATTATTGTTAATTATCTTATTTCTATTGTTTTCTATCATTATATTCTGATGGTTCAACTTATCGTTTTGTTTGATCATCTTTTACAAGCTCTTGCTTCACCTAAGGGGTAGATTATACTTTCTAGTTTGTTTCTGGAATTTTAGATTCACGATTATTCTTGGTATTTTGATGATTCTTATTTTAATCTTATTTATATGTCTATTATTATTTTTATTATTTTGACATTCTATTTTATTGGGGTTCTTAATATTCATTTCTACTCGGTTATGATTTTTCTTAATTTTCTTTTCCTAAAGTTTCATTTGCTTTACCAGAATTACTTTTTTTTTTGTTTCCTTTTATATATGATAAAAGTGAGCGGATCACTTTGAGAAAAAATATTATGACATTTAGATGTTAAGGGACATACCATTTTATTATTTTAAGGATTGGTTTCGGTATGTTCTCTATTAAGCTTTCTTTCTCCCTCAAGCCACTAAGACTTTGGTTTGAGGTTGTGTCTTACATAGTGTATATTATATTAATTAATGACGATATTTTTTTAATTGTAATTATAAATAAATAGGATTACTATTATATAATAAAATTAATTGATGCAACATTCGCGATTCATTTATAAATAGTGTGTAATTTATTTAAGTAATATATTTAAATTGAAAATCTATAAACTATCTCAAATTAGAATTATATAATTTATTCAATTCATTTATTTCCTAAAGCATTCTAATTTCGAAGTATCTCAATTATAAGTGATTACTAAATCTCTATTATTACTCAAATTTTTAATTTAACATAATGCTTTGTCCAATCACTTTTTTATAAATTGGACGAGATTTGCATTCACCTAGATACTACAATAATACAAATATATCAATAAGCATAACTAGTTTAATATTATTTATGCTCTTTATTGAAGTGGCTTCATATTCTATTAAAGTAACTATAGTTTGTTACCAACTTTATCAAATTTAACAAATATTCGGATATAGGAATAATTGGCAATATTTAAATAGTTTATAAATATCATTTGATATATCAAATACCATGGACTTTAATGTTATCTTATAACGCAATTCCTTCTTCCACTAAAAATTTGGCAATTTACTATCTATTATCTCCTGTCAATCTAATTGTGACTTAATCTCCATAGTCCTCATCTTTTGAAATAATACCACCAGTACAATTAAATTGCTATAACTAAATTATTAATAATACTTTCTTCCAAAATCTAATAATCTTATTTAAATCAAATTCATCTGGAATACCAACAATAATTGTTTGTGTTTTTCTAGCGCTTCTCTTTTTTAAATGAATATCTAATATTAATTATATTCTTACGAATGACAAAGTTGAAGTTTACCATTTCATCAAATTCATTCTAATTGTCAAATTGGTTGTCAGTCATTCAATATAAATTTAAGCTAATTTATTTATTTTACAATAAACTAATAATCATTCAGAATGGAAATAAATATCACATCGATAAGCTAGCTGTCTAAGGTTATATATGATCAATTCTTGAGTATTAATAGCTCTTAAATAGCCAAGGGAAAGTTTCTTTATATTTTACAAATGTTTGCCATTTGCAATATTTAATTTCAATTCTTTATTAATGATTGAAATTTCAACTAAGCAAAATGATATTGATAGAGATTTAATTTCTATAAATTGGATCAACAAAGATAATATTTATCTGAAAAATTTAATCCTTGTTATATGATTACAAATGAAGAAATAAAAAATATATATCACATTTTTTTCTTTCCACCAGATTTTTAAGTTGGTTCATTCTTTTTATTTGGTTTTCCTTTTGCTTTGCTGTTGTTTGGGTGAATAATTTTTGTAGTTTTACCAAAGAAATTCTCCAATCTACTTTAGAAACCCGTAGTATCCTTTTTGGCAATCCTTTTGAGTCCATTATCGATTCTTGATTCTGCAAACCCTTTCTCTTCAATTAGAAACTTTTTTAGATTTTCAACATCTGGTTTGTTCCAAGTTAACTATAATTAAAGTAAATCAAAAATTTTACCTAAATTTCATCTCCCTTTTAAACTAATGGGGTTATAAATAATTCTCGACTATCTTAATACAGGAATTTTGTTGGTACTGTATATTTTGGATTTTACTTATTTTTTTCTCTTTCTGCATTGACTTTTTAAACATGCTCCAAAATTCCTTCTATGTTTTTGAATTCTTTTATTAATTTAAAAGCAGTTCCAGGACCAATGCCTTCAATCTTTTCAGTATAATCGCACCCACACTAAAAATTAATAAAAGAATATTTACTAAAATGCATAGATCTACAAACTACTCGTATGTTATATCTAACTCTTTCATCATATCATCATAAATGATTTCATAAATGGGTTCCTTCTTTGTATTGAATCCTCTTAACAACACTGGTGTTCTGAATGTCAAAGCATCCATATCCTCAGTTGCTGTAGCATATATTTTTCCTGCTCTACACAATTCGGCACATTAGGCTTCTGCTTCACATGGTGCTATAATAACAGGACATCCCATTAATTAGAGCATTTTTATTGCATCTTCCTTCATGACACTAGATATAGTTGTGGTCCTTTGATGTTGAAGCAATGCCTATTGCATATCACCCTATTCAAGAGCCAATTCAGTTTTAACTTAAGCCTCCTCCTTTAATTTCTTTCTTCTTGCCAACTCACCACTTTTTAATAAAGGTGGTTTTCCATCAAATACCCAAACAGGTTTGATTCCATTCTCAAGAAATTGCAATGTTCTATTAAATAACCCAACTAGATGTCCAGTTCTATTACCATCCTTATCTGTCAACTCTATAATTTATGTTTATCCTGCAGATTGTGTTTAAATTAAAAACTAATACATAGCCATAGACGCATCACAACCGATAGTTCTATATTGTAAAAGATTGTCATTACCTGCCTGCAAAATAGTCAAGCATCAAAGTCCTAAAACAATTTGGTGCTTTTTCCTTCAGAAATTGCATAAGTTAATGAATTCCCATATTAATTAATTAATTAATTAATAAAAGCGCCAAAGTTTAATATGATTTTTATATATATATATTTTTGGAATGATCATCATTTTTATGTGTCAACAAAGACATAATTCTTATTTAATTTTTCAATATCCTTCTCCAATTAGGCTAACTCCTTCTCACATTGTTCCTTCCTATAAGGGAATATAGATTAATGAGTACTTTCTCTTCAACCCAACAGTATCAATCATCCTAATATGTGTAATTGATTAATATTCTTTGTTAACTGATTCCCATTTCTTTTTTAATCCCTTTTTTAATTGTTCGACTTCTTCTTGAGTCATCAAATATTTTTGTTTGTCCATTTCTTCAGCCTCACTTATGTGCATATTTCTAATAATTTCATATTCACTTGAAATGCTTTATTATATTTTTGTAAGATAGTCAGGTACCTTACCGTAGTCCTTTTTCTCAGTCCAAGGTTTATCATCTACTATTTGCTTTGGAGCACTTAGAATATTTTCAACTGCATTCGTCACTATGTAATTTTTATTAGATTTAAGGCCATGAATAGGCTTTTCATCTTTTTTAGGTACTGGTGGCCTGACTGAAGGAGGATATTTATATTGTTTGACTATTCTATAATTACAATGCATTACCTTCAGGCAGCTGGTTTGATCCCATTGTTCCAGTATTTTTCAATCTGAACATAGTAGAATCAGGTTTGTATGATCCTATAAAATTTCAAAGTGAAATTACCCTTAGGTCTTCCAAGAGAATTCGATTATCCCTTATGAGTGTGTGGTCCCCTAACTAAATCAAATTCTCCGTTGATATTATTAACCTGAATAAATAATACAACTACTTTAGGTCGACTAGTTGTATGGTTATTGAATGTGCTGCCAGTCGGTGTCAATCCACATGGATATGCCGATCTATACATCGGTTCTTTAGGAGGAGGTACATATTCCTTAGGAATCAAGTTATATATGCTTTCCTGTTACATAAATATAATATATTTAATAATAAAATACCATTTATTATTTTAATCATTATAGATTCACTTAAAATTTCTAAAGAAGAGGGTTATAGTAATCAATATCTTCCTTTTCTCCAGTGTATTTGAGCATTTGCTTCACTGAGCTAACGATTTCCTATTAATCTATTTACACATCCAAATCTTTATAAATTAATTCCAATAAGATGACATCGATCGACTCGATAACAATTAATCCCTTCCCCAACAAATCGAAATAGATTTTCTCTAATTGTTTTTCATCTAAATCATCATACTCCTCCGGATCAATCAAGGGAATCACCTCCACATATTCCTTTCTGAGTTTTCTGAGACTCTCTAATTTTTCAACGCATTTGTCAAACACTCTCTATTTGAAAGTGGCATCAGTGTTTCTCCTAAGCAACTATTTGATAATCTAAACAGTAGTTTCATCAATTTCAAATTGTTTATTTTTATCCTTGTGTTTTAGTCCCTTTCTTTCTAGGATTGGGAATATGATGGATAATCCTCCTATTTAAATTAACTTCTAGCAGTTCTCCTTATGATTATTAATAGCCAAAAGCATTAAACTATACGCTCTTATAGATTGGGATGTCTTTCCTTAAATGATCTTGATCATTAATTGTAATCCTTCGTAACTTTGAAAATAATCTTAATTTTCTTCTTAGATCAACAGTAATGTAAGTAAATCATATACATTATTTAATATTTCCTTCTCTTCTGCTGTTTCTGGATCTTTCTTTCTGTATTAATTCAAGACCATCAATAAACTTTCGATTCCACCGCTTCTCCCTATGATTTCCAAGTTCTCCTTTGTCTACTGAGTAAGTTCCACCAATAATTCAGAAGCATAGAGTCTGTTGTCATCCAAATTTTGACTGTTATCTTCCACTCTTTTCACTAGATATTAGATGATTTTGGATCGAAGACCAATCTCTTTGCTTATTGATGATTTGATATCCACCATGTTTTCAATTACTTCAAAGCAATCATGCAATAGATTAACTTCCTCTTGAGATTTCTCTTCGTTCTTTCCAATCAACTCACCCAATGATTCAATCAAATAATTTCGGATGAGGCAATCGTATAATTGAATAATTATTTTAGGTTCAACATCATTTTCAGGTGCCACCAATTCCTTCAAAAATTAAATGACATCATTCGAAATAGACTGATTATTGTGTAATAGCAATTGGATCACTATTGGAACAGCACTGCTGCTATAAAATATTGGATATAATTGGGGATATGCAGGTAAGATGAGAAGTTTTCGTAAGTCCTCATCTAAGTCAACTTCTGAATCAATGAATTTATCAGGTTGGTTTGGATACCTCATTCTCAAATCAGAGTTGAGTTTGTAATTATTTTCCAATTGAAATATCATTTCCCTTAATTGTCGTTCATCAAATAATTCAGTATTCTATTCTCTGAATTACATGTCCTATTATTCATCATTTCTATCATCATCATATTCCATATCCTCCTCATTATCATACTATTGCAATTTGACTCTCTTTCTTGGGTCCATAATTATTTTAATTATTAAAAAGATAGAAGCAAAAATTATATAATTATCACTCAGAATACCTCCTCAACAGATCATTAATTCTGTAACACAGAACATCATATTTGGCTATAAAATCATCATAAAAATTTAATTAATTATTGTAAAATTCTATTTAATACCACTTATTCATTTTTCCATAAATTATGGTATTAATTCACATTATAAATCCATTTTCATTACACAATATTATTATCTGAATATTAGTAACTGGAAATGTACAGTACTCAGCTAACCTAATTAAAAGATTATTTAATTAGTTTTAAATTTTTATTTATAATAATGGGCTCGTGTAATCAATGCCTGTAGAAGCAAGAGCCACTCAAATCAGGAAGGATCTAAAACATATTATTTAAGTAATCGCCACAAAACCATAGAATGGCAATCAAAATTTAATAGGCCTATAGATCCTACATTATCCGATAAAAATTAAAGTACGTCAATATCGTTATTTAAAGTTTAAAATTGGCAGAGAAAAAAGCAAGGAATCAGATTAAATGTAATTCAACTGAAGATATTATTGTTGACTATCATACTAACTCATATTCTCCGAAAATTCATCAGTCTGATGTTACCAATACTTTTTTCAGCTTCCAAAACAATCAAAAGGAGAAAGCTCCTCAAATTTTTAATCGTTAACTAAGTCTCAAATTAGAACCGAAAGAAACTGATTAATCCGAATTTGAAGAACTCATTTTAAACGACTAAACTGTTTTTCAAAAATATCCTCAATCTTCTAATAACTGTATTGGGGCTCCTAAAAATCAAAAAGAAAAAATTAATTCATTTAAGTTTGGTTGTGTCTTGACTCTAGAAACACTTGAGTCAAAAGATTAAATCATTTTAAAATAAAATTTTCATAAGAGACAAAAATTGGACACAATCAAATTAATTGGTGGGAACTCTTATAATGGGGAATGGTTGAACTCTTTACCTGATGGGAAGGGCAGATACTCTTTTTCTGATTCATCCTATTATTAAGGAGATTTTATGAGAGGGTTATTTCATGGCAAGGGCGAATTCAAAAGTAAGTAAGGTAGCTATTATAGAGGACAATGGCAATACAACAAAATGCATGGTCAAGGTACTTACAATTATAATAATGGATGTAAATATGAAGGTACTTCTATAATTAATTAAAACTTAGGTAGTTGGGAAAGAGATCTACCCAATGGACAAGGTATAGAATGGTATGTTAATGGTTCTGTTTATGTGGGTACTTTTTTGAATGGAATAAAACATGGAACAGGGAAATTAACATTTAACGTAGGAGAAATCTATGAGGGGGAATTTCAATTCGATAATTTCAATGGATAAGGAATATATGTATAAATTGATGTTACTATATGTAATATAGAGATGGCAAGATGGAAGAATCTATGAAGGAGAATGGTTGAATGGCAAAATGTGCGGGAAGGGACTCTTGGCTTGGCCTGATGGGCGTTTCTATAAGGGCTTATATTTGAATGATCTAAAACACGGTTTTGGGATATTTTCTTACTCCGATGGTCGTAAATACATAGGTCAATGGAAGCATGGCCTGTAACATGGATAAGGAGAGTTCCATAAGGGAGGAAAGACATCCCTTGTTACCAAAGGGATTTGGAAGTAGGGGTAATTAGTTAAATTGCTCTGATCTTAACTGCTATAATTTTATTTTTTCTTTTTTTATATAAATGAGTAGCGATTTACTTATTCAATAATCTCAAGTTTTTTACTTGTTAAGAGAAGGACTATGGAAATCAACATAGGTGTTGTGTCATAAGGTAATTTAAGATCGATATACGTAGTTTTATCAAAGAACTCAAGATCCATTCTTTCAATTTTGGAGGGCGTTCTGCTATTTCAAAAGTGGAAGTTTGAATGAAGCAATAAATGAATTGACACTTATAAGAAATAAAAGAGAATTTTAGTTTGCAACTTCAGCAGCACTTATCTACTACTCATAGCAACAACGCGGAGTTGATAGGGTAAAAGGGAAAGTTTAATTTTATAGGAAATCATCGAAACTTGCAGACAGATGTAAACCGAAGGTCGAAAGACTCCGAATGATCGAGCATTTCAGAGTGCCATTTATTTCTATTTATTCGTGGATGAAGGTAGAAAAGCAAAGGAAAGTTTGGAATTATTATCATAAGGGCAGCCAATAAGTTAGATCACTCTAGGATGGTATAAATTATTACAAAAGGAAGAGGAAATAAGCCCTGATAAAATCCTCGATTACTTTTAGAGTATTGGTGGTACTTAAGCTTATATTATCATTAGGGCAATTCAATTAAAAGCCGATTGAATATTTGTTAGGTCTGGCAAAGGCATCGGAAATAAATAAAAAGTATCCAATCACATTGGATGCTTTGAATGAATTAATGATCGTCTGGAGAGATTTTCCATTCACAGATGTAGAGAAGTTGCGATTCTGTATATTTATTTAAGACTGGGAATAATTTTAGGATCTAGCAAATAAAATACTCTATGATGATCCAACAAATATCTTTGGATTGAAAGCCATAGCCTTTTATAATTTGGCAAGGAAAGGAGATGTAAGAGAATCATTAGAGAAAATTGAAGAGTTATTTAATGCCATCTAAAAGCAAGAAGAAGACAATGTCTCATTAGTTTTGAATTGTTGCTAATTGCTTTCCAGAGTTTCAGGAAGAAATCAATAAATCCTCTAATTAACTATGAGTTAAATCTAAAAGACTAGAAAGATTGCCCCATTATTAGGCGATTTGTGTTTAGAATTAGCTTAAGAAACTTTGATGTTGGAAGAATATGAAAAGGCTTATGGTTTTTTCTAAGAAGCTGCTGCTTTAGATGAAGGTAGAATGGAATCCTTAGCAGGAATGATCTAATGTAAAATATTATAGGGAGTCATTGATGATGCAGAAAAATAATTGGAATTTGTTTAGGAAGTCTAAGTTTCTGTTGGTAGAACCACTGAAATTGCTTTTTTATAGGCCTTACTAGAAAGCAAGAAGTCAGAAGGAACTGATTCTCCTATTGCCTAGCAATTTATTGAAGAAACACTTAAACTTCATTTAACATAAAGTAAGTTATTGCTACCTGGATATGAGTTTTATATAAAGTTTAATCCAGATTTCACATTTACGATTGCTTAAATGTACCTCAGAAATCTATCCACTAACCTAATGTTAGCAGGTAAGGAATTGCCAACTTCAGGTATTGGAAAAGGAACCAAATTATTAGAAAGCATAGCAAGACAAGCTCCTGGATTAACTAATGTTTAGTTATTATTATCTACTGGTAAAATGGCATTAGGGGATCCACAAGAAGCTTTAAAAACAATTAATAGAGTTTTAGAATTAGATCCTAAGAATGAAGATGGATACATATTGCATGCATTGATTTCTATTAAGACTAAATAGATCAACCTAGCAGCAAACTCTTTAAACTAAGCCATATCTAATAATTTTGCCATCAGAGAAAATCCCTTATTTATGTTGGTTAAGGGAGAGGTTGAGTATAGAACTGAAGATTACAAGAATGCTTAGATTACACTAGAGGCAGCTTATGAATTAGTTGCAGGAAAATATAAGAATAAAAATAAAGTGAAATCAAAAATTGTGTAATTTACTGAAAAAGATAAATGCCAAGTTTTTGTATTGTTAGCTAAAGTCTATGCGATTAATAAGAAAGAAACTGAAGCTAAAAAGATTATGTAAAAGGCTATCTAGGAATATGCAGGCAGTCCTCATGAAAGCACTATTATGATGGCTAATAGTGAAATAGCCATAGAGAGTGGAGACATAAAGAAGGCAATTAATATTCTTAAGGCTGTTTAAAGTGGATAACCAAATTTTGTTAATTCAAGAATTATTTTAGCCGATGTCTACTTAAAGTATTTGAAGGATCGAAGAAATTTTACAAGGTGTTATGCTGAAATCATTGAAGCAGAACCTACAGCAGAAAATTATAAATTGATTGGAGAAGCATTTATGAAAATTAATGAACCTCAAGAAGCTGTTTTAAGTTATTAAAAGGCAGCTGAGTTGAATCCAGAAGATGAAGAAATAACAAGGATTATTGGTAATGCACTTACAATGACATATGATTATCAAAAAGCAGTTAATTATTACGAGGCAGCTTTGTAAAAGACTCCTGGAAGATAAGACTTATTAGTTGATTTAGGGAGATTGTACTTGAGAATGAATAATATCAAAAAAGCTGAATAAGTATTGGTTTGGGAGAAGTTTTTAAGCGATGATTATGCTGCACCAACATTGACAACTTTAAGAGCTAATGCTTAAGGCTTTCTTTTGATTGCAAGGATGGTTACTAAATTACAATAAGCTACTTTTAATTAAGCACAAAATGCTGAAAAAGAGAAGATCTAATAGTAATTGATGGCTGAATCTCAAAAATTAATAGAAAAAATAAGAAAAGCATTTGAATTTGCAGTCCAAACATAAAAGGATGTTATTGAAAAAAGTAAATTAGAAGCTGCTAATGTAAACAAGGAAAAGGAATAATTGGGATTAATCTTTTTAGAATAAGCCAGATACTTCTTTTATAATGAGAGAAATTATAAGGCAACTTTAGATTGCATAGATGATGGTGTTAAATTCATACCTACAAATGAGAGTTTGATTTAGTTATAGGCTGAAACATTCTATCAAAGTGGAGACAAGATTTCATGCGAATAAAAATTAAAGATATTGCAAAAATTGAATCCTAAAAATGATTATGCTTCCATGATGTTATCAGAATTAGTATTATAATAGGATGATAGTGAAAAATCAATTTAATAATTTGTTCAAACCTTACAAGAGAAACCAAATTCATTTGGAACCTTGTCTAAAGTAATAGATTGGTATAGAAAATAAAACAGATTGGATGAAGTTTAAATCATTATTGATAATTGCGCTAAGGCTACATAAAACTAAAATGAACCAGGATTATGTTTTTGCAGAGGGTTGTATTATAAATATAAAAATTTACCTAAAGATGCATTGATACAATTTAATTATGCAAAGAAACATTAGTAATATGCTGAAGACAGCTTGACTTATATGATCGATTTGTATTTGAATCCTGATTAAGATCTTTATTATTCAATCACAGATGAATAACCAAAACCAGTTGCAGTAGAAAATCTAAAGGCTTGTGATTAATTGCTTAAGGAACTGTAAAATAGGGGAAGTATGTCAAGGTATTTATAAAAATTATTATTATTAGATATCTAGTTATGTAGGCATATGTACTTTAATTGTCAGGTATTCAAAAATCTATTGAAATGGCTAGTACTATTTTGGCACAGATATTAAAGAGCAATAAAGAATGGGTTCCAGCTATGTTGAGTTTGGCAATTAATAAATTCTTAAGCAAAAAACAAACTGAAGGTAAAACTATTTTGAAATTGTTATGGGCAAAGCAGGCTGATACAAGTGGTTGGGAAAGAGATGAATTAGAAAGAGCTTGGTTATTACATGCAGATGCATTTATATCTATTCAAAAATATGATTAAGCTGAAGAAATATTAAGAAAATGCTTGAAATAAAATAAATGCTGTGCTAAAGCAGAAGAATTGATGGGTTTGATAAAGGAAAAGGAGCAATCTTATATTGATGCCTCTAATTCATATGAGAAAGCATTCAAGTTGACAAATCAAAGGAATCCTATTATGGGTTATAGATTGGCATTTAACTATTTAAAAGCTAAAGTACTAATAAAACATAAACATCTAGCGTTTCGTTGATGCAATAAATATTTGCAAATTGATTCTACAAATTAACCCAGCATTTCCTAAACTGTAATCTGAAATCCTTAACAAAGCAATTCAAGCCTTAAAGTCTTGACAAATTAAATATTATTATAAGCAATTTAAGAATAATTAATCATTTCTTCTTGTCTTATTATTACTATTATCCAACGTTAAGATCTCTCAACACAACTACTTGATTAGTAGCTCTATTATATTCCCAACCTCCAAAAATCAAAATATGTGGGCCGATAGAAGTAGCAGTATGGCCATATCTATTTCTAGGAGCATTCCCTTCGTATTTTGCCTTTTCCCAACACATCTTCTCAGTATTCAATACAATCAAATAATCAATGTCTGGTGGAGTAACAAAATTATTTTCACTTAAATATTTAATTAATTTACCTTCTGGCTCCTGAGTTTAATGACCACCCTCCAAATACAACAATATCTGCTCCGCTCACATTTGCCGAATGTCCATATCTTGGAGCAGGTGGGGTACCACTTACTCTAAGTCTACTCCATGCAAAATGCTCTGTATCAAGAATTCTAATGTCATTTAGATAGCATCCCCTTAAATGGGATCCATGTCGAGGATTGGCAGTTTTATGAAGATTTTTTAGATTTTTATCTTCTTGATAGTAGAATCCTCCTTAAATGATTAAATTGGCACCAACTTGTATAGCTGTGTGTCCTTGACGAGGAGTTGGAGATGGACCAGTACAGGGAGGTTAAGACCAAGCCATAACCTCTAAGTCTAATACATAGAGATCATTGAAATAATCAATTCCATTCCACCCTCCAAATATTATCATTTTAGTTGATGCATACTAAGATAATATATTGTAAAATAATTACTAAAGTAGCAGAATGAGCGAATCTAGCACTGGGAGACCCTGATCCTTCAGGTCCCTAATACCAAGTTAATGTTAATGGATCAAGAGCATGTAAATCTCTGAATACACACTTTTCTCCTTTCCCTCCAAATATAATTATTCTTTATCCTGCTAAAACTGCAGAATGAGCATATCTTGGAGCAGGGGGAGTACCTTATACCTTAGCCTTAAACCATCTATTAGCATTAACATCCATTTAATATGTGTCATTCAAATACTTGTATCCCTCATCTTTGTTTGCATAATAATGTCCTCCAAATAAGATTATTGAGGCTCCACTCAATGTTGCTGAATGTCCTCCTCTAGCACATGGAGGAACTCCCTCAATCAACGGTTCTGCCCATTACCACTTTCTTTGATCAAATGGTTAGTATTTAAAGCCTTAATACAATAAGTAATTACTTTATTAATCCTCTTACTATTCTTCTGGTTAATATTCTTAATATTCTTCTTGCTGTTACAAATCTTAATCTTCGTCATCATAATCTGGTTATTCTACGGCCTCAGGCTATAAGGCATCTCCATAATCATCATCATTGTAATCTGCATTGTTTCCTGAATACTATGAACCATCTCTCTCTTCAGAGTACATTGTTATAAATAATTTTAATATTACAATAGAAACTTATGTACTAAACGATTATACTCATAAAAACAATTCTTCTTCTCTTTTAATCAAATTGCTTGTTAAATCAATCAGATTTAACACTTTATTTACATTGTCCCCCCATTCTTACAACACATCATTTTCGTTCTTCTTTAACTAGTAATCAACAATCCCTTTTATACGATCAATCTTGCATTTAAGTAACTTATATGATTTATTAAAACAATACTTTTTAATCCATCATTATGCAGATCTCTTCCTCCAATTCCTCAGTACTAATACCAATTAACTCTGTTATTCTATTAAGATAGACCGAATCATAATAGATTTAGAAAATTCTTAAATTATGGTGAATTAGTTGTCTTCTAAAATCTAAACACATTACATTTAATTATATTACCTTTGTATCTTTATTGGTTATTTTCAATAGACTCATCAAATATTTCAGCTGCTTAGATATTATGAGTTTATGGTTCAGTGCTAATCAATTCAGTTCCCAAAAATGCTTAAATTAATTATTATAAGTTAGGCAATGCTTCAAGCCCATATTTATATGTTGTTACAATGCTCTATAATTGTTTTTACTAATTTATATTGTTTGATAGTATACTTTTTCTTCAGAATATTGGCTCAATATTGTAAATATGGCATAATTTTCTAAAACAGTGTTATAATCAATTTTGAAATTGAAATCAACTTTTGTAGCCTCTAATTATCTATTTTTATGCAAAGTTTCCAATATTTTAGAATAGGCATGAGCTGTTTCTTGATAGTTGTTTTCGTGTCTATAATAAATGACTAAGAATGAATAATATATGATTTTGAGATCTGCTATATTGTCGTCTTCAATATTTTTAGGCTCAATTTTCTTAGAGATTATGAATAGTCTAACATAATCTAATTTCTTAATCATAATTTTCATTTGATATAAGATGAATTCCAATTTTTCTCTTTTGTCCATAGATCCATAGGTTTCCACTTAGACTTCTTATAATATTTTGGCTGCATCTGCAATTTGATTATCATCTTCTTTGTATTGAGTGAGCATCAATACACAACGAGCATACTCAACTTCTAAGTAAATCTTCTTTTCACATACTTTCATAATGGCATCTATCATTTCCAATTTCTAATTAATTGGAAGTGTCTTTAATTCAATCATAGCCATTTAAACAAGTTCAATTTATGCTTTTTTTGGTTATCCTCTCTTTTTACTAAGTGACACTATCAATTCATTAAATTTTGAGTATTATTTTGTAACAAAACACAAATTGGCAATTTGTTTAGTCACTTTAAGTGTTTCAACTAAATTATTAGCTAAACGAGCTGTCTTCTCTTTGTTAAGGAGATCATCTATTTGTTTATCAAACTCATTCTCTTCAATGATCATTTGGATTTAAATTTAATTTAATGAATACCAATCTGATTTATTTTAATAATGATTTATGAAGGTAAATAATCTATTTTCAGCCATTAAGATTAGTATGCTCTAATCAGATTGGTTAACTCTGAAGATGATGCAACCACAAAGAAACATGAGGAGGGTAAGACTACATTTACACTAAAAATGGCAAAATACTTATCAACTTCTGGAATTGGAGATTATTTGGATGGAATTAACGTCCTCTTGAGTTTTCTATTAACGGTTTTGCATCTAATTGATTGTTCATTTTGGGTCTAAGGAGGAACTTACGATGTTGGAGAAGCTTAAACATTTATTACAGTAATATCAACAAAATTAAAGTTTTTAGATTCCTGAATTGATCTGTTACATATATTTCCTCCTTGATTTTGCAATTAATTTCTATCTTTCAGAAAATAAATTGTTCTTCACTTTTTAAACAACATCACTAATTGAATATGTTTCAATATTTCCATCATTGCTAGCTAGATTAAATATTATAACTGGATACAAGTATATATATTTATTGAGGGTGTTGCGTTTCCTATTGTGCTACAAATTGGATAAGGTGTTATAGAGGCAGTCAATGGAAGGTATTTAATTGGATTAATTTAGAGTATTTAGGTTGGCATACAAACCAATTGTAACTGTTATGGCAATTATAATGATCAATTCATCAGTCCTGTACGTAGTTGAACAAAATTACTCAATAGTTGAATATATCTACTTTATGGTCGTGACAATATCAACAGTTGGATTTGGTGATGTATACCCAACAACAATCTATGGTAGATTTTCAATTATTATTGCAATTCTGATAATGTTTCTGGTCTTACCACCTCAAGTTGAGATGTTGACCAGAGTATACAGCTTGCGAAGTTAATATGCAAGAAATAAATACATTTCAAAAAAAGAATCAGAACATGTCCTATTGCTTGGATCTTCTTAAGTTGAAGGCTTTAAGACATTTTTAAATGAGCTTTATCACACTGATCATGGATTGAATGACACTAATACTGTCATACTCTAACCTTCAGCACCTACTGAAGAAATGACTCTCTAATTGAAACAACCAGCTTTATAGTCTAGAGTAATCTATTTAGAAGGACATCCATTATAAAATAAGGATCTAGAAAGGTGTAGTTCGAAGGACTGCAATTGTGTTATTGTTTTAGCAAATAAAACAAGTAGAACACCAAAAAGGGATGATTATCGCAATATTATTCATGCATTTGCTGTGAAATAATTTGCAAAAAAGCAGAAATCCAAAAAAGGGGCAAGAGTATGCTTGTAAGTATTGCAACCTTCCAGTAAGGATTTATATTTTAATTCTCTTGGTGGTCATGAAGCTGATTAAGTGATATGTGTAGATGAACTTAAGCTATATCTTTTAGGGAAAACTTGTTTATGTCCTGGAATAAATACACTTATTTCATTTCTAATTCAATCATCCAAACCAACCTATGACATAACAAAATATGACAAAAATAAGAGTGAATGGATAGATGACTATTTATGTGGAATGCAAAATGAAATCTATAGAATTCCATTAGAGTCAGAAGCATTTGTTGGCCTCACATTTAGTTAAGTAATTTAGAGTTTAAATAGAATAGATTTCTTAAGCAATATATAAAGAGTTAAATATAATATTATTCGCTCTAGAAGTAGAATTAGAATCAGGCACAAGTGTATTTGTCAACCCAGCTGAATATCTATTTGAAGATTACTTGCATTACGGATATGTGATAGCCAGCGAAATGCCCAACATTGATTAGATTTAATAAACCAAATTCCCTGAATACATTTAAAGGAACTACTGCTTTCCAAATCAGCAGAGATAATAAACTAATAAAAATGCACTCTAACAAGAAGCTGAATACTTAAAGGATCTACTTAGTGAGGGACTCAAGGATGATTCATCCAAAAATCCTGCTTATTATTAAGTCAAGCCTCAAACCATCACTACAGGACTTCCTAAGGTTGGAGACCAAGAAAAATTTGAAAATCACTTTATTGTATGTGGTGTTGTTTCAGATATGAAATACCTTATGATGCCACTCAGAGCCAGGTCCTTAAAAAATATTCAACCAATTGTAATATTGAATTAGGATTTGATTCCAACTGAAATTTAACTGCAAATTAACAAATTTCCTAAGGTATATTTTCAATAAGGATCTCCGCTTAATACTGAAGATCTAAAGAAAGCCTGTATTCAAAAGGCTTCAGCTTTAGTGATCCTATAAAAGTCTGCTGATTTAGAGGATGGGTTATCAAATATTGTCGATGCTGATACAATCTTCATATATAAGACTGTGAAGTTGCTAAACTAAAACATAAACATAATAACTGAATTGGCCTCCATTTCAACTATTTCTTTCTTATAGATCTCAAGAAATAATTATGTTCAGAAATACGATTGGTCAGTGAGTGAACCATTTGCCTCTGGAGAAATATATATTTCCACCATGCTTGATACTTTAATATGCCAAGCCTATTATAACCCATTCATCACTAGTATTTTTGATTAGATGATTTTAGGAAGTGCTTCAGTAAACAAAAAGGTAATTTTAATTTGTATTATCATAGAATAAAAAAATATATTAGGCAAACAAGTTACAGCAGAGCAACTTATTTCTTATTAATATACCACCAAAATATTAAGAAAAAACTTTTGGAGAACTTTTTGAAATATTGCTTACTGAGTAAAAGATGATTCCAATTGGACTTTATAGAGGGGAAAAAGTTAAAAATAATAGTAAACCTTATGTTTTCCTTAAACCTCCTATGGATGTGGTGGTATCAAGCAAGGATAGAGTGTATGTCTTAAGTGCCAAACAACCCAAAGAACAAGAAACTATTATTGACTCTTAAATCAATCTAGGAAACGAGGCTGCCTCCTAATATTTCAATATCAAATCTAAACTATAAGGGGAGGAAGGAAGAGTTGATGTTGAATATTCAAGAGAACTGATGAAATTTAATGAGAAAATGAAGACTTTCGGAACTTAACTAAAAGATATTAATTCGTCAGTCTTTAATCAAGGATTGATTCAACATGGTATTTAAATTATCTATTTAGATTTCATTGAAAAAGTGCGATCATTGTTAAAAAATGAATTAGCCAGTCTAAATCCAACAACTTGATAAATAATTATGATTACTATGATATTTATATATATATATATATAATAAAGTATTTAAATCATTTTTAAACTTTAGTTAAAATTGAATACATTGCATTGATATGACAAAGTGTCTATTTCTACAAACTTTTAATAATAAACTCCCTTGAATAGCCAAATTACTCTATTTAAGAAATAACTCTCAAATCTAGATTAGAATTTTATGTTGACACTTTATTCGATTTCAAATTTAACTCTTTCAGCCAAGGATGATTCAGAATTTCAGTTGATGTTATTCTCAATTTAGGGTTCACATTTAATATCGACTTTATAAGATCTAATAGACATATTAATATAACAATACCAACAGCATCATTTGATAAGTTTAATTTCTTCATTTCCATAAAATTAAGCAAGCCATTTTAAATATTGTGATTCAATTCATTCATATTATTTCCTTTGAATGGTACTTTACCGACAAGCAAAATGTAAAGGAGAACTCCTGAACTCCATATATCACTTGCAAATCCTTCATATCCTGCTTTATTGGATATCACTTCTGGTGCCAAATAAGCAGGAGTTCCACATTGTTCCAATATCTTTTATCCCTTGATAATTTGCCTGCTCACTCCAAAATCGCATATCTTTATTTACTCCCCCTAAAGTAGTATGTTATCTAATTTAATATCTCTATGCAGGATATTATGACTTTAAAGTATCTATAAAGCCAAAATCAACTGACTAAATAGATTCTTGGCCTATCCTTCTGGAATAGGCTTCTCTTTTGTCCATTTCATCAAGTCTCCTCCTTCAACATATTCCATTATGATATAGATCTGCTTTTTTGTCTCGAAGACTTCAAAAAGTGAAGCAAACTATTGGTATTACTAAAGGATTTTCATGAGTGTAATTTCCTTAAAAATAGATAGATATAAGTAATTACTAACAACAATCTTTTTTTAGCACTTTCTGTTTTAAGTGTTGATTTTTCAATTATCTTCATGGCCACCTTTGCTCCAGTTAATATTTGGATACCCAAGCATACTTTTGCAAATGCTCCCTTGCCTATCACGTAGCAGAGCTATCTTACTAAGGTTAGAGATGCGATACCTTATAAAAATCAGGTGTTGTGATTGGAATGCGTTTCTTTGTCTTGACAGTATAAGCAATTCGGTTGGCAAGAATTATTCGCTCCTTCATTATGTCTTCAGTTGTGGGAAACTGTATATCGGGTAATTGTAGCATGAAATCTTGGCAATCCAAGAGTTCCGTCTCCATTCTGCCAAAATCAGGTAGCATCTTTGGAAAGCTCTCTTCTTTGCTGATTTGGCTGTTGGAACGTGATTTTTGAGTTGTTTGCTAACTTCTCGATGTTGCCTTATTTCCAAGATCAATTTTCACTTTTCCCAATTTGGAAACTGGTTTTGAATTAGACATAGAGACTGACTCTGAATTTTTGGTAGGAACAGGCAATCTAATAATTAATATAGCTATGCTACTTAATGGCTGGACATAATTTGCTTACAGATCTAGAGCGGTCTGTTGAATTCTTGGAAACCTAATTTGAGATACTCCTAGTACGAGTGTTAGTAGATTAAGTGTTAAAATTGATGCATTTGACAGAAATATGTTTTTTCAGTTGATTCATTTTATAACAGATAAAATTTAATTATTCTAAATCGAGCAACTCAAACTATCCCAAATAGCACTGACCAAAAAATAAAAATTAGTGAAAAACTAGTTACAACTATGGGTTTTGAATGATGTTTATCAATTCATCTACATTAATATATATAATTGTTAATTTGAGTTATTGATTTGAATAGAGTAATTGAGTCTCTTTCAAATAAAAAGAGTATTTAATAAAAATTATGAAAATAAAAATCATATATCTAAGAATTCTTACAAGGATAGTCTCCCATCTTTGTCTTTATCATAAGCATTAATAAGAAGCATTGCTTCATGATGGGTGTATCTAAGTCCGCTTTCATAAAGATATTATTGAAGCTAAATCAAATACAAGTGCATACATCTGAAACTCCAATAAAATTGTCTCTTGTAATGGCATCGATTTTATTGAATAATTGAATGTCTGCATTTAATTTCACTGGAATTTATTACAATAAAGTTAATAGTTCAATCAGTAATTCGATAGTCTAATTGCTAAATAGTTCACTTATCTTTTTGCTATATCCATCTTCACTTGGCTATCTTGTATTGAGTATTTCAGCAAAATTAGCAGATAAAGGCTGAAGAAGAATTAAAAAATCATGATATGTCAGTTAGTCATTGTTAAATCTATTAAAAATGTGCTTACTTTAACCTGCCTTTTAATTAAGTAGAGTGTCAATTTCTTCTTTTCCTATTGATCCTTTGCCGTAAACATCTAAGGCTCTAAAAGCATCCAAAGTATTAAAATCTTTTTATAATGCTAGCTATTTCTTTATTTTTTCAATCTTAATTTCTTTATCCATCAGATATTCAATAATTTCTGAAGGCTATTTTGATTTAGTTTTTGATTGAGTATTAGCATTCTTTTTATTCGTTTGTACTTCTATAATCTTTTTCTTCTAACTTTGTCCTTCTTATTTTTTTGAAGTCTCTTTTCCTTTAACACTTAATTTTTAAGTTTAACAAGCAGCCACTTTTTTTTAAGATTTTTACCTTTGGATCAAATTTCTATTTCGAGGAGATACATTCATAAATCGAGTTGTTTTTTTCAGAGATCCCTTTTTATCAGTTGTCTTAATTGAATTCTAGACTTGTATTTACTTTTTAGGGGTTACAAATGCAGAACAGGATTCTTTTTCCTATCTGTTTTTAGTTTACTTATTCAGGACAAGTACCCAATTCTTTAACAATAATAAATCAATTTAACCATCACCATAAAAGTCTAATCTCTTGACCATTGCATCGATTTCATCTTAGTAAACAAATAATCTTTCCTTTTTAAACAAGGATTCAATATCTTCTCTAGTTCCATCAGTTAATTTATCTAATGATTAGGGAGGTAGTAAATTATTCATTAAGACAACCTCTAAGCTAATATGTTTTGCTATTTCCTTTAAACACTCATTGGATTAGTAGGATTGTTAATCTGAGTGAGAGATATAATCTCTTAACAGCTGATTTGTTGGAAGTAGAAATCTTAAGAAATCTACATATTTAAATTCCGGCTTGTAGAATAATATGCCACATTCCTTGAGGGTGTGCAAATAGCCAAATCGATGTAGGAATATTTATATAGTCTATGCTGTTATATAACCCTTAAAATTCATAACTATCACAATACTTCATTAAGTTAGTCAATTTATTTAAAAGCCTGGTAAGGATGAAAAGTAGGGAATTTAGTTAGAAATTGCCTACTTATTTCGATGGTTCTTTCAATTTTGGCACATTCCATTAGAAAATCCAATAATTCCATTTAAACAAACAAAATAAATATTAGTATTAGTATTAGAGGCTAATCAATTATAAGAAAACTTAACTCTATCTTGTTTCAGATCCCTACATTATTTAAAGTAAAATTGTTTTTAAAGGGAAATTAGATCACATAGAGGGTTGACTTCAATTTATTTTTCATTTTCAGAATAAAAATTTAAGAATTGAAGAATTTTTTGGTCTCTGTAATTTAGAAGCAAAGTGATTATTGTTAAGGCCATTAAGTCTAAGTGTAGAGAAGAATAATCGGAATGATAATTTTTAAGATAATATATTCATAACAAATTTGATTTATAAAGAAATGAAGAGAAACAACAGTTCCTTTGGGTAATAAGAAACTGTTTACCACATTTCAAAACCAAATTCAATGTAAGAAATAAATTGTAAGAAACTTAAATACATAAGCATCAATCTGCATAAGTTAGGGTTATTAATAGAATAGTTCATTAAATTAGTTATATGCAAATAGGTTCCTAGGCGAATGGAACGAGGATATGTATACAGTTACAAGAAAATACGTACCCACTTACACTAATGGTTTAAATTTATATACTACATATTGTTCACCATAGAATCCGATTGCTACTATTGTGATCATACATGGCTATGGGGATCATTCAGGGAGATATTTCCATGTATTATATCCTACTAATGTGATTAGGTTGCTGATGAGTATGCTAAATTAGGCTTTTAGGTTATTCTCTATGATTAAAGAGGATTCGGAAATTCTGGAGGCATTAGAAGTCATGGCCATATCAAATAGATGCACCAAGATCTAGAATGCATCCTAATGACTATAGAACGATCCTAACCAATCTTCTTGCAATGCTAATCATTGGGAGCTGCAGTTGGTTTAAGTTTTTGTATTTCGAATCCCTCCTTGATTCTTTAAGGAGTCATTGTTGTTAACCCATATCTAAAATTTGCTTAGAAATACGGAATCCTCAAGAAGATGCTACTAACCTTGATGAATAAGATGATTCCAGTAAAATAAAAATAAATCATAGGGATTGATGGTCAATTCCTATATAGATTTCGGGCATTGTAGTAAAAATAACAATGTCATAAAATCAGTAGCTGAGGATAGTTTAGTCCAGCCATTTATGAGTATTGGAATGGCTTATAACATTTTATAATTAGAATAGTATATATTGCCTAATGTACAATTGTAAAGAATTGCTCAATACTATTTAGATTTGCTTAACCGCTCTTAATTTTGTATGGCAAAGAGGACAAAGTGGCTAGTCATATGAATTCGGTTGAGCTTTATCGACTTGCCGGATCAAAGGATAAAACCTTAAAGTTATTCGATAAAGGATTTCATGAATTATTGAATGATGTTGAATTTGAGAGAGTCAAAAACCTAATAACTACCTGGTGTCAGAAATAGATCAACAAAGATAAAAGAATAAGTATTCTCTATATCAATTTATGCTAAGGTTATTTTAGGGAGTTGAATCATGGCTTAGTAGCAAAACACAATAATAGTACAAAAATGATCCTTGTGTAATGGATATTGATATATTTTATGTTGAGAAAGTATTATCTTACCTTAAAATTAGTAAAATGAAAAACTTAGGAGGACTAGCACGATTTGTTTGTATATTAGCTTTAATGATTGCCTCATTAATTGTACATATTAGGTGGTGATTTAAGATTTTTATGTTTCAAAATATGAAACATCATTTTTTTTTTAATTGGTATAAATTTTCTACAAGAATATAATGCTACTGCACTCAAATAACTTTATGGCATATAATTTAAATGCTATAATATTGGGCTATTTGGGTTTAAATCCGTTTCCTTAATTTGAATTAATTTAAATTTAATCTCTTATTATCAGAATTTATTATGTAGAATAATTTAATTAAATAATAAGACAATAATTCTGTTTATTCAAATTTGAAAGGCAAATAATAATATTTATGAATCCATTATTAAAATTATAAAATACATAAAAATGTCAACTTTAGAAAACATAGTCAATAACTAAGAAGATTACAACGAATTCAATAATGACGATGATTTTGATTTTTTAAATTTTGAGGTACCATAATTAGTAAGAAGAGATGGAGCTATTCAATAAGAAATTGTTTAAGGATATATAATCCTTGACAAAATGTTAGATAAAACTTATAAAGAGGAAGCATGTCCAATTTGTTTAAGTGAAGATGAAGAGCTGTACCCATTGTATTGTGGTCATACCTTTTGCTAAAATGACATAAATAATTTGCTAACGGATTCCCAATCTAAGCAGAATATTGTTTGTTGTCCGATATGCCGATAATACTAATTTATAGAGTCATTTAAAATGTTATAGGAACTAAAAATTGCTTCAATAAATACAATTTAAAAAGACAACAATGTAACATGTTGAGATTTAAACTGAAAATTTTGTTTTTGTATAGATAGTTAGTATCAAATAATAACTTATTTCCTCTTCAAGTGTTTTAATCTTATATTTAAATTGAACCGGTGTTAAAATAAAATAAATGTTTATTTTCTTAAATCAAAACACACTTTATTCTTACCAAAATTTTAATAAAAAGAAACCAAAACGCTCCCCCCTTCTCAAATTGTACTGTATATTACCTTTTACACAAAGGGGTTTTTGTCAAAGTTCTTTAAATTTTTCATCAATTTTATAAAATTTCTCCTAATTAAAATGCCAAATTATGGCGTATTCCAATAAAGTACAATTCTAATGGAATTTCAATTAAATATAGAAAGCAGAGACCATCTTGATCTTCCATTTCATCAGATAATTTGTGACACATTTTTAATCATTAATTTTAGCTTACTCTTATAATTTCAGGTTACAAATTGGTATAGAGGATGCGTATTTCTATTAATAGTCAAAGCTGGGTGTAATATTTAATATTGGTCTAATTTCTTATTAATAGCTAATTAGTAGCTCAAAATAGGTTAATCCATATATATTGGATTATATGTACATTTTGGGCATCATTTAAAAGATTACTCTGTATTGTATAGAATAAAGATGCTTTTTAAAAGTGATTTAAATTTCTGTTTTATCACAATAAAATATATAAAAATATTGAAATAATTTAATTATCAACTGATAAGTTAATAAATGAGTTAGCTGTTCTCAAATACTACTAATAATGAAAATTTTTTTTAACAGGATGAAGATTTATCTGATTATGATGATGTCGAACTTCCAAAAATGCAAAGGATGAATGCTTTAATTGTCATTGAGTAAAAAGTAGAAAAATAAATCCAGAATTTTGTTCCTAAAAAATATACTAAAATATATTATTCTGAAAATTGTCCAATATGTTTAGAAAAAAAGTAACTTATTCCCCTACAATGTGGACATACCATTTGTTTTGACGATATTTAGGAATTAATCACTTAGGCAAGAAAGGAAAATCGAAATATTTCATGTTGTATTTGCAGAACTGAACTTAATCCCTGTGTTTAATTGAATAACTAGTTGTAAGATTCTCTCGTAATTGTCAGATGAAAACATTGTAAATGGACTTGATTATTTCTATTAGATAATAATTTATATAAGATTAATGTTTCATTAAAAATAATCAAATAGACCTATATAAGAAATTAACCAAGAAAAATGCATGAATTGCAACAAGTATATACATTCTACTCTGATCCGTAATCATCAAGCAATTTGTGCTGTGACTATTTCCTAAAAGGATTAAGAAATGTTGGATGAGCATTTAGCTATGCTTATTCAATAAAATAAAATAGAATCGAAGATATTTATGTCGCCAAACCCCCCTGATACTCTTCAATAATTTACAAATTAACATCAAAATTAAGTCGAAAAGAGGGAAGTTCCAGCTTAAATAAAAAATGTTTTCGAGTCCAATAATCCGATAGCCTACTAAAGAGATGTTAACTATAGACAAGTAAGAATGCATTAAAAAAACCTAGGATTAAATAGTATATAATGACGATTTAAAATTCTAATAAAATGAATTAAAAAAAAAACACAACATCCATCCTTAAGAATAAGCTGAAAATACCACATAAAAAAGGGATTAAAATCCATAATAAACCTAATAAAATATGGTATTTAATACAGCCTAATCTTAAGCTTAAGCTTTTAAAAATTTATAATAATGTGCTATATAATAGGCTTAATAATAAGATGTTGCTTAAGGAGATCCCAATTATTAAAAATATAATCAAAATCAAACTAATCTTTAAAATTAATCAGCAGGGCATCCTAAAATAAATATTTAGCAAAATAGAAATGATTATATCTTCAATAATAATTTAAATTCTAGAAATTTTCAAGTTGAAAAATAATAGTAACCAAGAGTTCATTTGTAAACTAATCGCATATATTTAAATGAAGAATTTAATCCGCATAGATAAATATCAGAAGAGAAGAAAATAGAGAATAGTTAATTTGATCCAGATAATTAATTTAATTAATTCAATTAATTTAATGATCTATATATTGATTAATTGAAGTAAGTTAATCCAATAAATAGTCATTATGAAAAACAATCACTAAAAGATAAATAATACAATTAAGATGCTCATTAATATCATTAAAACCAAAAAATTTAATCCAATTAAAAAATTAATCTCTCTGATAACAATTAGCTTAGAAAACCTAGAGTATTTTAGCCAATTCCATTTGAAAAACCTCCAAAATATTAATAACACTATTAATAATAATAATAGTAGTAACCATATAAATAATAATAGTAATATTAATTTTAATTCTAATAATATTAATAAGAACCGCCATAGCAATAATAATAATAATAATAATAATAATTGTAATTGTAATTGTAATAATAGTAATTGTAATAATTGTAACATCAGAAATAATAATTATAGTAGTAATAGTAAAAATAACATTAATAATAGATATATTAGGAATAGTAGTAGTAATAATAATAGCAATAATAATAACAATAATAGTAATAATAATAGCAATAATAATAACAATAATAGTAATAATAATAATAATAATAGTAATAGTAATAGCAACAATAATAACTATAATAATAATAATAGTCATAAAATCAATAGCAATAACAAAATTAATTAGGTTAACAGCACTAATAATAATAGTAGCCTTAAAAATAAGGTCAGAAAGAATAACATTACAACCCCTAATTATAGCATGATAAATATTCTAAATAACATGTTTAAAATAAAATTCATTCAGAAGAATCAAAAAATATTGATTTTCAAAATTAGCAATAAATAATAGTTAAATAAATTATTTTAGAAGAAAGGCCTCCAATTTAAAAAGTTAGCATTGACTATAAAAATATCTAGAACGTTAAAAGGAATGAACCTTATACTTATTAAAAGTACTAAAATAAATAAAGGTATTTATGCATCCTTATAAAAAGTTAAAAATAACCTCAAATTAGATAAGAGTAAAATAAAAAAAAGGCTAATACATCAAATAAGAATAGATCAATAAACGAAGACATAGTTTATAAATAATTTGAATACATACCTGGCATGACTCTTACAGATGACCTCGTGAATTAAATGTCTCCTGAAGAAATTTATGAATTGTTTACTTAACTAGATTTAGATAATTAAGTTGGACATACAAGCAAAATATATTTATTAGATTTTAAAAGAGTTTAAATAAATATCACAGATAGTTGCACTATTTGCATGGATGATATATAACCCCAGAAGGAAGCTGTCGATGTCAGGCTGGATTGCAATCATCAATTCCACTATGATTGCATCAGGTAATGGTTGATGAAATAAAAATTCTGCCCAGTCTGTAAGGAATATGTTGACCTTACGAATTACTAAAATCTTGAATGATTAATAAATCAAATAAATTATTTTTAAATTTGTATGACGCACATGTATTTTAGAAATAAGTATTCTTTTGAAAAAAATAAAATATAATATAAATTTGAAATTGGATATGCAATAGATTTCTCCAGAAGTTGAGCACTACCTACAAGAAGCTGTAAAGCCACTCCTTGAGAAAATTGAGGAATTAAAATAAAAGGATTAGTAGAATGAAGATCAGATCAAATTTTTGATAGGAGAAATCGGTCAACTCAAGACATTAGTAGCTACTTTGAAGCCAGTTGAGGATAAAAGTATCATGATATTAAATATAATTAGAATAAGGAAAACAATAATAGAAGCAAGAAAGTAATGGTAACAATAATGGTAAAAATGATTATATCTGGAAAATTAGATCATAAAAAGCCAGATCGTCCTTAAACAGCAATTCAACAGAAACCTGAGCAAAATAAATAAAAGGAACAAAAGCCACAAACTGGAAGCAAGAATTTAAGCCAAAGCGTAGTAGTAGATAAGTCAACTAAGAATGAAGCGGAAAACAGTAAATTGATTATTAAAACTTAGCTACTTCTAAATCTCCAAGATAATCTGTTGAAAAAAAACCCAAGGCTACATAATAACAATAGCAGTAACCTCAATAGCCTAAACCTAAGCCTGTTAAGCAACCAGAATAAAAGGATTAAAAAGAAACAAAGACTTCCAATTAAGGTATATCCCTACATTTGATCTAGATTAACCATAAAAATAGGCAAACCATCAGAAGGAAGAAAAGAAGGATGATAAAAATAAACCAAATAAATAGCCTTAATAACCTTAAGCTCCATAAACAGATAAAACTAAAGAACAACCAAAAAAGAATGAAAAACAACCAGAATAGAAATCAAATGGAGCATAAAAAAATACAAATCCTAAATAACCAGAAAAAAAAGTGGAAACCAAATAGGATGATAAAAAAATAGTTAAAAAAGGTTCAAAGACTGTATCTTAAGCTGGAAATTAAAATTAAACTGATGAATAATTCTAATAGCAACAATAGAAAGCATAAGCACCTTAAGAATAACATTCAGCTGAGGTATCCTCTAAAGAAACCCATTCTGAATAGAATGAACAATAATAAGAAAATCATTAGGAATTAGTTAATGAATAATAGGAAGTTGTTTAACATTAAGAAGAATAGAACTAATTTTAGAATGATAACCATTAAGAACATAAAGAGGATGAAGATTTGTTAGCCGATAATCATCAGAATGACATTTAAAAAAGTGAACCAATCTAGGAGAATCAATAGCAGGATATGTTTTGAGTTTATTAAAAATTATAGTGGAGAAAATACAATTAATTATTATATATATTTTAAAGACTTTGATAGAACTAGTTCAATCGATAGCAGGGATAAATTAAATGAAGGTAGAATTAAAAGAAAGAAATTATATTTGGAAGCTGATTCTATGGGAAGCGATAATGAAGTATGTAATATTAAAAAAAAAATGATGGAGCTTCTGGAGTTAAAATCTATTGCGGTTAGAAAATATTTATATTTCGAGGCATTATGACAATTATTGTTGCTATTACTGTTTTTTTTATTTTGACTTAAATTAAGCTATTTAAGCTGAAAAAGAGAGTTTAAGGACAGAGCTTTCGATTGAAATAAAATATTGTGGACAAGAATATGAAAGAATAAAATGTTCAAAGTACTGGTTTAAAAATAGCTATAAATACCAAGATTTAGAAATTTGTATCAATTAAAATATAGAGATGAAAATTAAAACAGCACAGCTGAGGTCTAAAGTAATTGGAAAGATGCTTTCATTTACAAGTTTAATATTCTTCGTATTTATATATAAAACATTTGTATGATGATTAGAATTAAGTTTTTTAATATATATTCTTAATTTTAATAACATAATATGTTTCGAGGCAACTTTAATCGATAATCCCTTAAGCCATAAGTTGTTACTTTTTAATACGTTCTAGATTAAATCAATGCTCTTGATCATAGGGCTCTCAGTGTAATGATTAATATCAATGTAGCTATTACAAAAAATGGTTAATCCATCTTAAATGAATATTTTTGCAACTGCTGCTCTTGTCTCTTTGTTTTCAGGGCTTATTCGAGAGATACCTTGCGAATTATTGGATGAAAAAGTAAATCAATTTATTAATATAGAAACTCAATTGGAGTTTATTAAACATGTTTTTAAATGATGTTGAGAAATTCTTAGAAAACTTAAGGAAATTCAAAGACTTTATTAATAAAAATTAGATTACGTCTAAAAATATGCAAATTGCTAATTATTGGATTCAAAAATATAATGAAATATAATAAGAGTAAAATAGTTTCATTAACTTAGTAATTAATATTCAGTATCATATGCATTCATTTAAATAACTTAAATGGTCATAAAACTTGACAAATAAATTAACTAGAGATTGCCATCAAGTCCAGCTAGGTCATTGTCTGCATCACCAAGTCCAAAGATGAACGATAATGACGACATCGATGAGATTGATGAACTTAAATCCTAAGCTGAAAGAATGAGCGTCAAAGATCCAGTCAAACCAAAAGGATTGAAATTATAATTAGTTCCAAATAAACCTATCTAATCAACCGTTGGACATAAACACACTTAAAGTTAATAAATTAAACAAATCCAACCTATTCACGCCCCAGTAATACCAAAAAAGAAATGACAGCAATGATTATAAATCCTAAAATATTTATTTTGAGTGTATGAATATCATCTTATTTTGATATTGAGATTAATCAAATTTTTTGCAACTCAAGATCTATTAAACTAGTGCAATATAGAAATGCCATTTTATATAATAATAAATATGCACACTCTATTTCAATAAATAACTTGAGATTTTAGTCGTTTCGATAAGATTGTTAATTTTTATGGCAAATTTACTAAAATAAAAATCAATTTGTTTTTTATAATTAATAATTCAGTCTCAAAGTATTTTCCAATAATTATAATGATCAAACCCATTTTTTCTGATATTATCTATTAGAGAACAGAAATCATGTGCATAATAAAATAAATAGATTTTTTTTAAATAAAGTTTAGTTATAAGTTTCATGATTAACGAATTAGAAAAAACGATGTTGACTTGCAGTTAGGTAATTAAGGAAAAAGAATAAAGCTATTCAAAATAGTATGAGAATCTTAAATAATCACTAAGCTTGAAAAAGATCACAATTCTTTCTATCAAATTTAACTAAAATAAACTGTTTTTTTTGATAATGATTATCACTTCCATGATGCCATTATTTTATAATTATAAATCAATCTATAGAATTATGCAATAGCTAGTTGACTTTGATTCTTTAACTTGAATAGTTTTGTTATAAATTTAGATAGAACATACTATCTCTAGGGGCTATTTATTTATTTAAATTACTTTTATTGTATTTTAATTAAGGTATCAGCGAGAAAGGAGGGTCATCAATCTTATGAACAGATGAACTTCTATACATTCTTTTCAACTACCTAATAATTGGCTTAGGAGTATGAAAATTTTACAATATATTATTCTATAAAGTTAATTCTTATCTAGAACCACTGCCTAGTTAATTATTGGATTGCTATTATTACTAAGTTAATCCCAAAGAAAATTGTTATTAAACCATAATTTGAGAAGTATTGGGCCTAATTTATTGTGATTTCGTTTGTTCTGATTTTCTATCCATCTATCTAGTTTTTGTTTAACGCAAAGCATTTTGTTGTTATTTTGAGGAATGCTATTATTAAACAAGCATTTTCTATTAATTTTTTTAAAGTAAGATATATGGGTCAAAAGTTGAATCCAAATGATTCATAGAATTTGAATTATTTAGTTGACTTTGATCTTGTCGTTTCTTAACCTTAAGATGTTTTTATCTGAAGTATTATTAAATGAATGTAGGCATTTTTTTATAAGATAGGTTTCCTAATAGAGCTCCAAACTGATCATCATTGGTTTAACTTTGTTAATCTTGGCAGGCAGAAGGCTGTTTAGAGAGAACCTTGAAGGATATGGTTTTCTTTATATCTTAATTGAGCATTTAATCCTTATTTGTATTTTACCAATTTTTTTCCAATTCATTGCATTTTTATTTATAAATTTCATCCCTTAAAATAGTTCTATCCTTAAACATTTTACACACCGATTGAAAAACTTATGGAGAAACATTTTTAAGTTGTTGTATTGATAACATTAAAAGAGATGCAGTCTTTGATATCACTTAAACGTTGTACAGAGCTTTTTCTTATTAGGTGAATTCTTCTCCTAAAATGCCTTGATCATTTAATTCACATATAACAATTTCATTAAACCAAAATTTTCTGGGTAATACTTGCTTTTCATAATGAGAAAGTGCTTTCTAATAGTTTTTACTTAAACTCAAAACTCCATATTGCAATATAAATAACGCATTTCCAGGTTCATCCATTTTCTAGATGAAGTCTGTATGGGCAAATTTGACTTCCTAGAAAAGTCGTATTAATTATTCTTATATTTTAGGAGCAATTTTTTCTATGATAGGTAGATTGGCTATTAGTGATTTTTTCTTTTATTAGTACAAGACTCCATGACTGGAGCTAAACTTTTTGTATAAATCAATTGGCAAAGCAAAGCAATGGGTATCTTACTAATTTTGAATATGAATTAAGGAATACTTTAACTTCAAAACCTAAATCTCCTTCATACCACATTTCAGGTTGAATTTAAATGTTGTCTTCTGTTTAAAGCAATCCTTTAATTACATAGAATGCAAATTTATTATTTTGTTAGACTACTTGACCAGTTTCAAAATAAACATATCCTATTGTTTTGCACAACTATATTTCAAATTTATAAGTACGTCTTTCAAGACTTCATAAGGAGCTTGAAACTAAGGTAATTGACTCAGATGATCTTGAATAGCTGAGATGTCTTCTTGAGATTTGTTTAATTTAGTCAATTTTGGAATTAAATGCATAATAATATATATTTCAAGGCAATCTAACAACCTAATCGGAATAAAGGATGTATGGTAGAACGGACTCAGCCTTAATATGATTTCCATTATTCAAAACAATCTGCAATCTCACAAACATTTCTTTCCCATCAAAAGGGAGTTCAGGGAAATACGCATAATTAGATCTCACATTTCCAATCCATTATTTATCACTAAATTGATATACATATAGATATACTTAAAAATTCTGATAGTTTTAAGGAGTGGTCCTAACTCCCCTAGTTCCAATTAAATATATAAATCATAGAGATTTGTGATACTTTCCTTTAACTAGATATTCTTGATGTATTTGGTTGGGTCTTTGAAATCTACATTGGCAGCCTTCATTTGCTCTGTGTATCTGTCATCATAGATGGCTAAACCTCCAATAAGGCCATCGACTGCTTGTTATTGTTAAGAAATGTTTTCAATCTTAAGATAAACAGACTTCAAGGTTTTTCCTTAGTTTAAAATTGTGTATTATGAAATATCCCAACCCTTATTTGCTAATATTTTGGTTGGTTTGAATGTTTACAAACCCTTATCTGCGAATTTAAAAACCAGACTTAACTACAAAATCTTTTTATCAAAGTTTTTCATGTTAATACTTGCATTGATATTCCCTTGAGGGTCAATCCTAGTTTTAAATAATTTAATGAGGAAACTTTTATGAACTTATAAATCTCCTTTAATTTTGATGCAACTACTTCCATTCCATGAATCACTAAAATTGATATTGCTTTCCCAATTATCTTGAATATCTTGGCTGACGATCTTTTTTGTTGGATAACATAAAGAATAATCAAAATCATTCAAATTATCGTAGTATCCCTTATAATGCGTATTCTTTTGACCATCAATATAATAGGCCTCTCCTACAGCATTATTGAAATAAGACTGCAAAGGGAATTCTTAATATGTCTTTGGTTTTAACATCCGCAATAGATCCTTGTTACTGTCATAACTTATATAAACCATAGACTCCCCAGTGAATTGAGTACCATAATTACCAGCCCAATATTCCACGTCTTTTCCAACCTCAATAAATTTGATATATTATGTATCATCAGTAGTTTTAATACTCAAAGTATGCTCTCTCCATTTATCATCAGCAACATTAACGTGATCCACATTAAACTGAATTTCTCCCTTGTTTACTTTGGTTGAAAATGAATCAATACTGGCAATACATCTATTTTGTCTATCATATAACTCAATCCCAATAAGCTAATCAATTAACACTACTAATTACATATAAATCCTCAAATTTTGGACCAGTTCCCTTCACTCTTGCATTGAATTGTATAATACCCCCTTTGTTTGAAGATACCAAATTCAATTAAACAGTATATGTTCTGATACACCAATCAAAGGATGCTATTGCAGTCTCTTCTCCATTGTCTTATACAATTTTCCACCCTGATCCTCCATTGAATGTGATTGCCCATTAATTTTTATGTTTATCAAACAAAGAAACAGTATTTTTCCCTTGCCATAATGAATTATCATTCTGAATAAACTGTGATCGACTATCATTTGAAGTTTCATATGTCCAAGCCTAACCAAAAATTGCAGTGCCTAATTATGCCCTTTTTATCTCTTGCAATGCGATATAACTATCGAATTATCCACCTCCATATTGTCCTCTACCCCATATGTCAATTCCTACGAAAACATTATTCCTCTAATTTCCAGCGTTCTTCTCTGTATTTGCCAATTTATTCAAATTCCAATGATAATCACTAAAAAAGTAGTTACAGGCTTAGAAGTATTTCATATTATCCTAATTCAATTCCGATTACCATTTCAAAACTCCCTCAGCAGTATGACTATCATAATACATCAGCATGGCTCCTATCTATTATAATTTATCACTCAATTATTTGATGAATTGTAGAAACAAATCCACATTATCCACATTTGTTTCTATATTCAATAGATAACCATCAAATTTATAGAACTAGCAAATCTGCACTAATTTATCCACATACTTTAAGTCCAATATCTATTTAGTCAATGTATTGTCATCTCCTTCTGTAATGATAGTTCCTAATATCTTTGTACCAAATTGATGGCAAATGTTAATGTAGGGTACACTTGGAATGGTGATAAACGTATGTGAAAAATATACAAAAATATCACAATGGGTCATGTAATAAAAGCGATAACTATTTTATCTCAAAGGATTTCCAAAGCACCAAATATCTTCCTTATAGCCGCCTTACATATCATGACACACCAACAAAGGTTATCTGCTTGTTCTTGTAATCTTCTTCAGTGGTTAAATTGGAAGTATTGTGTATTCTTCATTCGGTTTCCAATTGTCCAGCTCTTCTATTGATTTCAATGGTTTGCTAAATGGCAATTTATATTTTATCTATCCAATATCATTTAAGTCGTTAAGAATAGATTTTTACAACTTTATTTCACCATCTATTTGCATTTTTAAATCAGCCTCCTTCACAAATCTTATTTATAAATTTCTTGTAATCCCGGTGTAAGCATTCTAATTATTTTTACTTCCTAATAATATTCCCACTTTATTAGATGCATAAGTAAATTTTGATTTAAGCTTTTAAGTTTGAACATTTGAGTTTGTGATCAAATTTATCTCATTGTGGAATGAAATAAATATTGGATACAACTTGTATAAAATGATTTATTAAATCGGAAATTTGTAAGTACCATCCAAATATTGAATTATAAGCTCTGTTTATTTTAATGTTATTTTTATCAAAGGTTTTCCAAGGTTATCTTGAATATCAATTAGTTCAATATTATTTTACTCTTATTCTGCTAAAATTAATTAAAATTAAACTATCCCAACTTCGGATGGAGTAAGCTATGTTATATTAAAACGAACATGTTCAGGCACTAATTATAATTGCCCATCCCTTTTAAGTCCTGAATTAAAAAAATAATTGCTCATTATTTCAATTAATTTTATTGTGAAAAAATTAATAATAATGCTTAAATATAATATTAAATGGTATTTTGTGTATAATCATATAAATTCTATAACACAAATTCTAAGTCTGCCAAGAATAAGATATGTAATATTGGATGCCTAGAAATTTATGTAAATAACCTTTGTAATTAACTAAGAAATTAATTTTTATCATTTAATTAAATTAAAGATAAATAGATTATTTTATGAATAATAAAGTATAGATTAGGTCTCCCTCATCTCCTTTTCAATTTCCAACTCAGTTAATATGAATCATAAACTAATTTAGCTTTACAAATACAAACAAGTTAATAACATATTATTTAAGTTAACACAAAAATATAATTATATTCTAAGTTTGCAAGTTCACTTTTAAAAAGTCATTTGAAAATATTAAAAAAACATTAAGCCAATATTAGATCGGATTATATGTATATCCAAAATCTTCCTTGAGAAAAGTAGAAGAGTGCAGTTTTTACTAATAATAAATTATATTAATATATTATGAATATCAGACAATTAGATAATATTGTTTCTTGGTTACTCTAAAAATTTAAATATGCTCCTTATCGATGGAATGAACAGCAAGTTCATTATTTTTGTGAGTTTGTTGGATTAACTTGGGCAATTCCAATTGTCACAGTAAATCAACAATAATTGATTTTAGATTCAAACCATTCCCAAATAAAGATCATAAAACTACTAATAGGAAGTGCCAACTGATGGATAAAAGTTTCAAATTCCTTTACTCGATATTTGTACTAAGCAATATGAACAGATTTTAGAAGTATGCACCTCCTAAAGTTTATTCAAGATGATTAGTCATTCAATCGACATAAATCTTTACTATTAGATATAAAAATTAAAGATTTGGTCTCTTATATTGTTGAAATATCAGAATTATAGAGAAATTTTGAAAAAGCTTTATGGATCAAAATTATTTTTTTAATAAAAATGCAAAACTTGTACAGCAGAAATAAGTTGCTCGTGCTCAGTTCTATCTAATATCATATATGAAATAGAGATCTATATTAAAAGTATATATGAAATGAAAAGCCTCTAAAATCATAATAGAAAATCATCCATGTTTATTAGTTCAGATATTATAAATCTTTTGTTAAAATCCATATCTCATTTACCTTAAATTGATTAAACACCTTTGTTTTGGGATATGGATGACATCAAAGCCTTATTGTATGTAATCAAATTTCAAGATTATTACTAACTTCTTTATTAGAATTAGATAGATGGATTTGTGTTGCTATTGTTAGTGAATCCTCCTTTTAAAGGTGAGGATTTATTTCTTAAATGCTTACTTTTAAGTTAGGAAGGCTCTCAAAAGTCATAAAATAATTTAGTACGTAATAGATCAAGCATGGTGAGAAATACTATGTAGACAGCAAGTAAGTACCATTAAATAAATTAATTGGTTAATCTACTGCATTATTTGTTGTAAATATTGAGTTTTACGGCATATAAAAATCAAGAGTCTTATAATGAGTATAGAAATATTGGATAGAGAAAAGTGAGTGAGATGAAGTGGCTATCTTTATACTATTTTTCAAAAGCAGCCAGAACATTATAATTAAATAGAAGTATTTCATTGCTCGGTGAAACCAGAAGCTCATCAAAGTCTCTTGAACATAGATTATAATAGTCAAATATGTAAAGGCATAAAACAGAAATGATAGATATTAAGATGATGGTGATTGAAGAAAATCTAGATGCTAATAAAAAAAAATAGTTTAGTCATCCTAACGTTACTTAATCTGCCAAATCCTCTCCGCAATCCTAAAGAAATAATTAGTGGATGCAACTTAAGAATTATAATACAAAAAAAAGTATTACAGGAAATTAGGTTAATAATGATTTAAAAGAGTCAGTCTTGATGTATTATTTGAAATATATTAATTAGTTAGGATTAAGATTAAGATTACATTGACGAGCAAGACAGAGATCTATAATATACAGAAACCAATGTTTAAATAGAAGAGGACATGGAGTCGATTGAAAATGTTAATTAATCTTAGGAAGAACAAACTCAATAATTGACAAATCAGGAGGAATATATTGGATAGAATGAGCAGATGTAATAATCTGTTCTTATGATTTAATCGGTAATATAATAGTATTTATTATTTTATAGTAATATTTACAATAGTAATAACAATAATAATAATAATAATAATCACAGATAATGTAAGAATCTGTATTTATGGGACAATCTGCTTTGTTACAATAATCAACAATATTGTAACAATCTTAACTCTTACAACAATCACAAATATTAAATAAATCAATTCAAATTAACTAGATTATTGAGGAATAGGATCATAAAAGAGTAGAGTACTTATAGTATTATAAATAATTAGATACAACAGCCATAATCTTTCAAAGAATAAATTTTATAAAGATTATAAGTGTTAAGTTTAACACCAATTTTTGATCCATTTTAATTGTTTTAATCAACTCATTTGAAATTAAAATGTGATGAATAATAAAAGGTATTGAATTGAATAAATAAATCTCTCATAGCTTAAGATAGTGAATATCTAAGGTGCCTATTTTGGTAGAAGTGATGAATGTACCTTTGCATTTACTGATCATTCGAAAATTAGTAGTAAACATTGCCAAATATTCTATAAAGACAGTATTTAAACTTTTAAATCTTCTTAGAAGCTTTTTACTTACTGGATGTAGGATCAAAAGGAGGAACCTTTATTAAAATAAATCATAACTTTGTGATAGAAAAAAACATGTCATTTTATATAGGAAATAGATTTGCATTTAAAATATTGGAAATAAATACTGAAACAGGTTTCTTAGAAGTGAGATATGAGCATGAAGGAGCAGCAAAACACAAGCAAATATATTTAAAAAAGGGAGACAAGTTTTTAATTGGAAGAGAAAGATCTAAAAACAATTTTACATTTATGCATTCTCAGTTAATATATAATTTAAATATTAGATGCAACAAACTAATGAGTGCAAGGCATTTAGAAATTAATTATGATTATAATTTTAAGATTGGGTCTGTAAAACTAATGATTAATGATCTAGAGAGTAAAAATGGAACCTGGTTGAGATTAAGTGAAAAATAGCTAAATAGTTCCCCTATGTAATTACAACAAGGAACTAAATTTAATTTATCATTTGAAATTATATTCGATGTAGTTGAATTGGTTTGTGACGTCTGATTATCCAATCATACATTTTTTATAAATTAAATCATCTCATGTCTAATAGATTATATTATATATTTTTTTAATGAAAAATAGTCTTAAATATTTTGAATTTTTGTCAATTTTCAAAACAATCTAATTCTTTTTCTAGATTTTTGCTATCATTATTGCTGTTATATAGATTATCTTACATCATTTGACAAAACTAATCAAAATCAATAATTTTCTATTTTTCATTTTATAGTATCTCTGAAAATAAGGAAACCAATTTTGATTCAGATAATTGTCTTCCTTCCCTTTCAAAGGCTTTCCTCACATCTTCAATAGTGATAAAATTTTTATTATCACTATCAAAGTATTTGAATAGATTCCATAATCTCTCTTTATTGAGATAGCTTTTGCAATTCACCAAAGCACTTAAGAATGAAGTATATGTAATTTATGTATCCTAAGTAATATCATCGTTAGAAGGATTTATGTTATTAAATTTCTTAATCATTTAAACAAGTTCCTCTTCGCTTTCCTTGAATCCTAAATTTGACATAATTTACAAAAGTTCTTTAATAGAGATGGTGCCATTGCAATCTTTATCATACGAGACAAAAACATCCTTTAATTAAGAAATTTGATTTTCAGTAAGTTGATTAATTAGTATTTTAAGAGTTTCTTTTTTTAGTTTAGACGAATTGGCATAGGTATGCAATAATCTAATGATTTTTTAATGCTAATTATTTGACAATTTTTATTAATGAGAACTTTATTTCATATTTTTAAACCATTGATGTTCTAATGCTTTTTCACAAGTGATTCTCTTTTTAGGCTATTTTACTAATAAGTTTTTAATCAAATCCTTGGCCTCGATAGATATATGCTCAAATACAGAAAGAGAGAAATCAACATCAGAATGCTTGATTTTAGCTTCTAACATATCGAGTTTCTTAGCTTAGAATGGAGGATTCCCACAAAGCAATACATGAAGAATGCAACCCAAAGACCACTCGTCACATTAGAAAGAATAACTAATAATTACTATCTATTTTTTACTCTCCAGCTATAATTTCAGGTGCAACATATATTGGAGTTCCCACTTTACTGTTCATTCTCTAAAGCTTTTGATTAATATTTCTGAATTTCTTGCTTAAACCGAAATCTATAACCTTTATTGGTGCATCCTTTTCTTTAGAAGCAAAAAGAATATTTTCTGGCTTCAAATCTCTATGAGCTATTCCCATTGTATGAAGGTAGTTAATAGCTGAAAATAATTGTTGCATTATCTCTTTCGAATCAGATTCTCCAATATTACCTAAAATTAATAATAATGTTGTTTAAAGTACCTTCTTCCACTATCCTTTCCAACAATTCTCCTCCGCTGCAATATTCCATAACGAAGTGATAATACATGTCATCCTCATACTCTTCAAATACTTTAATGATATTTGGATGATCCAGTTGTGTAAGGATGTCTAGCTCTCTGAGTACAAGGTAGAATTATTCCCGCATTCGATACTACTTGGACCATCGTGTTTACTTTATGAATAGTCTTTATTGCAAAGGCTTTTGAATCTCTGACACTGTAACCCACTTTTACAGTACCAAAACTCCCTGATCCTAAAACCTTTCCAAATCTGTAAAACTATCTTATGTTTTATTTAGCAAATCTTTTTATTTCACTTAATTGTTGATTGCCTTTTCTAACTGGTTTCTGTTTTCCAGAGCATGCACCCATTTCTTAATGATTAATATAATTAATTTTATTTTCAATATGCTTATTATTTAAAAACTCTACTTTATTAGCAAGAAAGCATTATTAACGAAATTGAATAGACAGAAGTTTAACTAACAAAAAAAATATCATATCATTTGCTATATTTAAATGAAGTTATATACTGAATTAGATAAAGCTTTATTATAAATGAAATAACTTTATTTCGTTTAAATAATCGAACAATAATCTATGAAACTCAACAAAAGTAAAGAATATATTTATTTTCAAATATTGTGTTAAATATAATCTCAAAAAAGAAAAACGACAAAGGTTGTAATTAAATAAAGAAATTAATATGCCAAGAGAAGAATTCTCAAATAATAGTGTTCAACATTTTACTAAGCTAAAAATATCTATTAAATTCTAATTTACTTGATTTCTAAATGCAAATATTTTCTTTCAAGTTTTAATGTTTTTTGTTCATTTTGTTAATTGAATTACAATATTGAAGATACATAGCATAGGCCTAATACATTTTCAAATTAATAATAACTAATAAAAAGTATCAAGAATTTTTTTAAATTTTCTGACAATATAATCCAAAATAAATATATTTAATCATCAGAAAATTATGCAATCCTTGCATTTCTCGCACTTCGGTTATAATTATGTTGCGTGGAAACATGGTAGTTAAATTGTATGTTTTTTACAAGCATAGATAAACGGCACCTACTGGATGCAAACCAACTGCTATGTTTACTCATAGCATTTGACGACTCTTTAATGATGACATGCTGGGAATATTTTGAGAAAAGGTTCTTCACATTTAGAACATGGTTTTCCACATTATGATTTACAAGGATGGCCACATGGCAGCATCAATTTACAATTTTAAGTACATTCGATGTTAGCTGGATTTTCAGAGCATATAGCTTTCTAAAGATGGCCACAACGTAGAAGTAATCTAACTTCTGTTTGACAAGGATCACATTATTAATAACACTTTTTTGAGCAAATTTAATTGTGACCACATTGAGGTTTTTTTTTGCAAGGGAACATGCATTTAAGCTCCTTCAAGAAGTTTAAATCCATTTTTTAGTAACAATCAATGAATCGGAGATGACCACATGGTAAATTAATCTCACATTTTTCATTACATGGAGTACAAGGCTCATAACATTTCTTTAAGCATATTACTTTATGACCACAAGGTCTTGCTTTATTACAAGGTTGATCACATAAGGCTTTAATTTTTTGATTTTATTAAAAGCAAGGTATTTGTAATTAATGACCGCAATCCAAAGCCTTATTAGTCTAAAATTGACAAGGAGTGCATTCATCTTTTTTGAAACACATGTTAAAACAAGGAAAATTATGACCGCAAGCTCTACGTCTGATACATTATAGTTTGCAAATATAATTTGATTACGCAAGTATAGAATGAGAACATTCAATATCAATCACATGTCCACAGTTTAATTTAAGTTGGATTATCTATCTACAGGGTGTACATTCTTAAAAACACGGATTGGTGCATGGATACTAATGTCCACATTACCTAGTTTTTATGCACTCTTCTTTACAAACAATAGGCTAATCAAATACATTGCATTTAATCAGATGGTGATGACCACAATTCAAAGATTTAAGAACATCCTATAAGCATGGATCGCATTTTTCATAGCATATTTTCTTACATGGATAGATGTGACCACATTCTCGAATTTTATTGCAAGGATTTAAACATTGTTACTTTTGATTATATTCAAAACACTTAATTTAAATTTTATGTCCACAATCAAGTTATTTTATCACCATTTCTTAACAAGGAGAGCATTAATTTTAATAACATTTAGCTAAGCAAGGGTCAGTATGGCCGCACTTTCTTTTTAATATGCATGGTTCATTACAACTGAAGTTACTAATTGACTCTTGAGATGAATGACATTGAAATTTAAGAGTATGGCCACATTTGAAAGTGTGACTAATAATTTCTTCACAAGGGGAACAGACTTCAAAACATAAATTTTTGCATTTTTAATCATGTTTACATGCCCTTTTTTTTTCACACTTTTCTTAACATTAATGTTATTAATTTTCTTTATAACATTCTACATCTATTGTATGTCCACAGCCGAGTTTTTTTTTAATCATAAATAAACAGGGAGAACAAGGTTGATAACAGTAACTCTTGCAGGCTGAGTCATGTCCACATTTTCTTGGTTTTTCACATTGCTTTACACAATTGGTATTTTAAACTATATAATCAGCATCATGACATCTCACATCTATCTTATGTCCGCATGATAATGTTCTTTGAACCAACTTTTGACAAGGGGAGCATTATTCATTGCATTTATTTTTACAAACCTAATCATAATGACCACACAATCTCTTTTTATTACATGGCTATTAGCAAAGATGAGTTAATATTTATTGCTTTTATTAAGAACAAGAAAACTCCGCGGTATGTCCGCACTTCAAATTAGTTAATACTGAAACTTCACAAGGTGAACAATTTTAAAAACATAAATTTTAGCATTTATTCTCATGTCCACATGGGAGTGGCTTTTGGCATTTATTTACACAAAATCCGCAATCAACAGAACACAATTTATCACAAATATGACCACATGGTAGTTTCTTTTAACATATTGATTAACATTTATATATATATTTTTCCCTTTGATAACAAAGAAATTCTGATTTGTGATTACATTTAGAAAATGAGATTTCTTGCTTTTCATGACATTTCTAACTTAAAGGATCTGTACCACAAAGTGCCCTTATTTTATGATTGCAAGGTAAATTTAAATCAACAATTTCATTGCATTTACACTTATCTCGACAGAACAACTTACACTTATGTCCACAATCGATTATTCGATCACATTAAAATGAGCAGGATTATGCTGGATGACAATCACTAATGTGACAATCCTTATTACACAAATGATTACAATTGGCAAATGTCTTTAAGCATTTTTTATTACATAGCTTTGGTTTAATTTTAATCCAATCATCTGGTTATTTAACTATTTGCAAGTTTCCATGAGGTATACATTTTGTGTTTATGTAATCATTCAAACAATTCTTAGCTTTAGCCAATAGTATTATTTTTTACCATGCACTACCAATAGCTGAAGAATTGAAGATAAAATCAAAGTTTCCAAACACATACAAACCAAGTCTAGCTCTTGATAATGCAACATTAATTCTATTATCTATTTTTATATATCCCAAGTTATTTTTATTGTTGTTTCTCACTAAAGATATTATCACAATGTCATTTTCTTCTCCTTAATAATTATCTACTGTTTATACTTTGACTTTGGGTTAATTTGCATTATAGAACTTTCTTTTTATAACTTAGGCCTGTTTCAAATATAATGTTAATACACTAATTTAAGTTTCTTTATAACCACATTTTAAAAGGTACTGCACCATTTCAAAAATCATTGAAGCCTCTTATTTATTCTCTTTTGAATTCTCATGTTAGGCCTCAAGCCATTTATGATTAAAAAAGACTAGATCTTTCTCTAAACCTACTATTTGAATTTCATTTTATTTTTAAATATCATAATGATCCTAATATAGGTCACCATAGATTATACGTATGAAATCGGCAAACTTAGTTTTCATTCTTCTTTATGAGGTCAAAGTAACACTTGGTATTTGATTTAAAAATAATCTTTCAAATAGTGAAACATTTGCTTTTAATTTCTCTTATAAAAAGTAATTTTTTATCGACGGTTTTAATTATTAATGATCTCCTATTAAAATTAAGTGTTGCAAATTTGAAGTCAAAATACTTGCAACATGAGACTCCAAAACTTCTGCAGCCTCCTCTATCACCATAATCTTTGAATTTAACCTTTACAGTTTATTTGTTTATTTGGCTACACCAGTGACAGTTGCACCAACAATCTTCATACTATTCAATATTTGAATTTCCTTTTCATCATATAAGTCTTTCAGTTTATTAGATTACTCGACAAATTCTTTATATAAATTTCCAAATTTAAGACTATCATTCTAATATTTAAGGCATTCACAATAAATTATGATCTCCCTGATATCAACAGGACTTAAAAACCAAGGATTACTACCTTGTGTGTTTAGATAGCCTTTTATTTTCTCTATAGTCTAATATTAATAATGCAAGAGATTTTAATTTTAATGATTTTCATTAAATTTTTGAATAGCCGAATCTATACCAAGAGAATCAAACTTCATTTCCTTGTAATTATTATTATAAACTGCTTCATCCTCTGAATCTAAATATTCATCTAAATCATCATCAGAATCATCATGCTGCTATTATATTAAACCAGGAGTTTTTTGTAAGTTTTCAAATTATTAAGCATCCTCATAATATTGGTCCATTCTGAAATATTTATGCATTCCATTCAAATACCCTCTTACAATTTTATTTTCTTCTGGTTTTTATTAATTAATCCAATATTTCACCAAAGTTTCTTTTCCATCCTCAAACAAATAATCTTCATTTAATTCATTATCATCTAAAAAGTTTGAGATTATGGAATCGTATAGCTCCTTCCAATATTTTTATATGTCTTATGGCTTAATTTTATAATCATAATTTAGCATTCTTTAAATTATTTTGCTTATGTCCTTTTTCAACTTATTGAAATCTTTAAACTCAAACTCTACTTTCTGTCTACATCTAATTTGACATTCTTTTAATAAAGGGTTTTTGGAAGCTCCTCCCAATCTTGCCACTTAGTCAATTGGAACAAAATTTAAAATATGTTCAAGAAATTAATCCAAAGCATGATTTGTAAAACAAACTATTAAAATAGGAAAATCATTTTTCTGTAGATTCTAATATAACATTCTTACAGCAAGAGCTCCACAATAAGTTTTCCCAGTTCCTGGAGGCCCTTAAATTAAAGCCACTTCTTTCTAAAGCATTAATTTAACTGCATTTAGTTAAGATGCATCCAATGAAGTATTTAATTATGGCCATGGCTATTAAAATATATTAAATTTAACCCCTTAATATTGTTTACCATATGAGAGATCAATATCAAAATAACAATTTTTATTTAAATATTGAGGGAAACCTACTGCTTTTTAATTTTCGATGATAATACTTTAAAAAGGTATGCTCACTTTTTATTTCAAAGCTTCTAAGTAGTAGAGTATTGGTTCGACCAATCCTTCATATTACATTAATATTGTTTTTTAAGAAAACAAATTCAATAATTGCATGATCGATGCATTTGGATCTAGAAATTTAAATTCTAATTGTATTTTTCCATTTTTTTTATATTAAAATTATCTTTCATCTCTTCTTGTTATGACTCCAAATATTAATGGAAAACACTCTATATTAGTTAAGCAAATTAATGACCCAGAGGATAGCTTTTTTGTTTTATCCCAATTAATTTACTTCTATTTTCTACCATCCATAGTGAATTGCTCAACTTAAATCTTCCAACTTAAGTCACTATTACTCATTCCAGCTGATAGTAATTCAATATTTTAATACAATCCTATGTTACTTGTTTTTTCCTTATCAACAAATTCAAATCCAGATTCGTTTACACTAATAATTGCATCTCTTAACTCCAAAATGTAATCCTCTCTGATTAGGTTAAAATGATAATCGATGTATCTGTCAAAAGTAATATTTTCTTTTGGAAGAATTTCCAATTTTCCAAACAACTAATTAGGTTTTTTATTGTATGAGAAAAATTCTAAGGCTACAGGATAAATAGGAATTTCCCTCCATTCTAACACTTTAGCACTATTATATATTTATTTTAAGAAATTATCAAAATCAGTCATTATTTTGGCAGCTTACTTTTGAAGCTGTGGGTTGTATAATTCTATTATTTTAAGTAGATTGTATAAACTAGAGATACTGGATTGCTTTAGAGTCATGTAATCATTGAGTTTCAAAGTCGAAAATAATTTGTACATTATTTCCAATTCTTAATTCATGTACTATATTGAGTTCTAATAAATTAAAAGTAAAGTGCATCTCTCTGTAATCTGAGTATTAAAGCTTTAGCTTCTAAGAATCATATTTATATAGTTGTCTAATCTTGCATCTCCTAACATCCTCAAAAGAGTAATGTAAGATTCACATTAATTTGCATTTATTCTTAATTTGAAAAATGCTTCCTCTAGATTGTCTACACTTTAAAATTATTGAATAATTGAGTGAATTGTTTCATTATATAGTGAGATTGATGAGAACCAATTAAAAAATTCCTCCTGCTTTTATTATTCGAATTGTCTTAACCTTTCTCTTTCTTTTCTCTCCTCTTTTATTCTTCTAAATTCTCTTCCCTATGTATTTCTTTTTGATTATGGTTGCTATTATTAATATTAAGGAGATTGATATTAAGTTTACTATTACTATTATTAGTGTTATGGCCCTTAGTTTTTCTTTTTGTAGTTGTTGTTATTCCTTCCTTAACCATTTTGCTTTCTATTATTATTTTACATGTTAACTAAAATAATAAATTTAAATAATATATTAAAAAAATATTTGATTGATTAAAATTTATATAAAAAAAAATAGACTATATTTTTAATTATTATTTGATTCTTTTTAATACTAATTTATTATGTTAATGTGTTGTAATACAAAAAGATTAAAAACGGGTGAATCCCCAAACAGATCGAAATCAAAACCAAAACAAAGAAATAGTGAAATCTGCCCAATGTTTACAAAGGAACGATGGATAGAAATTATGAAGAGATCTTTTGAAGACTAAGGATATTCAGAATTAAGTTATAATCTTAGACATAATTTTCCTCTTGAATTGAGATGTCAAGTTTGGTTTTGGCTTACAGAAAAAGCCAGAATCAAGAGTTGTTTATATCAAAAGCTTTAATTTGAGTCACCATCTGAGCAATAAATACTTAAAGATCTGCACAGGAGTTTTCGATTAAAACGAAATAGAAAGAGGACTTCTGGTTCTTCTGATTCTAGCTCACCAGATAAGAATTAAGAACAAGGAAAAGTTGATTAGCAAAAATTAGACAAGTTAAAAAGGATTCTCATTGCATATTCGAACTTAGATAAGGAGGTTAAATACGTCTAGGGAATGAATTTTATAGCATCTTCAATACTTGAACAATTAGAATAAGAAGAATTATGCTTCATAATTCTAAATCATATTTTAAACATTCAAAATTATAGAAAAGGTATATCATTATTTTATTATTAATAGTATTTTTAATGGATATGACAATCCTTGAAATTATTGATAAGCGGATTTAGTTTGAAGTTCCTCTTATTTATAATAAAATGTAAGAATTAAAAGTCAAATCACAATATTGTTTTGACACATTTATATTTTCATTGTTTTAACTTGTCAGGAAGGAATTAGCACATAGAATAATAGATATTTTCCTGCTTGAAAAAGAATGTAAAATAAATTAAATACAAAAAAGCCATTTTGTAGACTGTTATCATATAATTACTTAAAATGCAATAAGTTGAAATTTTGAAGTTTCAAGATCAAGATGAAATGATTATATACATAAGAAATGATCTTATAGAAGATGCCCTCGACAAATTGGATGATGGAAAGGATTATTTATCCTAGTTGCTTTCAATCCATCTGTGAATATGCTGTATTGTTCAGAATATACTTATTGAAAATATAAAAATAATTAATTATTTTCAAATAAGAACTCTGTAGTTATGATTTATCAAATCATAGATTTTTCAAAAATTGCTTCTAACTTAAATTTTTAATGATTCTTAATTATTCAATAATTAAATTAGTAAATAAATCATATTGCTTTGAGAATTTCTTTTGTTTGTTTGTTTTCTATCACTCCGCTTTACAGGTTCAATAACTTTAAAATTTCATCAATCAAAAAGTTAAGCGAACTGTCCGATTATTAAATAGCCTTAGCTCTTAAAATTAAAGGGTTATAATCTATACAGTATGAAAGACCTTGATTCTGAGAGAGTAGAAAATGTTTTATGAAATAAAATACCTATTTTTTATATAAAAAAATACTTAAACACTTCTTTCATAATTAGTTTAATCACATAATTTTGAGATTATCTATACAAATTAATTATCAACAATAAAACACAAATCCAAATGTTTTTCTAATAATTTGAAGAGAAAATTTAAAATTGTACTAGAATCTAAACTTAAATAATATTTTATTGAAGCTTGAAATCTTGAACTAAATAATTAATCAATTATCCTGTTGGTTAATGTTTCTTCTGGCCATTTAGAAATCAATTAGCAAATTTATGCTACATTTAGATTTGAATCCTATAAATTTATCAACTCTATTAAATATATCATAAACTCTTAAGTATAAAAGTTTGCAAATTAATATTTCGATAGCATGGTTAATCCATTTAAAGCATAATCAATTAATTCTATATCTTGAAGTCTAATAACTTCAAAAAAGAAAGGAACAGCTTTCATTTGCTCTTCCTATATAAATTAACTATGGGATTCTCTACATAAAATAACAAGACCAGGTATAAGAAGGTTGAAGTACTTCATAAATTAATTTTGATTTGAAATGAATAGGCAGGAGAGTTCAGAAATAAAACCTTACTTTATTATTTCAAATGTGTTTTCACTCAAATTTTGGTAATATTGCTCAGCTTGTTCAAAATTCACTTTCTCTAAACCCTCCAAAAATAAATGACTGTCATTATTTTCAACTTTCTTTAAATATTGTTATCTAGTAATGAAAAATTTCTGTTCTCTTTCAAATCTTCTTTTTTGGTGCATAAATTTTTCAACCTTTAATCTTAACATCTAAGTTTAATAATATTTTATTTTTTAATTTTGTATTTTGTTTGAATGAAAAAATACTCAAAAACAATTCTGGATGTTGGGGTGCTAATTTAAAATTTTAGAAGACTTATACTATTTAAATAATTTATAATCAAAATTTTAATATATCGCGATTGAATATTACGCATCACTTGATATTTTTCTTCCATTTAATCTCCCTCTCTCATTTCATTTGATCTACAAATTACATGATTTAAATCAAAAAATGGAAAATTAAGGAATTTTAAAATTAGGAACTATATGAATATTTAAATCCAATTAAAAACCAACAATTTGAATTATGAAATATATATGATCAAAACATACAACTTTCATATGTAGGTATCATATATTTAATATTAATGTATGCATCTTCTCCTCCATTTTTTTCAAGTGTTTCTAATGTTTCTTAAATGAGATCAGATAGATTTTCATTTTTTCTTTATGAATAATCAATTTTATCTCCAATGTTTACTAAAATAAATGATAATTGAATATTACATCTTTTATTCTTATACATATTCAAAACAGGTAGTATTTATCTATAATAAGGAACTAAGGCTTCTCCTATCATTTAACCACTTTTGACTAATTTCTATATTTTCTTTAAGGTAATACACATAATATCATGATTCTTAGTTGCTAAGGCTTCTATTAAAGAATGTTAATATTATAAATGATTTACTTTTGATAGGAATGATCAATTAAGGTAAGACTGATAATATCTTAGTTTCTCCTTTTTATAATAATTCTTCACATCCATTGACAGCTAAGAATTTATAAGGATCTTCAGTTTCTCTGAGTCCTTCAAAGAATATAGGAAGATATAAATGATAATCTAAGCATTCAGGTTCACATTTCCAAACGATCTTTCTAACAGCTCCACTAAAATTAACAGCAATTGGAAGATCTCCACGATCATAATATTTTTTAAATAAAGTCTATTCAATCATAGGCAAAGCTTAAAAGATCCCTGATTTTGGTACTTTTTATGGAGCTTAACTTTTCTTTGGAGCTAATGATGAACACACTAAATGTCATATAACTTATATATTAATACTTCCACCTGTCCCTGCAAATTTATTACTAATATTCAATAAATTTGAACAGAATTTACCTGGTGATCTCTAAGGAGAATGTCCTTTTATTCTTTTAATTGTTGATTATTACTGCAGCATACTTTATTTATTTTATATAAAATTAATTATTTNGACCTTTCTAAATTCATCAATTATATCAGTGATTTTAGTAATTCCACCATAAATGGCATATTTTTTTGCACAAATGTCTAGAATTTTAATCTTTTCATATTATCAATATTTACAGCTAACTCATTATAAAAATCTCCAAAACCTAAATCACTCCATATAGTCTTTTTCGACATCATTGGGTTGACATCCATTTTATCGCATAATTCATTAAACTTTTCTCTGAAATCAGGATTCTTTGAGATCTCATCTCTATATTTTCCTGCAAACTGATGCAAATTTTTTTAAAACACATCATATATCAAAGTTAACTATTCTACTTATTTAGCCTAACTTTTTTAGAGTTATCCTAATTTATTTTCTTTTGTTTCTTTCTCCGTAGCTCTTTACTTTTTACCTGTATAAATCATGAATAATAATTTTTATATTTATGAATATATTGATTGGATATAAATTCATAATTTCCAATGTTTATGAAATATATATGATCAAAACATACAACTTTCATATGTAGGTATCATATATTTAATATTAATGTATGCATCTTCTCCTCCATTTTTTTCAAGTGTTTCTAATGTTTCTTAAATGAGATCAGATAGATTTTCATTTTTTCTTTATGAATAATCAATTTTATCTCCAATGTTTACTAAAATAAATGATAATTGAATATTACATCTTTTATTCTTATACATATTCAAAACAGGTAGTATTTATCTATAATAAGGAACTAAGGCTTCTCCTATCATTTAACCACTTTTGACTAATTTCTATATTTTCTTTAAGGTAATACACATAATATCATGATTCTTAGTTGCTAAGGCTTCTATTAAAGAATGTTAATATTATAAATGATTTACTTTTGATAGGAATGATCAATTAAGGTAAGACTGATAATATCTTAGTTTCTCCTTTTTATAATAATTCTTCACATCCATTGACAGCTAAGAATTTATAAGGATCTTCAGTTTCTCTGAGTCCTTCAAAGAATATAGGAAGATATAAATGATAATCTAAGCATTCAGGTTCACATTTCCAAACGATCTTTCTAACAGCTCCACTAAAATTAACAGCAATTGGAAGATCTCCACGATCATAATATTTTTTAAATAAAGTCTATTCAATCATAGGCAAAGCTTAAAAGATCCCTGATTTTGGTACTTTTTATGGAGCTTAACTTTTCTTTGGAGCTAATGATGAACACACTAAATGTCATATAACTTATATATTAATACTTCCACCTGTCCCTGCAAATTTATTACTAATATTCAATAAATTTGAACAGAATTTACCTGGTGATCTCTAAGGAGAATGTCCTTTTATTCTTTTAATTGTTGATTATTACTGCAGCATACTTTATTTATTTTATATAAAATTAATTATTTNCATTTCTATAGGAACTGTGTACACATATTTATTATGAATATGGCAACCCCCCAAAGATGATACAGTATTTATTGCTCTCTCAATATCAGATTTAGAGACCTTCATTCCATAGACCTTTCTAAATTCATCAATTATATCAGTGATTTTAGTAATTCCACCATAAATGGCATATTTTTTTGCACAAATGTCTAGAATTTTAATCTTTTCATATTATCAATATTTACAGCTAACTCATTATAAAAATCTCCAAAACCTAAATCACTCCATATAGTCTTTTTCGACATCATTGGGTTGACATCCATTTTATCGCATAATTCATTAAACTTTTCTCTGAAATCAGGATTCTTTGAGATCTCATCTCTATATTTTCCTGCAAACTGATGCAAATTTTTTTAAAACACATCATATATCAAAGTTAACTATTCTACTTATTTAGCCTAACTTTTTTAGAGTTATCCTAATTTATTTTCTTTTGTTTCTTTCTCCGTAGCTCTTTACTTTTTACCTGTATAAATCATGAATAATAATTTTTATATTTATGAATATATTGATTGGATATAAATTCATAATTTCCAATGTTTATGAAATATATATGATCAAAACATACAACTTTCATATGTAGGTATCATATATTTAATATTAATGTATGCATCTTCTCCTCCATTTTTTTCAAGTGTTTCTAATGTTTCTTAAATGAGATCAGATAGATTTTCATTTTTTCTTTATGAATAATCAATTTTATCTCCAATGTTTACTAAAATAAATGATAATTGAATATTACATCTTTTATTCTTATACATATTCAAAACAGGTAGTATTTATCTATAATAAGGAACTAAGGCTTCTCCTATCATTTAACCACTTTTGACTAATTTCTATATTTTCTTTAAGGTAATACACATAATATCATGATTCTTAGTTGCTAAGGCTTCTATTAAAGAATGTTAATATTATAAATGATTTACTTTTGATAGGAATGATCAATTAAGGTAAGACTGATAATATCTTAGTTTCTCCTTTTTATAATAATTCTTCACATCCATTGACAGCTAAGAATTTATAAGGATCTTCAGTTTCTCTGAGTCCTTCAAAGAATATAGGAAGATATAAATGATAATCTAAGCATTCAGGTTCACATTTCCAAACGATCTTTCTAACAGCTCCACTAAAATTAACAGCAATTGGAAGATCTCCACGATCATAATATTTTTTAAATAAAGTCTATTCAATCATAGGCAAAGCTTAAAAGATCCCTGATTTTGGTACTTTTTATGGAGCTTAACTTTTCTTTGGAGCTAATGATGAACACACTAAATGTCATATAACTTATATATTAATACTTCCACCTGTCCCTGCAAATTTATTACTAATATTCAATAAATTTGAACAGAATTTACCTGGTGATCTCTAAGGAGAATGTCCTTTTATTCTTTTAATTGTTGATTATTACTGCAGCATACTTTATTTATTTTATATAAAATTAATTATCTAACCTGATGATGCATGCACTTAAGTTATTTTGGATAATTATTTATCATGTTTAAGCTAAGAATTATTTTACATTCCTTAAAGTTTTGAGTGCCAAATTTAACAAAATTTCAAGCGCCTAAAATTCCCTTTTCCTTATAAACATGATTTTTCATCAAAATCTAATAAATCAAGGAGATCTTCAACAATAAACAATTAAGTTCAACTTTAATAGTTAAAGAAATCTCATAAAATAATTCTTTTTAAGTATTTTAAACAATAAATATTCTAACGATAATATTATTTGAAAAATAAAGGCATGCTTCGCACAAATATGTCAATAGTTAATCTTAACCATTAATAGAGTTCGAGCTCTCTATTATAAGCCTTAGTAAATTAGAGACCAAAATCATCATAAAAATCCCATTCACAAAAAAGAGTGCCTTCTGCAAAATCTAACAAAACAAACCAAAATGGTCAACCCAGTTACAAGGTACTAAATTATTTTAATAAAATTTAGTTGGTAACTTCTTCTCTGTGTTAGCCTATTCCAAATATAAAACAAGAAGTATCTCAACGAACTAATGAGACTTTAAAGCCAACGTAAAATTTCTTATGATTTTAGTGACAATTCTACAACTGAGCCACTATAATCTTAAAGAATTTAAGAGCAATAAAGTGAAAAGAAAACTAATAAAAAAGCATCCTTAATATAAAGAACTATATTTGGATAAAGTGCTGCATCTTTGGGCATTAAATAAAAGACAGTTAAATTGACAAGAGAATCAAGAAGTAATAGTAAAAAAGAAGTGCAATAAATAATTATTGAGGAATCGACATAACAATAGTAAGTTATAAAGGAAGTAGAAAATGCAGAGGCTACTTAAAAATTAGAATAATTGATCTCAAAATACAAAAACACGTCTTTTTTTAATTAAGGTTCATAATAAAATTAGTAGCAAGCATAATAAATAACCCCTTAGATAGTTTTAAGTGTTTCGTAACCTAAAGAAAATTAATCTCTTTCAACTACATAATAAACATTATTGTCATAAGCATCATAAGCAGTCTTACAGGAATAAGATCAGAATGTCAATGGGGCTTAATCAAACATTTTATAAGTTAATTAAACTTCAATAAACAAATATGTAACGAGAATTTCAAGAGGAGCAAATTTCATTCCATAAAAATAGAATTCAAATTCTGTTAATACTTCAGTGAATACAAAGCCCAATAGAAAAAGGATGAATTCTCCCTTACATGGTTAAAAAAGGTCGAAAGAAAACTCTATAGTTTCAGAATCATTAGTAAGTCATAGAGAATCAAAATCAAAACTTAGAAATTTGTCAGGGGATAGAAAATTTACACAAATGTAAAAGGTTAGCATAGGACCTTAAGCTCCATTTTAAGAATTTTAATATTACATGTCATTTGCTAGATTTTTTCATAAAGACAAAAAATTCGAAACATAAATAAAGCAACTATTTAATAATAGCCTTAAAACTTAATAATACTTCTGCGAAATATATTTGGACCACATTTAATAAAGTTTTCATGCTCTATAATTTTGTAAAGATGCTCAGAAACCTAAATTAGAGGAGATAAAATAAAAAATAGTAAATTTACCTCCAAATAAATGTACAATATTTAATTTATAAGTAGTTTCTAAAAGTATTGTATTTGATTTAGATGAAACATTGATTCATTGCCAAGAATCAAATGACGATCCAAGTGATATTGTGTTAACAATAAAGTTTCCAACAGGAGAAACAGTGGAAGCAGGGATTAATATTAGACCATATTGTAAAGACATGCTTTAACTTCTGTCCTAAAAATATGAAATAATTGTATTTACAGCTTCCCATGAATGCTATGCCTAAAAAGTACTAAACTATTTGGATCCAGATAAAAAATTCATCCATCATAGATTTTTCAGGGATAGCTGTGTTGTAATATAAGATGGATTGCACGTCAAAGATTTAAGAGTAATAGGGAATAGAAATTTAAAAGATATGGTATTAATTGATAATGCATCCTACTCTTTCTGCTTTTAATTAGAAAATGGCATTCCTATTATACCATTTTATGATAATGCTTTAGATAAAGAATTACTATACTTAACAACATATTTGATGGATTTAATGTAGGATCAAGATATTCCTTAAAAGAACTCTAACAATTTTAAGACATCATTGTTCCAATAAGATATCGCTTTTGAATCATTAATTACAAAACTATGATAATTTATATCTATATATATTAACTGTTTCAATTAATTTAATTTATATACTGAATTTTACCTCCAAATCAGCTCTAAGGTTTTGGGTTGAAATTGAATCCATAGACAAGAATTCAGATTGCGATCATTTCACTAATTTGATTAGAAGAAACGATATTCTAATAAATTTGTTTATGCATGTTAGGATTGGGAATAAATCTTAAATATAAATCTTGAAAGAGACTTTACCAAAGTATTCTAAACCAAATAATACTGTTTGTAGAGTTAAGAAAATCATAAGGGTTGCCTAGAATTATGCTGATTTGCACTTTAAATATTGAGACTAATTCAGATAGTTTAATTTAAGAAAAGGTTTCAAACTATATTATCTCCATAATCATAATGTTATGTGGGTCATTCCCAACTTTTTAATAAGACAAGTGAAGTGTTTTCGAAAGATAACTAAATTTGAGGTGAGAAAGAATTTAGTATTTTTATGACCATGATAACACACTAAATAATTAGTGTTATTTGCTACTAAAACTTTGTTGGATGACGTATTATCGAGAGATAAAAGTATGTTGATCTAAGGATATTAAGCTTTATTATTTACCTAAATTTCATAAACTCATGCCTATTCTCGCTGATTTAAAATATTAAGTTGAACTATAATTGAAGAAACAATAGTCTAATAGAGTTGGTCCAAGTCCGAAAGAGAAAGTGATGTTCCTCACACGTGTTTTGTATGAGAAGAAATCTTTAAAAGAAGTATTATGCTCTTGTTTACATTTTTTAGGCTTGCCAAGAATTACAAATGTCTTACTCCTGGGGTAAGGCCATATGGTCTGAACACATATCCCAATATAATAAATCAAAAAAACTATATAAAAAAAATGATTCTCCCAAAACTCCTCCCAGCGAGACAGAATAGATGACGAAGAAGGTTGCGGGCGTCAAAATCCTCCCAAAAGGACAACACATTACAAAACAATTTCACATCCAGGTGCTCATTCACGGAAATCCCATCAAGACTAAAACTACTGATTGAGAATGGAAGGCAATCTGGATTTTGCTTTCTTTTGTTTTTCTTAATTCATGCTTTTCTGAGCTAATTCTCCTTCTGGAGAATTTGATTTGGAATTGCATAATTATATATAAATTTCATAATTTTATTGCTCTTGCATTTAAAGAAATTCTTTATTTGCTCCAGTCAACTCTTTCTGATATTGCATCTAAGGATCCATTAACTTTTCTATTTCAAATAAAACCTTATTTCAGAAAACATTTTTATAATGAGTTTAATCCAAATCCTGTTTTTTAGGCAAATCTAATTAACAGCGAACATTATCTACGATATCGAATCAAAGGAAAATCATAGCATTTAAGGAAGTATTCATTTTTAGTTTCTTTGGCTTTGATTTAAATATATTTATGTAGATGAAATTCATAGCTATCAATTTTCCTTACTGTATTTGTTTTGTAAATCAAAAATGGAAGGACCAGTTCTATAAAAGTAAAACAATCGAATAATATCTCAAAAGAAATTATGGCATAATATTCTTGATATATTTAATATTTTGGATAATTTTTAGGGTGTAAAATAGATTTCTTTGTTTCTAGTTTTATTTTCATTAACCTATGCCAATCCAAAATTCTTAAAAACTATTTGTTTCTTACAATATTTATAAGCTCAGCAGATCATTAATAACTAATAACTTATTCAATGATTTATTTCAACTTATTTGACCTCATTAGATCCAATATTAATTTAGTAATTTAATATTTAGGAAAGCCTGTAGATAAATCTGATTCTAATAACAATAAATTATAATTTAAAAAGCTAAACCTATTGAAAAAAATAAATTTAGAAATTAGAAAGGCTATGATTAAAATAATAAAATAGAATTAAGATTTTAAAATGATTAACATTCATCGAAGAAATTTTTTAAGTTAATGTTGAGATTTTCCTTTAACCTACTTTAACTCCCTTTCTAAAGCCATTACTCTCTTTGAGTTTGCATCTTTAAGAAATATAATTTCCTGTGATAATCTCTTTATTTAGAATTCTAATTCCTACTTGTCCTATTTATAATTTGCTAGCATTTCATTTTATTCACAAATTAATTTTTCTAATTTCTCGTTTTGCGCCAATAATTTTATAGTAGCATCAATAAATTATTGTTACTTCTTATCCTCTTTCTCTATTTTCTCTGTTTATACTCGTAAGGATGGAGACGCACACCGAACACTTTAAACAGTGTCTCTCATGCTTTAATTTGCTCGCTAAGAAATAATAAATGATTAATGGTTAGATATGATTTTTGGGCTGTTAAAGGATTGATTAACAGAAAGATTTAGTTATTGATTGTAGATTTGTTAACTTTCATTCAATACAGACCTTCTATTTGAGATTGTTGAGCTTAGTCTAGCTGCCATAGTTTAGAGAGTCTAAATATGAGCTTGTTATTGTCTCATAAATAATTTTAAAATTATTTATTTACGAGAATTTATTAATTGTTAAAATTACTCAATCAATCATTTGTAGAGAATTATTTCAGAATTATGCTCAGATTTTTTGTGGCGAATCTAGTCTTAGGATAGATTTAATGACTTATTAGACCTTTAAGCTGAAGTAGTAAATTCTTTATTTGGATCATAAAATGATATTGGCTTCTATGAAACTTGCGAATAAGCTTATTATTGTTGTTAGATAAGTTGCTGATTTCTAAATTATAGCTATGGTAAAAAAGATAAATTTTGGACAAACTTATTTTATTTTATGATTTGTGGACTTTATGATTTTAATTGTACATTTGGCAATTATGGAAGCTTCCTTGGTGATTAACAAGTAGTATTATATGCTCGATGTATCTCTTATATTTACTCATTTGTCAATTTATCTGCCTAAATACTTTCTACTCTTTTGAATTGGTGGTTGTTTATAGTTTATCTAATAGATTAATTAAACAACTTTAATTAACTCCAAATGTAGAATCCACCTCTTTGTAAAACTATATATAACTTTAAATTACAATATTTATCTGAATGCTTTATGAATTTCTTTTTCAAAATAATATGCATAGCCCAATAATTGTCAAAATCCACATCTAAAATAGCCTTATAATTAGAATGCAGCTTCTTTTTTAACTTCTTTTGTTGTGCTCTTAATTATAATTTTAATTCTCTCTCTGGATTAATGTACATTTATTACTGTTATTACATTAATTGTTGTTAATAGGATTATTACTAAGACTAGGCAACTAGCAATTTATCTACCATCGAGACAGATCTGAGGATTATTGTAGGCTTTTAGTAAACCAAAGAGCTCGATTATTCTCTTTATTTACTGCCTTTTCTTTAAATCCATAATTTGGTTTTAGGACTTTCATTTGATCCTGGATCTTGTAGTTCGGTTGATTTTTACTATTCATTCATAATATGTTTTTGTTGTTATTATTGTTCAGATAGTTTTGCTTTTATTTTTGATATAACAATTGCAGATGTACTTTGAATTAAATTATGAAAATCTTCTCTAGATTTGTTCACTAAAATCTTTATTAGGACTAGTGCTGAAGTCATCTGCAATATGGTAAATATATATTACTTTAAATTCTTGATCCATCATGAGTTATTGGATTTATTATAAAATTTCAATATTATTCTCGGCCATGAAATATTATTTAAACATCAATAACAGGTCTTTTGTATCTTTTTAATTAAATCTAACTATCTGCATCTCTGGCTTGAACAATTTTATTATAGTTTAACAAAATTTATAAATATACATCCTCTCAGGAAGATTTAGCGTATTGATTTTTGAAAGATACTCTAAAATTTTGTTTTCTTCATCCTACCTAGGTTTATCATGTTTTTTCATTGCTATTACTTTAAATCCCATTTGCCTAAGGGATTGTTAAACTTAATTGAATTCAATATCAATGGTCTTTTGATTAGCTTATACTTATTGATTTATTGTTGTCATCACTCGAACATCCTCAGATCTCTCTTAAATCAATCTTAAAAGGATGTCAAGTTAATTAAAGTTTACTTCCATACTAGTGTAATATATATATAAAATAAATTTAATAAATACTTTATAATTTCAAGCACTTATATGAATTATCAGTATAAATATATATATGCTAGAATAAAAACTTGAATATGATTTGAAATATAAAGTATAATAATCAAGTTATGAATAAAATTATAAGAAGATTAAAATTAAAACCAAATACGTTCGTTTTTTCAGGCTATAATTTGACTTTTAAAAAGTTGGCTCCTTAAAATTAGAAACTTTAGAGCTTTTTATCTTTGAAAATAATTAATATGTGCATAATCTCTCAAAAATGTAGAGAAAATAATTCGAGTGGCTTGAGATTACAAACTTTAACATGTGAGAAGAGTTTAAAAAGAAATATTATAAATGAAACAAAAAATAATTAATTTTATATAAAATAAATAAAGTATGCTGCAGTAATAATCAACAATTAAAAGAATAAAAGGACATTCTCCTTAGAGATCACCAGGTAAATTCTGTTCAAATTTATTGAATATTAGTAATAAATTTGCAGGGACAGGTGGAAGTATTAATATATAAGTTATATGACATTTAGTGTGTTCATCATTAGCTCCAAAGAAAAGTTAAGCTCCATAAAAAGTACCAAAATCAGGGATCTTTTAAGCTTTGCCTATGATTGAATAGACTTTATTTAAAAAATATTATGATCGTGGAGATCTTCCAATTGCTGTTAATTTTAGTGGAGCTGTTAGAAAGATCGTTTGGAAATGTNTGCTGATTTCTAAATTATAGCTATGGTAAAAAAGATAAATTTTGGACAAACTTATTTTATTTTATGATTTGTGGACTTTATGATTTTAATTGTACATTTGGCAATTATGGAAGCTTCCTTGGTGATTAACAAGTAGTATTATATGCTCGATGTATCTCTTATATTTACTCATTTGTCAATTTATCTGCCTAAATACTTTCTACTCTTTTGAATTGGTGGTTGTTTATAGTTTATCTAATAGATTAATTAAACAACTTTAATTAACTCCAAATGTAGAATCCACCTCTTTGTAAAACTATATATAACTTTAAATTACAATATTTATCTGAATGCTTTATGAATTTCTTTTTCAAAATAATATGCATAGCCCAATAATTGTCAAAATCCACATCTAAAATAGCCTTATAATTAGAATGCAGCTTCTTTTTTAACTTCTTTTGTTGTGCTCTTAATTATAATTTTAATTCTCTCTCTGGATTAATGTACATTTATTACTGTTATTACATTAATTGTTGTTAATAGGATTATTACTAAGACTAGGCAACTAGCAATTTATCTACCATCGAGACAGATCTGAGGATTATTGTAGGCTTTTAGTAAACCAAAGAGCTCGATTATTCTCTTTATTTACTGCCTTTTCTTTAAATCCATAATTTGGTTTTAGGACTTTCATTTGATCCTGGATCTTGTAGTTCGGTTGATTTTTACTATTCATTCATAATATGTTTTTGTTGTTATTATTGTTCAGATAGTTTTGCTTTTATTTTTGATATAACAATTGCAGATGTACTTTGAATTAAATTATGAAAATCTTCTCTAGATTTGTTCACTAAAATCTTTATTAGGACTAGTGCTGAAGTCATCTGCAATATGGTAAATATATATTACTTTAAATTCTTGATCCATCATGAGTTATTGGATTTATTATAAAATTTCAATATTATTCTCGGCCATGAAATATTATTTAAACATCAATAACAGGTCTTTTGTATCTTTTTAATTAAATCTAACTATCTGCATCTCTGGCTTGAACAATTTTATTATAGTTTAACAAAATTTATAAATATACATCCTCTCAGGAAGATTTAGCGTATTGATTTTTGAAAGATACTCTAAAATTTTGTTTTCTTCATCCTACCTAGGTTTATCATGTTTTTTCATTGCTATTACTTTAAATCCCATTTGCCTAAGGGATTGTTAAACTTAATTGAATTCAATATCAATGGTCTTTTGATTAGCTTATACTTATTGATTTATTGTTGTCATCACTCGAACATCCTCAGATCTCTCTTAAATCAATCTTAAAAGGATGTCAAGTTAATTAAAGTTTACTTCCATACTAGTGTAATATATATATAAAATAAATTTAATAAATACTTTATAATTTCAAGCACTTATATGAATTATCAGTATAAATATATATATGCTAGAATAAAAACTTGAATATGATTTGAAATATAAAGTATAATAATCAAGTTATGAATAAAATTATAAGAAGATTAAAATTAAAACCAAATACGTTCGTTTTTTCAGGCTATAATTTGACTTTTAAAAAGTTGGCTCCTTAAAATTAGAAACTTTAGAGCTTTTTATCTTTGAAAATAATTAATATGTGCATAATCTCTCAAAAATGTAGAGAAAATAATTCGAGTGGCTTGAGATTACAAACTTTAACATGTGAGAAGAGTTTAAAAAGAAATATTATAAATGAAACAAAAAATAATTAATTTTATATAAAATAAATAAAGTATGCTGCAGTAATAATCAACAATTAAAAGAATAAAAGGACATTCTCCTTAGAGATCACCAGGTAAATTCTGTTCAAATTTATTGAATATTAGTAATAAATTTGCAGGGACAGGTGGAAGTATTAATATATAAGTTATATGACATTTAGTGTGTTCATCATTAGCTCCAAAGAAAAGTTAAGCTCCATAAAAAGTACCAAAATCAGGGATCTTTTAAGCTTTGCCTATGATTGAATAGACTTTATTTAAAAAATATTATGATCGTGGAGATCTTCCAATTGCTGTTAATTTTAGTGGAGCTGTTAGAAAGATCGTTTGGAAATGTGAACCTGAATGCTTAGATTATCATTTATATCTTCCTATATTCTTTGAAGGACTCAGAGAAACTGAAGATCCTTATAAATTCTTAGCTGTCAATGGATGTGAAGAATTATTATAAAAAGGAGAAACTAAGATATTATCAGTCTTACCTTAATTGATCATTCCTATCAAAAGTAAATCATTTATAATATTAACATTCTTTAATAGAAGCCTTAGCAACTAAGAATCATGATATTATGTGTATTACCTTAAAGAAAATATAGAAATTAGTCAAAAGTGGTTAAATGATAGGAGAAGCCTTAGTTCCTTATTATAGATAAATACTACCTGTTTTGAATATGTATAAGAATAAAAGATGTAATATTCAATTATCATTTATTTTAGTAAACATTGGAGATAAAATTGATTATTCATAAAGAAAAAATGAAAATCTATCTGATCTCATTTAAGAAACATTAGAAACACTTGAAAAAAATGGAGGAGAAGATGCATACATTAATATTAAATATATGATACCTACATATGAAAGTTGTATGTTTTGATCATATATATTTCATATACATTGGAAATTATGAATTTATATCCAATCAATATATTCATAAATATAAAAATTATTATTCATGATTTATACAGGTAAAAAGTAAAGAGCTACGGAGAAAGAAACAAAAGAAAATAAATTAGGATAACTCTAAAAAAGTTAGGCTAAATAAGTAGAATAGTTAACTTTGATATATGATGTGTTTTAAAAAAATTTGCATCAGTTTGCAGGAAAATATAGAGATGAGATCTCAAAGAATCCTGATTTCAGAGAAAAGTTTAATGAATTATGCGATAAAATGGATGTCAACCCAATGATGTCGAAAAAGACTATATGGAGTGATTTAGGTTTTGGAGATTTTTATAATGAGTTAGCTGTAAATATTGATAATATGAAAAGATTAAAATTCTAGACATTTGTGCAAAAAAATATGCCATTTATGGTGGAATTACTAAAATCACTGATATAATTGATGAATTTAGAAAGGTCTATGGAATGAAGGTCTCTAAATCTGATATTGAGAGAGCAATAAATACTGTATCATCTTTGGGGGGTTGCCATATTCATAATAAATATGTGTACACAGTTCCTATAGAAATGAGCCCTGATTTTAATTTGTTATTGGAAGTAGCAGAAGAAGAAAGATTTGTGAATGAAAAAATTATGCAAGTGAAGAAAGGTTGGACAAAGGAAAGATTTTACCAAAAAATTTAAGTGTTATAAAGGGAAGGATTAGTTTGGGCAGATAAAAAAACACAAACTAAAATTGTAGATTATTATTTCCCTTCTCTTTTAAATACATATTTTGATCCTATGAGAAGTTAAATAATAATGCAATAATTAAAATAATGAGTACAAAATTGGATCTGATCTTAATATCATATAAAATAATATATATATTATCTTTTGTTTAAACAAAATGTTATTTATTTTTATTCAAATATACCCTAAAAGTAAAAATTCACAAACTCATGCTTATTGTTAAATTATTTTTAAACTTACTTATTACTGTGAAATTACCATTTACTAATTTAATTTACACCTAACTAATTCAACCCTAAGTATTGATGTATTGAATAATCTTTTTATTTCTTGAGCAACCAAATAGAAGGTGAAAGTCTAAGATCGGGAAGCAAAAAAATTTTTATTTTTAAAAATATAAAACAAAAACCATTATTCTAGGAATTAATAATCATTTTATATTGAATTTTATAAAGTTCTAATTTTTGATTAAATATGTTGACAAATGATAGTACTGACTCCATTCTCGAAAGCATTTTAAAAGAAATATTGTCAGAAGTATTATTTTAAATGTAAATATAGATGTTGTAATTACTTGAATAAAATATAAGATCGAAGGAGGAGTTGCAAATCATATAAGATCATCTGCAAGATTATGAAAATTTGCAACAGTTAGCAGAAACTATGAAATTTATTTTCGATGTGCTTAGAAAAAAGCTTCAAGGGACTAATAATTCAGAGAAATATTTCAAATGCGAATCAAAATCAGAGCACTATCAAAAATTAGAATAGGCAATTCAAAAATAAGAATAAGACATAAGAATTCACATTAGAGTATGATCAAATGATGTATAGATTTAGTTAGGCATAACATGAGATGAAGATATACATTGATACAATATAATAATAATTAGAGGAATCAGAATAAATTAGAAAAGAATATCTTCAAGAAACAACTTAATTAATTCAAGTAACATTTGAGTTTAACTTAGAAACTTAAAAAAGAAAATCATAGTTTGATTCAGCAATTGAAATAATATACACAAATCTAAAAACAACAAACTGCATAAAATTCTAGGAGAGATAGCATATCAACAATAAATGTCATTTTCTAAAAATAACCGTCTAAATCAAATCATTTAGGAAATAATTAAGAGAAATAGGAACCATGGAATAATAGCTAAATAATTAAATGGCAATTAACTTAAAACAATAGTTAAATTCAATTATTAAAAAATAAGAATTCTTAGAGATCATTGACTTAAAGACAATTATAAGCAAAGTACAAATTTTTAGATATATATAAATAGTAGAAATAAAAGTTATTCTTTAGGAATAAGTAAATAGAACTCGATTAATGGCAGCTTTATATAGAAACTGATACCAGAATAGGGATCGAAAAGAAAGAGCTTGCATGCAGAAAGTCATCGACCAAAAGGTCTCACCGATTAGCAAAAATAATCATAAAAATGAAATATTATTCATAAATTTTATTATTTTTAATGGAATAAATAATTTAGAATGATAATTTAGTGATCTTATAGTAAAAAATATTAAGCTATCCAAAAACAAGTGAAGATCTTAAAGTACTATTTATATTTATGATAAGACAATGGCATCAATTATAAAAGTTACATAAATTTACAACAAATTAAATGAACTTTATCATCAACAACTATCGCAAGAAGGATAAATAAAAGTAAATTGATATGATTTGATTAGCTCTGCAATTATTTAGAACTTAAAAGTTATGAACTTGGTTAATAAGTGTAACCAAGTCAAAACTTTGCAGTATAGCTTATTCTAAAAGGATAAATCGAAGTTTATTATTTGGAAGAAGGATACTTCTATAACCATGAAAAATACCTCTAAACTTTAGATCCTTTATTTTACATAGAAGAGGACTTTATCTTTGACAAAATACAATATCAGCAAAATCAACTTATTTATAAAGCATCCTCTAAAAATTCACTACTATTGATGATAAATAAAAAAGAATGTGATGAAATTTATAAATATTATGGGGAGATATTTTTGTATAAACATAGAACTTTATGCAAGATAATACCAGGTTTGGGAGAATTGAATTCTAAAAGAATATTAGAGTCTCTTGCCAATCAATTTGAAAATATAATCCTACCAAATTGCACTTAAATTACAGAGTAATAAAATAAGTTTAATTAATTTAAGGGAAAATCAAATAGGAGAATACCTGTTCTTTTTAGCATAAGGTCATGCATCTTTTCAAAAAAATAAAGAACATATATTTAATATGGAAGAGAGTGGGATAATTGGAGATGAATTATTAGTTGATCCCGATTAAGATTAAAATAGTTTATAAACTTATTACTATACTGTAATTGCCAAGTCAGCATAAGTTTTACTATATAAAATCAAACTTAAGATATTTTCACGCCTATTTCCAAATGCAATTATTAGGCAAATCATTACTTAACATAAGTGTATACATTGATTCTAAATTTTAGAGAAATAAGTAATAAGATTACTTGTTGGTAGCAAACCAATCGAGAAATAAAAATGTAATACTTCGCCAAATAATGAAATTAAAAAGTCTAAATCAACATTGATTCTTACAAAAGACACAATAAAGGCTTATGATAAAGTAGACATAGTATTTTAAAAATATTAAGTAGATATCTTATAAAAAATTAGGTACCTAAACACAGTCGAGTATTAAAATTTAACAATAATTTAATGGATAAGTTCCATAAAAAGTTGAAAAATACAGGAAAAAAAATTACAATAAATGAGTTTGTTTAGTAAACAAAATAGAGCGATGAACCTCAAATGAAATTATTAGAAAAAGTTGAGAATCCATATAATTTTGCCTCAAACGTAAACACAGAGGGATTTCTAAAGAAATATTATTCGAATCTCATAAGAATTGGATTAGTAAAGCCTCCTTTAAGAGTAGCTCCTTAAAATTATGAAGCTATTCAAAGATCAAGAGTAATTTCAGCAATGAAATTAATTGAGCATACTCATAATTAATTAAAACCCAAGAGAGCGACAAGTGCCGCTTTCGGAAAAGCGGATCCATTACTTTCAATAAATGCTTTAGTGTCAACAAAGGAGAGTGAGATTAATGTTAGCGCTCAGAAACTAATTGAAAAAAATAAAACAATGACTACAGTTTATCCTACTCCAAGAACGTAATCATAACCTTAATTGGGTTATCATACTAATGTAACTCCAAGATATTCATCTGTAATGGAAACACCTAAATGTGATACTCCTTAATCAAGATCAACTATGGCTAAATCATCATAGCAAGTTTTTAGACCATATTCCGGATTCATGGATCATACTTCACGATTGTCTTAATAATCAGAAATCAATAAAAGGTTAAAGAGGCCTAATTAACATTTTTTTTGAGTATATTTTGTATTAAAATTCTATTTATATTTTGACATAATGAATAACAAAATCACTAACACTGTTTATTTGCATGAGTTAAATATTCTAACCCATACCTTTTACCAAATACAACTCCATAGTATATTTAAGATATGATATTTGCTATGTCTAGGCAAAAAACAATCAAAATTACGAAATATCCAATTCTGTATTTACTCAATAATATGTAACCAATTTTAGCAAAGACTGATCCTCCAATAATCTAGAATGATATAACATTATACAGCTAATCCAGTAAATAAAATTATGGTTTGCCAATCAAGGTAATGATTTGTAAGAAGAGTAATTAAATTATTTAATGAAATCATTAAATAAATAAAAGCTGATGTAGCTGAAGCACATCTAGGGATTAAGCCACTAAATAGCAAAGTAGGAACCATCACAAATCCAGCTCCCATTCCTAAGAATCCTGATACAAATCCAGCCATAAATCCACCCGCATATATCTTAAAAAATCTACTGATTGGAGTAAAGTATCTTTCTTTTGGCAAAAAGTTAATTTAATTAAATTGCTTCTCTTAACTTGTTCCAAATTACCAAATCAAATAATCATATAGGACGTTGGCAACAATCAATATAAAAATCATAAAATCATTTTGCCAAGTGCAATCTTCAATTCCAACGTATGAGGGTTTCTTGGGATTTGTAGATCTCATTTAAATAAATATCTAATTAGTATAAAAAATATCTCTTACTTAATTTAATCCAAACGAGCCAAGAATAAAGAGAATTGGCATAGGAGGTAATATATTTTCTGATTCTTATTTAAATTATGAATAGAGAGATTGATTTAAATTTGCATTAGAAATTATAGATATCTTTCTAATTTCTTAGATTGTATCTTCTTATTATTCTTACATTCCTTCCATATTCTATAACTCTATTTTTGGATGTATGTTCGAATCATTTAAATTTGTGGTGTTATCTTTTGAAGAATCATTTATTTTCAGTTCTGCTTCTTTAGCACTTTTAGCTAATTGACACAATTATTCTATATATACCTTTTGACCAAAGAATGGGAGCAACTCCAAATAAAAACAACTCTTATAGTATAAGAGTGTATAATTGGGGTAGAAATGACGCTAAGGAGGAACCAAGATTAGTGGCAAATGGAACGGCAAGATTAAAGATTATTGCAATTCTGTAATTTATAATGGGTCTTCTATCATCTTCAGGATTCCTAATTAAGTTAAGGTGAATACTTTTCGAACATCAATAGAACTGTGTTAAGAAGCGTACCTCCGAACATAAGACAATATGCTATATGAGTTGCTTCACTTTAGGAATAATTAAGTATCATTTCTAAAAGTGGTCCTTTCAATACTCCACCTAAAATTTAATATATTTATACCTCCCATTCCTCCCAGAATACCAACTCCAATCAATATTGGTGTGATGATATATGATATAATTATTCCTGCTTTTGGTGTAAAGGGAGAATCATGTTAACATGAATATACTAATGTAGCTGCGTTCAATTCACATTAACTAAATTACCCACAGGTATGAAAAAAGCCTGTCTAACCAGGTACGCACACTTCTGTCATTATAAAATATAATTAAGTTAATTTCAATGTTTAAATGACAATTTGAACCGGATCCTCACTATATTATAATTTATATATCGGATGATATATTATCTTACGAAATGTTAAAACAATTTTTATTTTAGAAATTAAATTTCTGTTTTTCAATTATTGTCTCAATCTAAAGGTTTATAAGAAAAAAGAAAATTAACAATTAGGGATTGAATAATAAGGATGCTTTTAATAATAAATTTTTAAATCGTATATATATATATAAAAGAATAATAAGAAATAAAGTGGATGGAAAAGAGAAGAAAGGCTTAAATATATTATGATATGTTTCTTATAATTGTTTGATAAATAATAATATGTTTAAACCAAAAAGTTAGAAAGATCAATAATAACAGCCATTTTATTTGAGTTGGTTTACAAATTAGGGGTACTTTAAATTGATTGGTAATTCAGTTTAGTGAAAACCTAAAGCGGGGAGGAACTGCACCAAATTAATCTCGAAAGGAAAAAATGCCTTTAAAAAGTCCATATTAACAACCTTTGATTACTGTAGTACACAATGTTCCAAACCCATACTTGAAAACTATGTGAGAAGTGTTTTCATTAATATAGATCATAGCCAAAAAGTTAATAAAATAATATCCAGCAGATTTCTAAGATTTACGCAGGTCAGTTTTAAAGCACTGTTAAAAGAAGAAGTCTTGAAAAGCGTTATGATGATGGCCCAAAGAGTGGAAGAGGGTCATTTAAACCATCTAGGACATTCACTTAGCAAATTTCAAGACCCTTTCGATTTTCTGAGTAGTAACAGAGTAGACCCTAAACTCAATAAATAAATACTTTGGAACCCAAGTTAAATTTTGAGAATTTGTAAGCTGACAATTCAGATGATGAACAATACACTCCTAGAGAATAGGAGGATATTGAAATAGTAGATATGGACAATAATGATGATTACTCAAATAAATCAAATGAAGCTGATAGTGATGACAATTAAAACCTTTAATTACCTACTTAAAACTAAGAAGAGAAGGAAATTCAAAAGAATGTCTCTTACGTACATAAATAACCTGAAGAACCAATTGCAAGCATGAGAAAAGCAACTGCTGGTCTAAATAGACCCCAAACATCTGAAGGTGTAAGAAGGAAAAGATTCATGAATTCAGATAAAAATGACTCAAAACATGCCTTTGAAACTAAGCAATCAGATTTTGGGCTCTTAGATTACGAACCCAATGTTATCTAAGAGGATTACTTAGAGAATCAAGAAATAATTCCAATTAACTTGAATTAACTGAATTCTCCTAAAGTATGAATTTTCTTTTATTTTATAATGAAGGAATTGCTCTCCATACGTTCTGGATAAAGGAAAAAGTAGACAGAGTAAATTTAGATTGATAATTTTGATAAGAATGAAAGACCTCCTTCAAGACACAAAACACCTCCAAAGGCGACTGGACTAGAATTGCCCATTCAATCTGGCAACTAGAATTTCGATAGGGATGGCATTGAAATCCCTATCAAGAATATGTATGCTCAAATTGATGAAATATGTAATGCTTCTCAATATTGTTTAAGCCAACTAGAATAATAATGTGGCAATAATTAAGGATAATGATGAATTTGATGATTTCGATTTAGGGTTCTTTAAAATGAATAATCAAGTTAATTTAAACAAGTTTCATTAGAGAGATGGATATCGAACTGATGATGGAAGTAAGTAATTCTTTTTAACAAAGAAAAACAAGCTTCAGGGTAAAAGCATCCTTAATCTGCTAACTTAAAGTATAATGGACTGGGATTCTAAAATATCTCATACTCTCCTATAAACAATCAGATTACTTCTGCTCATGGATTCAGAGCCAACGAAGAATAAATAGTTATCAAATATAATTCTAAATCAGCCCTAAATAAGAACTAGAACAACTAACCAGTCAAAGTACCATTTCAAACTTCATTGGGATAAGATTTCCTAAGATTATTTGCTAATGATTGAATCCACTAATATATTATTATAAATAAACAGTTATTATACTTTAAATGTCAACAGCAGGGTACTTAAATAAATACAATAACAAGAAATAGAATGATACTAAATCAATTGTAAGTTAGCAATCCAGTAAAAAGGTATCAAATCTATAATCTGATTTAGAGTACAACTACAGATGTAAAAACAAAAGAAGACATATTGAATAAAATGCAATAGAATGAAGAAAAGCATAGATAATTGATGATTGAAAATAATAAAAGGAGAAAGGAATAAGAAAAGAAACTCAAATTGCAAGAGGAGGAGAAGTAAAAATAAGCAGCTGCATTGCTTGATCAAAGAAAGAAAACAAAGGAATAGGCTTATATCAATTATTTAAGAAACAATACTAAATAAATATTGGCAGACTATTAACCCAGGTAAACTGATTACCCTAAGTAAAATCCAAAACCTCCATTGGAGAAGAAAGTATAAACAAATTACAATAATTTCGAAGCACTTGATCTAGAAGTATCCCAAGTTGCTAAGAATAAAAAATTGCCTCAAGAATTTCAAAAATAATGGGAAGATTTTGAAGTCATGAGGAAAAGTGAGCTTTTAGATAGTCTTGACTTAAGCATGGCTTAAAAATAAAAACCAACTCCTATTCAAAAAAAGAATGATTTATAACAATTATTAGGATTACCCGAGGAATGCAGTGATGATGAAGAAGATTTGTGGAAGAATACAATGAAAAATGGATAATTGGCTAAATAAAATTCAAAGCCTCCTCTATCTAAACCTGCTTAATGGGCTGAACAAGCTATGACTTAAGCTGACGATGTCTTGTCTAAAATGAGTTAAAAACAAGGCACAGAAAGAGATAAAAGAGAACAGACTTCATAAAAAATATCACAAGAACCATCAAACACTAAATAAAAATAAACCTCATCATCAGTTCCCAAAAAAACTACTCCGAATAAGAATTAAGAACACATGAAGATATTATAATAAAAAGAGCAACAATTACTATCTTAACAAATGCAAATTCAATAGCAAATATAATAAAATACTGTTGATACTAATTAGAATAACACTAATAATCCTTCTCATTAAAATCCCCCTCGAAAGCCTCCTTAAAATATAAGAATTACGAATAAATAAATACATAAATAAGCCAGTAGTGTTCAAGATGAATAAAATCATATCTAAGAATTTCTTCAAGTATATATTTGTGGTATTATTATGATAGGAGGATCTTTAAAATATCAACGATATGGAAATGTAGATTTAAGTTGAACTATTAAATTTGAATAAGGAGAACAAATAAAAGATAGAATCAGTATAGTAAAAATATGGAGTGAGAAATTTGCAATCTTCTAATCAAGTGAACAGGGTAGTTTTTGTTTAGAATTAATATCCAAGTATTGTGCATTAATATGTTAGTAAAGTCCTAAGAAGATTAAATTGAGGCATCTTTATTAAAATTGGATATGATGCTTTAATAACCTGCTTAAAAATCAGCAGAATAACAATAGTTTAATAATTAATAATAACAATAATAAATAAGTTACACAATTCCGTTACAATAAAATGTCCAACAGAATACTTACTAATAATAATAGACGTAATAACAACCAAATAATTAACAAAATTATTAATAATAATTAAATCCTTAGTAATATTAATAATTACTAGAATAGTAGAATTTTCTCTAGTAATAATTGATAAGGGCATAATAATAGATATAATATATGTAGTAATAAAATCAACAAACAACATAAACGACGAGTTAGCAATAAGGAGACTTTCCTTAATTTCCATCTTATGTATTACATTAAGATCATTAATCTTTTGTTTAAACGTTCTCAAACGGAATACCTTAATAGTAATAACAATAGTAATAGTAATAATAATAAACATTCAACTCTAAACCAAGAAATGTTATTTCAAGCGATAATCAAAGCGTTTCAATAGTTTCATCATAGCAGAACGATAAATATACATTTGATCTAGATTTTGGAGTTCAAAAAAATCCCCAAAATACTTACACTCAATAAGCCTTAAAGAAAATGACTTAGAAGCAATCCTCAGTTAAATCAAATGTTCCTATAGAGGAAGAAGAAGAGCCAGAGGAAGGTAAAATAGAAGTAAGAAAAGATTTAAGAAATCTACTTTTTGATTGAAATGCATAATTAGCAAATAAAATATCTTTATTATAATTATTTAATGAATAATAATCTTATCAACCTATCTGCAGAGTTGTTGCAAGCCCAAGACATAAAGAAATATTTATTAAAAGATGTAATTTGAGTCCTAAAATTAACTAGCTCGATCGAACCACTTTGAAGTTGAGATATTTCGAGCAAGGGTATAATGATGGAAGGCCTATTTGTTTAAATAAAACCTACTTGGAGAGAGATGATGAGGAGTGTTACAATGAAATACGAATGAGGAAGGCTAAGCCAATGTATAGATTAATGTTTGGCACAGAATTCCATATCAAGGAATTATCAAACAGATTGAAAGTATTCCTAAAGGAGTTGGGTGTTCATGTTGCAGCTGAAGATACAAGGGGTTTGAGTAGTCAAATAACATTGGCATTTGTGGATATTTTAGAGGAAATTTACATTATATATAAGCAAACTGCAATGCAAGGAGAAGATGGTTAATCGTACTTTATGAAAAGTGTGATGAACGTATTGGCTACATATAGAGGATATGACTTCATAATTATAGAACCAAATTATAATGAAGTTTAGCTTTCAGTTCTTTATTCAACAATGTTCGAGGTGGATAGTCAAATAGACAGGATAATGGCCTAGACTCTGCATTAAGAAAATGATTACAGTAATCAAATAATTGAGTATGGAACATTTAATAAAGACTTAAAAAATTACACAGATGTTGTAAATATGGAGCCATTAAATTTTGAATACAATTGGGAAATCGAATTTAAAGAAGAAGAGCCACAAGTAATAGAATAAATTGATGTAATTGAAGATACAGAGATTATCAATTATTTGCCAGAATTTGATAAACAATTTCATTTTTTTTTAGTGAATGCATAGCCAGAAAATTGGTAATAATTGGTATATGACTTATTAAAAGACTTATGTGATAAGAACTTGTCAAATTAAGTTTTGGAATGGAAATTTTATGAAATATTAAAAAATGTAGAAGCTGCATAATATTTATTGATACATAGAAAAGATATAGTTAAGTTTTTGAGTAAAAAGAAATTCTTGGAATAGTACAATTATTAATAGAAACAAAACATGTAAAATAAAGAGACAGCCTCTTCAAATTATCAATTACTAGCTAAAATTGGTATAGATATTGACTAAGATGAATTGTTGGTATTAAGAAAATTAGAACTTAGAAGTCTACAAAAAATATCGAGTACATTCTAAGAAGGTTTAATAGAATTTGATCCCGAATAATATGCAAGAATGGAACAATAAACTTTGCTTAGATATTTTCCGACTTCTACAAGGACAGACAAATTGGAATATCTATACATACGAATTGATCCATTACCAAGGAAGCCAATTAAGGAAGATACATTGATTCCCATCCTTGATCTTCCAGAATGGGCAAGGAAAGCTTTTGAAGGGACAAATCGTCTAAATGTTATTCAATCATAAATATATCCTAAAGCATTTTTGACTGAAGAAAATCTATTAATTAGTATGTGCACCTACAGGAGCAGGTAAAACCAATATAGCATTGTTGGCAATTCTCCATGAATTAGCTAAGAGAGTAGATCAAAAAGAAAAAAGATTGAAAGATTAAGATTTTAAGATCGTCTATATATCTCCAATGAAAGCATTAGCTAGTGAGATTGTTGAAAAATTCTAAACCAAACTCAGGTATTTGGGAGTAAAAGTGAAAGAGTTTACAGGAGATATGTAATTAACGAAGAAAGAATTATAAGAGACTCATATTATATTGACAACACCAGAAAAATGGGATGTTATTACTAGAAAAACCAATTAAATTAGCGAGCAATTAAAACTATTAATTATCGATGAGGTTCATTTACTTAATGATGATAGAGGTCCGATATTGGAATGTGTTGTTGCTCGTACACTCTAATAAGTTTAAAGAGCGTAAAGTTATATCAGATTAGTAGGTTTATCTGCAACACTTCCAAATTATTGGGATGTTGCTATATTTTTGGAATGTCATAAAGAAAGTGTGTTCTTTTTTGATCATACATTCAGACCTGTACCATTATGTCAGAAATTCATAGGATGTAAAGAACCTGTTTAAGCACCTGCTAAGGGATAAAGAAGAAGAACCAAAAGAGATATCCAAAATGAATAAGCCTATGAATTGATGAAAGAAGTGGTGAAGCATAATAAACAAGTGCTCATTTTTGTGCATTCTCGTAAAGAGACTGTTAATTATGCTAAATGGATAGTGGAAAGGGCCACTCGTTTAGGTGATAAGTATGTTATTGGAACAACTAAAATTAATTGTACTAAGATAAATGATAAGGAATTAAAAAAATTGTTGCCTTATGGATTGGCATTCCATCATGCTGGTATGTTAAGAGCAGATCGTAATTCAGTCGAAAGGTTTTTCTTAAGTGGAGATGCAAGAGTATTGATAGCCACAGCCACTTTAGCTTGGGGTGTTAATTTGCCTGCTTTTGCTGTTATCATTAAAGGGACGGATATATTTGATGTTACTCGAGCAGACATATAGAATTTATGTGTTTTGGACGTGTAATAAATGTTTGGTAGAGCTGGCAGACCTTAATTTGATGATAAGGGGGAAGCAACTTTAATAACTGACTTCGATAATGTTGGCCATTATATGGGTATGCTAAACAATGCCAGTTATATTGAAAGCAAATTATTAACATTCCTAAGAGAAGCATTAAATGCAGAAATAGTTCTAGGGAATATTACTAATTCTAATGAAGCATATAATTGGATGTGTCACACTTTCTTAAGCATTAGATTAAGAAGAAATCCTTTGTATTATGGTGTTGAAAGGGCATTCAATGATTTGGAATTAGATTGTGATGCTTTAGTGGAAGAAAAGATTAATGAGGCTTTAAAATAGTTGGACACATTAAAATTGGTGAGGTTTGACTCTCGGAATCATCTAGTTACATCGACAGACTTAGGTAGAATTGCTTCTCATTATTATATCAAGTGTGAAACCATGAAGACTTTGTGTGATGATATGGGTTTGTCATTTGATTCATAAGAGAATTAAAAATTCCATTTCTAAACTTAATACTAATTGCTTAAGATCATGGCTAAGGCCAGAGAATTTGAGATGATTCGAGTCAGGCCTGAAGAAACTAAAGAGTTATAGAAGATTTATGATGAAGCTTGGGTTTTTTAAGATGAGCCTGACATCAGAGGCGAATCAAATGATATTCCTGAAAGTGTTATAGAAACTTAGGAGAAAGTTATTGCACTTATTAGTGCTTATCTTTATAACATGAATTTTGAAAATTATGCATTAACGATGGATACTAATATTATTATTTAGAATGCTATAAGATTATTGAGATGTATGTTGGATATGGCAATCAAGAAAAACCAAGCATGTACGGCACTTGAATTACTGAAACTGTGTAAGATGATTGAAAATAGAATGTGTCCCCAATAGAACCCTCTCTTTTAATTTAGTAAGGATAACTTCTAAGGATTTAATACTCGAAAAATAGTGAAATCTAAAGATGCTTACATGCCTAGAGCCTGGCTAGATGCTGTGGCTGAATGCTAATTAGATGCCTACTAGATGAAGTTGGAAGATGATGCTGCTTTGGCTAATTTGCTATAAATACCTGAGAATTTGATATCTTAATTTAAAGCCTATGTAAATATGATACCTGATTTTCAAATTGATTATACAGTTAAACCAATCTCTCAAACTATCTTATAATTGATTGTTTTCATTACCCCATATTTTACATTCAGTAGTAAATGGCACTTAAAGAATGAGCCATTTTGGATATTTGTTGATGACTCTGAAGAACTATTGCATTCTGAAGAATTTTTAATGGATATGGATAACATTATTCATCGAAAAACTATGTAAGTATCCTTTTATGTACCATTTAATTCAAAAGGAAAGAAATACCATTTGACAATTCAAAGTGATAGATGGATAATGTTGGATGATGATTAAACTACAATGTAGATTGATATATAAAATGCTTTAATGGATAACGATGAGATGGATTTTATTGAGTTATTAGATTTACAACCTTTACCAATTAGTGTATTAAACAATAGTGAATTTGAACAATTATACTCGTAGTATAAATACTTTAATCCTATATAAACTTAAGTGTTTTTTGGACTCTACAATACAGATGACAATATACTTATTGGAGCACCTACAGGATCAGGTAAAACAATAATGGCTGAGTTCGCAATGTTACGAGTGTTCAAATAATCCCCTTAATTTAAAGTTGTTTACATAGCACCATTGAAAGCCATTGCAAAAGAGAGACTAATCGACTGGACTAAGAGATTAAAGAGTATCAATAAAAATGTGCTTGAATTAACAGGAGATTACACCCCTGATTTACAAGCACTTTTAAAGGCTCATGTGTTAATAACAACTCCAGAGAAATGGGATGGCATTAGTAGAAGTTGGAATAATAGAGAATATGTGAAACAGACATGTCTATTAATTTTTGATGAAATCCATCTTCTTGGATAAGAGAGGGGTTAGGTCTTAGAAGTAATAGTAAGTAGAATGAATTCATTAAATTATGATACAAATAAGAAGACTAGAATGATTGGGTTGTCGACAGCTATGGCAAATGGATTAGATATGAGTAATTGGTTTGGAGTCAAGAAAGGAAGATTTTATAATTTTAAACTATCTTGCCGACCTGTACCTGTCACCATTCACTTTAATGGATTTCCAGAAAGAGCCTATTGTCCAAGAATGGCCACTATGAATAAACCAGCTTATCAGGATATTAAAAGATTTAGTGATGGTAAACCAACCATCATTTTTGTATCTTCTCGTAGACAAACTCGATTAACAGCTTTGGATATTATAGCATTGGCAATGCAAGAAGGAAATCAAAAACAATATATATAAACAACTGAGTAAGAATTAGCTTAAGTGTGTAATAAGGTTGATGATGCATAACTAAAACAAGTCTTGGAATATGGAATTGGAATCCATCATTCTGGACTTGATAAAAATGATAGAAACATAGTCGAAAATCTATTTATTTAAGGAAAGATTCAATTGCTTATAGCTACATCTACTTTGGCTTGGGGAGTAAACTTCCCTGCTAGATTAGTTATAGTTAAAGGTACTGAGTATTTTGATCCAAAATTAAAGAAATATGTAGATTTTCCAGTTACTGATCTATTATAAATGATAGGAAGAGCTGGTAGACCTCAATATGATACTTTTGCTACTGCTTGTGTCTATGTAGAATAAAGCAAGAAGAATTTCTATCGTAAATATCTAAACTCTCCTTTCCCAATTGAATCAAGTTTACTCTAAGGCATTTCAGATCATATTAATGCTGAAATCTCTTCTGGAATGGTTAAAAATAAATAAACATTTATAGATTGGATTACTTGGACATATTTCTTCAGAAGGTTAATCAAAAATCCCACTTTCTATGATTGTTCTAGCACAAATACTCAAGAGATATAGTAATATTTAAATAAACTAATTGCTAATACTATCAGTGAATTGGTTTCATCAAAATGTATTACTTAAGATGATGGATAATATGTATCAACATTCTTGGGCAATCTTGCTGCATTTTATTATCTTAAACACACTACTTTAAAGCATTTTGATGATAGAATTTAATAACAGAGCAATTTCGAAGATTTATTAAAAACTTTAGCTTATTCTAGTGAATTTGACGAAGTACCTGTTAGACATAATGAAGAACATTTAAATGAAGCATTATCAAAATTATGTAAGTTGAAATATGACAAACACAAAATGAACCATCCAAATGAAAAAGCCTACTTATTGCTTTAAGCTCACATTTTCAGATTAAAATGTCCTATTAAAGATTTTGAGACAGATCAAAAACTTATTTTAGACTAATGTATCAGAATCATAAGCTGTATGATTGAGGTATCTGCAAATAAAGGATATCTTTAAACTACTCTTAATATTATATATATGTTATAAACGATTGTTTAAGGTTTTGTCAAAAATGAAGAGTAAGTTCTAATGAATTTACCTCATTTGCACAAACTGAAACCAGAGTAATGCATGTAGAGAGTTAGGAATATGAAAGACTTATTGTAGTTTTATAATGTAATTATATAATTGTAAATTTTAGCTTAGGGAATTCGATATTTTCCTATAAAATAATGTTCATCATAAAGAAGGTATTGCTGAAATTATGAAAGCTATAAATGCATTACCTGATATTTAATTAGCTTACACTAAAACTGAAAACTAACTAAAAGTCAATCTCAAAAATTAGAGCAACCCTGACAACAAGGTTTATATTTAGAAGCTAAATAAACAAAGAGAAGCTTCCTGGTGGTTAATCCTTGGAGAAGATGATCGAGTTGTTTAAATTAAAAAAGTATACTTGAAGAGCACTGCCAGTAAAGATCTTGATATTGAGGATTGGACTAGAAATTACAAATTGTACTTGATGTCAGATTCTTATTTGGGATTGGATTAGATTATTGATATTAAATGATAAATTAATCTTTCATTTTCGTAGATCATTACTTCAAATATAGTTGTAAGAGATTATTCATGCCCAATAATAAACTATAATTAATATGATTAATCATCAGGTTTGCTTGGTCTTTAATATTTTAACTGTTAACTTTTGCTCAGTCAATACGTACACAACTCCTCCCCATCCAGATAAGGAATCCCTATCACAACCACTCACTAAACTTTGACCAATGACTTCCTCCAATTCTTCTGGGCTCAAGTCAGGTTTGAAGAATGCTTCGCATGCACCATAAATACTAAATATTATTCAAAATCTATATACTAGTTTCCTCCAGTTCCTCCAACCTAGAAATCATCCAAATCTGATTTGCATCCTATGGAATCGTATGTTGCTAAAATGGGTTTACCATTTTCAAGACCAGCCACTATTGGAGTGACAAAGAATGGACCGAATCTTAATTTTAATTGAGCACTCATACCTTCTCTCATATAATGCAGATGCAACTAAATTTGCAAAAGTTGTTGGTTTCATTTTTCTATTTTCTTTTAAATTGTATAAGTTGATCTCCTTCTCCATCAATGCATAACTAATTTAAATACACTAAATTTACAATGTGTGGATATCTGAATTCAGACCTGATAATGCTAATAAAATGTTATCCTGAATCTTAAACACTTTTTGGTAATTAGTTGTGATTGTAGACATTTATTGACCGAATCTTCTATCGCAAGCCATGGCTATACAGTTTTTTCCTTTCATTCCAACTATGGATCCACCATTATATTCAAAAATTCCAGACATTAGGATAATTAATTATATATATTATATAAAATTTAATTTAAAAACTTTTGCTATAAAACAATTGAAATTATAATACTTATTCGCAATCAGACATTCAAATCAATAATTTCAATATTGCTACATTCTAATCTGTATTTAGAAGTTTAAAAATTAGAAATTACAAAAATTCGACTTTTTCATTTATATTTAATTAGATTATGATACATAAGCTTTATGTTTTGATTCTGATGGAAGAACTTTATTTTTTATGATATTAAAATTTTTATAAAAAGTCTTAATTATTTTAAGAAAAAACAAAAATGTTTGCTAGACAGCTGGGTGCAAATAATGATTCTATCTATCAAGAATAGATCATTCCTATAAATATCAGAATGATGAAATAAATCAAGGTTTCGCCTTGTGAAAAAAAGGCTATGCTGAACAAAACTAACATTACCTACTTAAATGTCATAAGTAGAAAACAGCTTTGCTTTCAATAATAAAACAAGGGGATAATTACCATTAACGATGATACAGAGTGTATTAATCTTGTCATAAATCTCATATCGGAATTCGATCAAAATTTATTTAATAAAATCAATTAAGACTGTCCCAAACTATATTACTATAATTTTATTTTGAGAGCTAGAGTATACAAACGAGAAGTTATCTTTGATATTTAGACTATACAACAAGTAAACTAATCAGCAATGATTATTTACCAAATGATAAAGATCATAACTTGGGCAAGATTACATGAGGGCTAGAAATAGTAGACTTAATCGAGAATAGAGAACGAAGAAGATCAATAGATTCTCATTGAAGTCAGTAATTTGAATGAAGATGTAAAAATCAATACTATTTATTATAGATCTTGGCATACTTGGGTTAAAATTAAAGATAAGGAAAGACCTTAAATGAAATAATAGAGTATTTTAGAATTCTGAATAACATTGAACCATAGGATATCAAGTATTTATATTTAAATAAATAGAAAATCTATTGCATTTCTAATAAAAGATGGAAAAATAAAAAATGATTTTGAAGTATTCAACCTAGTTATTCATAGATGAATTACAATATATGAATTTTTAGTTTATAGTTAAAACAATTAAATTGTAAATCTCAATAATTTTGGATTCGATCTTTTATTAATTAAATTGTAAAACAATATTCACAAATGGAACATAATAGTTATTATCAAAATTGCAATAATATAGCTATATTTAATCACATTTTCCCAAAAGAACCTTCATCCTTTTTCTTTGGCTTTTTGATCTATTTGGCCTCATCGATTAGTTAATTAAAATGATTTTTTTCGCTATTTTCATCAATTGTATTGCCATCTGATTCAGATTCATAAAATGATTACTCAGGACTAGATTCACTTGATTAACCAAATTGACTATAACTTCTGTTACTTAAATCAGCTTTAGAATCCATAGACTTAGTTTTTTTTAGATTTTCTCTCTATGTTGGTTTTTTGTACTTGACCCTAACATTCTTTTTTAGATATTCTTCATTTAAAGTATCATTTCTAATTTAAGATCTATTAACTTCTCCCAAAACTTACAATATTTCCTATAAAATAGAATTAACAATTAACTTCTGGTTAAGTGGAATCGATGTCTTCCGTTATAATTTTTTGTAAATGTTCAAATAATTCTACATCTTTGCCTCTTGGATATATGGTGTATAAATTGGTTCTATCGTCTTCATACGATAGTTTAGATTTTTCCAATTTGGATAACATCTTAATACTCCAAGTGTAGAGTTTCTATTTCATGATTTCTGCTTTTTTGGCTTTTTCATCAACACTATAGAATTATTTGTAAAATTCAGAATCTACTCCCTTTTTAGAGGGTTTAGCACTCATTTCCATAACTTAGACTTCATCTTTCAATTGTTGCAACATAGTTCTAAGGTGAGATATAAAAATACTTCTAATTTTCATTCTCCTTTTTCAAACTTTCAATCTTTTTTTCACTTGCAGCAATAGTACCTAATAATTAACTTGAATAGCCTTACCTAGTAATTAACCATAAGTTGATTCTTTAGTTAAAAACTTTTGAACTATTTCTTATGCTTCTTAGATTCCAGTGGCTGTTTTTATTTCTTGGAATGCTCCTTCAACAATTTAAAATTTTTTCATTTCTTTTTCCATTTTATTCTTTAGAAGGGAATGTACAACCTTGTGAGTCAGCAACAGTTTTCTCCATTTTTTCTAAAATACATTGTGTATATAAAATTAACTTCATTTGCACCCTTGTCATTGCTTGCATGTTCAGCAATCTCTCTTTATTTCATCATTCTTTCATTTCTTTTTTCCTTAGCAGCCAATTGTACTTTTATTTGTTAATTATACTAAGCGATTTATCTTTTCCTATTGTTTTTTTCGATTTCGATATTCTAATACTCGTTTAATACAAAATACATTCATCATTTCATCACATAACTTCCTTGTCATTTAATTAAGTTAGATAGACTCCCATTATTTTGCATCAGCTTATTAGGCCTCAGCTTTAACTCTGTGAAGCATCTCTGCCATTTCGTTTAGTTTTTTCTTGAAACATAGAATGTCATGTTTTAATCTACTTATTACATGATTATAAGATTTCTCACTCATTTAACTTTCTTCAAATCTTTATTTCGACAGTATGTAATCACTTTTTGACGACTCCAATTCCTTATTTAAATCAGTTGCATTGTTGATAAGTTCTGCTTCCTCCAAACTCAACTATTAGATTAAATCCTAGATGTAAATGATAGTATTTCACTTTGAATTGTTAAATTTCTTTATCAGTTCTTAAGGATTGCGTATGATATGCATCATATTCTCTCCTTAATTCACCTAATTTCGAATGGACTTCTCGCTCTTCCATCTAAAACAGTTAAAACTAGGTTTTCTTATAGAATTTTACACTTTCGTTTTATTATGATGGCGATCCATTATAATTATTCAGAGAACCTAAAATCACACTCAAGTCCTATTTTCTGTAATGATCATCATCTCATACTTAATAGCTTTTTATATTGATCTCAAAGCAACTACTTATGAGCTGGCTAATCTTTCTGTTTTGTTCCTTGGGGATGCACTAAATATCTAAGACTCCTTTAAGTAAAATTTATGTTTACTTCCTTCGAATACATAAGAAATCAATTATAATAAAAATATTATCACATTTATTTGGAGGAAAATTGAGCAAAATTAAACAAATAAGTTCCTTAAAAGAAAATAAATATAAAATTAACAGATTTATAATTTCTCATTTTTCGGTTGATTAAAATAACAATATATATATTAGTGAATACAAACAGAAGTTTTAATTTTAATTACTAGTACGGTTCTCACTACTTAAACGTGAGTGCTAAGTAAAAATAATTATTAATCACAACTTCTTCTAAATAAAATATATAATTTAATGATATTTTTAACTGATTAATGCTTTATTAAGATTCCAGAAGGGTGATTTATCAAAATTACTAAGACCAAGCTAAATTGAATCGACCAAGATCCATATCAAATAATGCCATATCATTTAATATGCAAAACCAATAGCAGAAATATAAGACTGATATTGCTTTCAATTGTCAAACATCAATCAGTGAGGTTAGTCAAGTTAATCAGAATCAAAGAAATCACTCTCTCAATTAAGGAGGAGAAAACAATCCAAAAATTCTTAATCAATAGCAACCCTGCGATTATAACAAATCTCATGCTATTAAATACACAAATGAAATATTGAAGGAAAGATTGAAGACTGCAACTTAATGCAAAAATCATATAGTTCAAACCAAAGAGGCAAGGTCTTAGGATAAATAATAGAAAATTACAAATAGTTCCCAAACTAGATAAATAAAATAGAGTGACAATGATTTGTAAGATCTTTTGAGGTTAACTAAAACTGAAGCCGTCAATCACAACAAGACTGATCATAGTCAAGTTAATACTTCAGATATCAGATAGAGAATGAAGAATTACCCTTAAAAGTCCTCGAGTCCTTAGATTAAAACACATGCTAGACCCAGATCATCGATGGAGGACAAGAGTGTGACCATCATGCAATTTTAGTTAAAGGATATGAAAGAAAATATACAGTCAAAGGATTTGTAAAAGATCTGTTATGATATGGGTTATCATGTGGTAAAATTCGATAGGGATTACGATAAAATAAACAACAGACTCAATGGTCAAGGGTCGTTGTAAATAAGAGGAACTAGCAATGATAGTAAAATTCAGAATTTGTAAGCGAATCTAAACAAAAAGGGAATATACTTGGGGGAGTAAAATTTGAACCTAAAAGATATTATTTCGAATAAATATTTGCTAAAAAAATAGGAGCACTCTTAAATTGAGAGGCAACCGAATTTAAATTAGGATGAAAAATTGTTCAATAATTTTTTAAAATTTTAGAGAAGGCAGAGAGGATAATTTATTTGATCATTACTGTTTATATAAAATATCTTCATTATATAATTGATTTTTGACTTTGAATTATCACATTGATGGAACGGCAATGGGATGAGGGTGAAATTTGAATTAGTAAGGATATGAGGTTTGATTTATTTTCTATTACATAGTGTAGTTAAAGGATTTTGGTGTAAATATTAAATTTATCAAATATGCAATTTTTTCATTTATAGAGGACAGGAAAGTTTAAGGAATTGATAGCGAAGTAAAAATGTGAAGGTTAGCAAACGTAAAAGTTGGATCATTAAAAGTTTGATATATTGGAACAGTTAAAAGCATTTAAAAGCAATGATTCAAATAATTAGTAACAAATAACTCCTATAATTTAGATAGATCAAATAGATTAAGATTAAGCAATTGGATTTGCCAAAGTTAATGAAAAGAATATATTCGGAGAAAAAACTCAAAGTTAACAGTTAATAAGAGGGAAAACAATGTGAGAAAACTGAAGGCAGCCTGAGTAAATCTAAATTGCAATCAACGAGGCTTAAGACGAGTGATAAGATTCCTTTTGTCAAGCCTAAATTGGCTAATGTAGCTTCAACGGATAGGATTTCAACAGAAAGCAAAGAAAGAAAGGATTACCTGAATTATACTTTCGGAACTTAATTCAGACTTCGCACAACAAATATATCTCATTCAAATAGTAAAAGCATGATGAGTTAAAAAAGATCCACATCTCAAACAAGTAGAATAATGACAACCTCATAATAAAGAGTGATTAACAAAATTTTTTAATGAAAACTAATTTATTTATTTTATAATTTATAATGAATTAATAAAGTTTCGTGTAAGTAAATTAAGAACATGATTAAATAAAAAAGAGAGTCAACTCGCTTAAATTTTAATTAAAGGACATTGATTAAAAGAACTTCATACTCCAAAATAAATTGAAAGACTTGAGACAATTATCGCCCAATGGTAGAAAATCGCCAATTGCCTAATTACAAGAATAACTGGGCTTGGATAGGAAACTGATTAGGGAGTAATTCAAACCCATAATTGAGAGGGAAGGAATTTATGTAAGAAATGAAAGACTAAAAACTGAATCCTAATTACAAAACTCAAGAAACATAGAAATTTAACAGAAAAAAATAAGAGTCAAATAAATTGAAGACTAGGATTCAGAAGTATTAAGAAGGAAGGCAGAGTACTATGAAAAAAAGATTAATGAAGTTAGACAACGACAATTGCAAGAAATGGAAATGAATAAATTAATAGTTCATAAGAAAATAGTCGAAATAAATAATCTTAAGAAACAAGAATAATAATTATTAGGAGAAATCTCTCTGTATTATATAGAACTTAATTTAGGGCCAAATAGAAGGAGTAATCATTGAATGGCAGGTTTTGTAATGTTGTTCTTTCTACTGATAATAGCATTATGTTGCCAACAATCTAGAAGACAAATAGCAGAATGAGCTAACAATCTCATCACAAATAAAGACCTGTGTTGGGTAGTCATTCTGTTTAGAGATCTGATAAATTTGTAGATAGATTACAACGAAGTGATACAAAAAATAACCATAGTTCTTTTGTCGATTATGATGAAAATAGGAGATTAAGAATAGAATAAAGAAAAAGCTCTTAATCAATAGATTAATTAAATATAGGTTGTCAGACAAGTTTTATAATGACTGATAAAATCTAAGAGAGTGTACAGTACTCAGAAAACTTTGATTCTTATTGCAGTAACAATTAGGAAGACTCTTCTGAGATTATTTAAAGCAAATAATCAAAATAAAAAAGTAAAAAATGAACTTATTATTATAAAACTAATATGCACCTTTTTCTTTTTCACAATATTCTTTTGTCTTTTCTGCAAACTTGAATTCATGATGAAGTTTTACCTGTCATCAGTGATCAAATATAATAGGAAAATACTCAGAACTGTTAATTTCTATGTTTTTATTATCTTATTGATTCGGAATTTGAAAAAAAAAATTAAATTAATTAAAAGGATTCAATGGGCAAACAATATGCTAGAGAACCAGCAGTTGCTAAAAATTCAGCCAAGGCCAAAGCTAGTGATTTGAGAACACACTTTAAGAATACCTATGAAGTAGCTAGAGCACTCAAGGGATAAACTGTTGCTTAGGCACTCAAATACTTACAAGATGTCTTATAGCATAAGAGATGTGTTCCATTCACCAGATTTAATGGTGGTGTTGGCAGAACAAGTTAGGCCAAAGAATTCGGCAGATCTTAAGGTAAATTAATAAAACAATTAATATTATAGGTAGGTGGCCAGAAAAGAGTGTCAGAATCGTATTGTCACTTTTATAAAATTTGGCAGCTAATGCTTAAGTCAAGAATTTGAACAATGAGAAACTTATCATCAATCATGTCTAAGTAAACAGAGCCTAAAAGGGTAGACGTAGAACATACAGAGCTCACGGAAGAATTAATCGTAAATAAATTTAATTAATAATATATAGCATTCCTTTCATCCAATGCACACATTGAAATTTGGGCTGCTCAAAAAGATGAGAATGTGAAGAAGGAAGCAAATAATAAGGTTGTTGCTCGTTAATCAAGAAAATAAGTAGCTAAGAATAGATTGGCAATTGGTGCATGAAAATACATTAATATTAGTATAATATCTAAGTTATTATGTTTTCAATATTCTTATCTTTTATTACAATATTATTTTTGAAGTACTATATTCGTATTTGTCTTATGCTCTATAAATTATGGAAATAATGTGGATGATAACTTAAATTTATAATATTCTTTAAAAAAGAGCATGATTAATGTATAGATTTTTGATCATTAGAGAATACTGATCTTACTTGATGGTTATGGGGTTAGGAAATACAAATTAGATAATTATTCGATAATAAACAAAAGAGAAGTTTAATGTTTAAATAATTCTATAGAGCTATTACTCGTATAACTCAACTCTTTTATTCAGAATCTAGGGCAGGGAAATCATGAGCATTCAATGTGTTTGGCTTGATGTTTTATTTTGGAGTCTTTTATAATACTGCTTTAGGAATCAATTGATAATGTTATTGTTACTATGTTTGTTATTGTTGTTAATGATGAACATCACTTTTTTACACGTACTACTAAATGAATAATTTAATACTAATACATTATTTCCTCTATCTCTTTATCCTCCTCTTCTATCATGAGTTCTTCCTCCTCTTTCGTTTCTATCTTATCTATCTCCTCTGTCTGGCTTATCATTTCTATCTGACTTATCCTTATTCTGATACTTCTCTTCATGTCTATCATCATCTTTGTCATTTCTATAGTATCCGTAATTTCCTCTTCCTCTATTGCCTCTAGCTCGAGATTTTTAGTAATGATGATCTTTTTCCTGCTCTTCATGCTAATCATTTCGTTTATATTCTTGTGGATCAAAGTCTTGTTGTTCTATTTTTTTGGTCATCATTTGACATTTTTTTGAATTAATTTATTTATGAAACTCATCCAAATAATCAACATTTTACATAATTACAGAGTCAATTTGAAGTTCTACCTTCTTAGACATTAGAAAATCAAATATTTCTACTGCGTAACCTTCAGTTTGAGATGTCAAGATTAATTTAACAAAACTCTTGTCAGCTTAATATATTTCTTCTTCATAAACTAATTCCTCTTTTACGAATCCAGACTTTTACAATGTGTCTTTAATTATTGACACTTAAATGGCTGGTATTTTAATTTATATCCTCTTTCTCTCTGTTGGGAAATAAGGACGTATGATTAACATTTGATGATCGAAATTCCACAGTTATTTGTTGTATTTGTTCAGAATCTAAAATTTTGAATATATTCTGTACATCAGTTAAGATCAAATGATATTTTTTACGAGTGTTTAATTCGTTTTAGACATATTAGCTTTTTATCGAATTTTCTCTCTACACCACAACATATTGTAGCAAATACCACTCTGGCTTCATTATATCAGTCTCGAATTTTCTGACCAAGTACTCATTATTTAGTAAGTTATCGTATTTGAACAATTCGATCATCTAATATATTATACATTAATTAAATTTACAGCTTTCTCTAATCTTTAATATTAGTCTTCTGGCTAAGATGATATAACATATTTAATACCTTATCAGATAAAATTTCAGTAGCAATCATTAGTATACAACTATTGATGCAAATTATTTATCTATTTAATTTTCATCACAAAATAAGAAACTCAAATCAAATTAACATATAATAATTTACAGAAAATAACGAAATGACTTCTGCAATACTTATCAACCTCAAGGCTTCCGAAAGGCACCAAAATTAAAAAAGAAATTGTAATGAATGTAAAGAAGGACGCTCAAAAATTTCATCCATTCTAATTTTAATTGATATAATTAATAAATTTAGATAAAATTAAAATTTTCTCTCTATCAGAAGTTATAATGACAAATTTAACATTTAAAGGTATCACTATATTGTCTTTAATATGGATCTTATAAAACCCAACATTAAACTTAAGTCTAATGACCACAAGATAAGGTGTACAGCATAACTTGATTACAGGGAGTACATTATTGTGAGCAATAATTATAGCAAGGATAATTATGCTTGCAAGACCTTTATCTGCGACATGGCCATGTGCATGTAAAATCTGTGGAAGAACAATTCATCTCTTTTGAATGTCCGCAGGCTAACGTTCTAGAAATTTTTTATAAACAAGGAGAACACTCTTAGCCACACTTATTATGACAAGGATATGAATGCCCACAAATTCTTATTTTAGTACACTGTTTTTTGCATATGTAATTGTTAAAGCATTATGTTCTTACAGTTGGATGCCCACAATTTAATTATTTTAATACTATTTCTTTACATGGAGTACATTATTGAAAACACATCTATTTGCATTGTTGTTGATGTCCACATTTATACTGTCTTATGCACTATTTTTTACATACGAAATTTTTTAAGAAACCATCCTTATTTTTGCATAAAATTTAGTATGAATGACCACATTTTAAAGTTACAGGAAATTAATATTCACATGGAGTGCAAACTTCAGGGCATAAGTTTTTGCATTCAAAAATGTGCCCGCATTCTCTTGGTTTTTAACAAGGGACATTACACTAAAACTCTGCTTGATTGTTAAATATTTAAAAAGCATCTCTACTACCTATAGCCAATCTTTAAAATAAATCTTTTAAGTATTTTTATCCAATTTATGATCTAAAAAAGAAAGGATTGATATTTTGATTTAAAATTAAGAGATCTTAGATGTAATAACACGATTTTTTAATGATGTGCCCACAATCATATTTTATAGAAATATCTTAATTACAACTCGAACATGGTTAACGACACAAATTTTAACATTTATGTCCACAATATTTAACTTTTTCGCATTAATCTTCACAAGGCTAACACTCTTGCCAGCATTTCTTCTTGCAAATATGGCCACATTGAAGCTTTCTTTCACATTCATATTAGCATTTGGGGTCAACGCTTTCCCTTTCAAAGCATTTAAAATTAAGTATATGTAAACAATTTTATTAGGTTAATTGAAGATCCATTTAACATTTTATATTCAAAGGATCTTAACCACAAATTACAAGAACTTCATGGTTGCAATTAGGTAATTTTATAGGAATCTATTAAGTGCATTTACATGGTTAAATGCATTATTGTTCACAGTTATGCCCACATTCTAATAATTTTTCACACTTTTCGGGACATTTTTCTAGATAATGATTTCCTAAATGGCACTATTTTGTGCATCTGTGATTGCAACCTTCAAAATTATAGTCACAAATCTTATCACAACAACCTGCTTAAAATTTGAACCAATCACTTGGTTATTAAACTTTTCTTAAAGTACCATGATTCAAACATTTTAAAGTTATAAAATTATTTAAACATTTTTTAGCATATGCCATATCAATAATTTTTTACCACAAGGAATCGCTGCTTGAGGCTTTTTTAATGAAATCAAAGCTACCGAATACATACAGACCTATTTTTGCTCTTGATAAAGCTACATTAATTCTATTGCTACTCTCTATAAACCCAAGTTTATTTTAAAAATTATTTCTGACTAATGAAATTATTACAATATCATTTTCTTCACCTTAATAATTGTCAACTGTCTAAACCTTTACTTTACTTAGGTGACTTTTTATTAAAAGCTTCTATATAATCTAAGCTTGCCTTAGATAAAATGATAGAACAGTAATTTATTATTACCTGTATGCAGCCTCTATAAGGTATTAAACCATTTTAGTTATCATTTCAGCCTCTTTAATATTTTCTTTTGATTTCTTATCTTCACCCTCTAACCAAGGATGTTTAAAAAATACTAAGTCCTCATTTAAACCTATAATCTCTTCATTATTTCTATTTAATTAAACGTAATTATCATCTAAATATTGATTTCCATAGATAAGCCTTATAAAATCAGCAAACTTAGTTTTCATTCTCCGTTGAGAAGTTAATTTCACTTTTGGAATCTAATTTTAATAAAATCTTTCGAATAATGAAACGTCTATGTTTGATTATTTTTTTAAATCATAACATTTCAATTAAGGTCTCAATTACAAATGATCTCCTATTAAAATTAGATGCTATAAATTTTTCATCAAGATGCAAGCAGTGTGAGATTCCAACACTTCTGCAGCTTCTTCCATTACCAGCACTTTTATATTTAATTCCTATAATTTTAATATATGTCTTGCTGCAGAAGCTACAGTAACCCCAATAATCTTGTATTTGCTTAATTTTTTTATTTCTTCTTTATCATAAAGATTTTTTAAAGTTTATGACATCTCCTTAAATTGCTAATACGTTTTTTCAAACAATAAACAATCCTCCTTAGATTTCAGATACTCCAAATATTTAATTATTTACTTTATATCATAATAGTTGAGTTCCCAAGGATTAAGAACATCATCTTTTAAATCTTCTTAAATCTTTTCAATTCCTTAAAAATCATATAAGGAGTTAAAATTATTTTAGTTAACTAAAAACTCATTATGTTTTTATTCATATTGATAATCCAATTCATATTAATCATATTCATCTGCGGAGTCTAAAAATTCATCTAAATCTTCTGATTCATTCTCGTAATAGTATTCTACTGGATTCCTTCCTAGAATATTATTTTTTTATTCTAATTTACAGATCTTAGATTTCTTAAAATAATCGCTCATTCCAAATAGATTATAGGGTTATCTAAGCATTGAAGCTTTTGGACATTTTCCATCAAGCCAGCTATTTAAGATTAACTCTTCTGCTTACAAATCAATTTATGATCTATTTAAACGATTATCGATCTAAAACTCACTAATTAATTTTTCACTTAATTCAGGCCAGTATCTATTAATATCTTTATCACTTATAAAGTAATCATATGAGCTTAATCTTTCAAAGATTCTTATTAATTATTTTTTAAGATCTTTGAAATCATTCCAACTAAATTGAATATCTGATTTACATTAAAAATGGCAGTCTTTAATGGCAGCAGATTTTGGAACACCTCCAAGTTTAGCTATATCTCTGAACGGAACCAGTTTAACTAGACCTTCTAAAAATTTTTCTAGAGCATGATTTGTTTAAGTAACTATCAGAATGGGACTATTAATTGTGAAATAATTTTCATATAGGATTTTGGTAGCTAATAAACCGCAGTAAGTTTTCCCAGTTCCTGGAGGTCCTTAAATTAAAGATACTTCTTTAGTAAGAATTAACTTTATTGCATTTAATTATGATTCATCTAAAGTTGATTTCATTTAAGGCCATATTGCCTATGATAAATCAACTTTTATCCCAGAATATACATAATTTCCAGTTAAATCTATATCAAAGCATCTATTATTTTGAAGATATTTTGGATTTGAAACTTATCTCCAATTTTTGAGAATAAAATTTTCAAAAGGCAATTTTTCGATTTGTTTTAATGCTTCCAAAAAATAAATCTAAGTTTCGATTTAAATCTGATATTCAAATAAAATTGTTTTTTGATTTAATAAAGTTAAAAATTCCAAAATTTGAGATCTTGGATTTAAAAATCTAAATTCTAAATTAATTCTATTAAAATTGTAATAGTCTTCTTAATTTGTACTTCTTTAAGTGATGACACCAAAAAGTAAAAGATGACACTCAACATTAGTAATACAAATTAGAGATCCTCGACTTAATTTTTTTGATCTTTCCCAATCAATAGTTTTTAATCTTCTACCATCTAATTGATATTATTATAGAGATATTTTCCATAACAAATAATAATTGTTTATTTCAAATGATTTTAAACGAATATTTTAATATAAATTTATGTTAACAGTGTTTTCATCGAATCCTTTTTCAGATAAGTAACTTATTTATTTTCTCATCTCATAAATATAGTCTTCTCTTAAAATATTGAAGTGATAATTGAGGTAGTTATTTAGAGAGCTTTCCCTATTGCTTAACTCATAAAATTTTCCAAATATTTAGTTATTTTTTCCTGAAAATTAAATAAATTCTAGAGGTTGTGGATAGACTGGAGTATTTTTATATGAAAATTTTTTAGCACTATCTTAAAATAATTAAAGAAAACCATCGAATTTATTAAAGAGCTGTTTGAGATTAATACGAGGGTAGTGAATCTCAATAATCTTTTGCATTGTGAATATTTAAGAAACATTTGATTAAATTAAGACCTCGATATCAACATCTTTTAAAAAGAAAACAAATATTTGATATATCTGTTCTAGTTTATCGTATAAATAATTAATTTAGTCGATTTAAGTGATAATTTGAAGGCATCTTCCTGATATTTCATTTTAAAAACTCTATGATTTTACAATATATGTTTAGTATAACTTGTTATCATTATATCTTAGCTTGTATTTATTTATTTGGTTAATCAAATAATAATAAGAATCAAATAATTGATGAATTGGGCGTAGATATTCCAATTTATCTTCTAATTTTTGTTCATCATTTAATCTAATCTAAATTTGGTCTAAATCATATTGAAATCTAAAACAATTTCTAATCCAGTAGCAAAGCTAAAAATAATTGAAATCAAGCTACTTAATCATCATAATCGGACTATTCAGATTATATTTAAGAATAAGAATCAGATTCAGACATTTTTATTAAAATAGCAATATAAATTATTAAATCGAAATTTAATTTCTGGAAGTTACTATAGATTCTTGTATGAAGTATTCAGTAAATTAAAATAAATTGTAACATCGATATTTTATAATAAGAGGAATTCAGAACAATTTCTAATTTAATATACTCACAAAATAATTAAATAAAATATAATTATGATTATTAGGAAGGTGTTATAAAAGGGCTTTAGCACTCTTTATAATCTGAAATAATTTAGACATTAAGAAATCCCACAAAATGTAAGTGTAGATAGAGAATTTGGAGACACAATTCTACCAAATGGAATTCGAGTCTGCACAGAATTTTGGCCATCTGAATTAGCACAGTAATTATAATCATTAAGATTAAAGTATTACAATATACATCAAATGCGGAAGCAGAAATGAAACAGAGGCAACAAGTGGCACAGCACATTTTTTAGAGCATTTGCACTTCAAGGTATTTTTGTGGATCCATAATTTATATAGGGAACGGGTAGAAGAAGTAGAGATCGATTGGAATGTGATGTTGAGAATTTTGGTGGTCAATTGAATGCTTATACTTCAAGAGAAAATACATCTTATACGATAAACGCATAAAAAAATAAGGCTGAGAATGCTGTTGAAATTTTGGGAGACATGCTCACAAATTCAATTTATGCAAAGTCTGATGTAGAAAGGGAGAGACATACAATTTATAGAGAATTATTTGAAACCAGGAAAATGTAATTTGAAACTTTGATTGAAATATCCCATCGTTCAGTAATGAAATATTATATAAAAGGCATACAAAAATCATTAAATGTCATTGCCAATCTTAGGAAAAATATAGAATATGTATTCAATTACAAGGGATATGATTGCTGAATATCACTAAAACAATTATTATGGAGAAAATCTTATTGTTTGTGGAGTTGGTAATATATAATAAGAACAGTTATGTGAGTATGTGACTAAGCATTTTAGTAAGATCCATAAGAAAAAGTAATAGCTCAAAAAGGAAATACCAGTCAACTTCTAGAGCGAAGTGTTTCTAATGTAGAGTGAATTGACAGAAGACATTAATGTAGGTTTGTTTTATTAAGGACCAGAATGGACTGATCCTCATTATTATCACTTTTTAATTTTGTAAAGACTTTTAGGGGATAAGCCATCAAACTTTTTAGAGGCAGCAATATTTGAGTAATCAACATTAAACTCATTTTAAAAGCTCTTATTAGATTATCCAGAAATTACAACTCAAAAGGCAGTCTATACTCCATATAAAGATACAGCTTTATTTGGAAACTACTTTGTAGTGAATCCCAATTAATTGGACTCTTGTATTGAGATTTCAAAGAAAATATTTGAAGAATATGGAAATAAAGTATCAGCTGAGGAATTGCAAAGATCAAAGCGAAGACTGTTCATTGAGTTATGCTAACATGAAACTGGAAATGATATCTCATAAGCTATCGCAAATTAAATACTGTATTTTGATAGAAGAGTTTACAGATAAGAAATTGCATAAAATTTAGCAAATGTGACAGAAGTAGATATTCAAAATTGTGTTAAGAATTGGATTTTAGGTAAGTAACCATCATTAACTATATGGGGTAACATTGATCCAGTTTTGAAAAAGTATAAATTCGATGCAAGTTAAGTTGGAACACACTGATATCTGTAAAAATAATTTTAAATATACATATTTTGATATTTTTTTATATAATACTATTATTAAATCATCTTTTTCTTGAACTTCTTTCCCTTTCAACTGTTAATGTAACAGGTTTTAATTAAACAGCCCTAGCAATCACTTTCTAATCACTTTGTTCTATGATTGTAGGTTTAATTTCAGCTGGTTTTATCTATTTTACTTGAACCTAAGGAACAGTAATTTATCTTAAGAGGTAATAATTAAACATTACATAGCACAAATTGTTGGTTACAGCACTGTAGGTTTGATTTTGGGTTATTCGATTTCTTTCACAACAAGAGGAAGTACCTTAGGTGGACTTAAAGGCATTCCTATCTTCTACTCTAATTATGATCTTGGATTGTATGATTCTTCTTCTAAAAATGCCTTGATCTTCTCTTTAGCAGATTTCTTTTTAGCCTTGATTGTAATGTGAAGGTCATTATATTTTTTGTTTTAGAAATAACTTATTATTATATGAATTCCATTGATACCTGATTATTTTTCTCTTGATATTTTCAGCCATCTCATAATCAGAGGTCTTAAATATCCCGTACTTCAATCCCTAATCTACTCATTTTATATTAATCATTACATGTAAACAGCTCTTCAATTCTGATGTTTTATAATGCCTCCAACTTTTCACTATTAAAATTCTCTGGCAAGAACCTCATAACCACAGTGATCTCATTTTTATCGGCTTATTTATCTATTTATTTGAGTTGAGCAAACTAATTAATAATGGGATAAATTAATACCTCTATATTGTCTCCTAATGCTTTCCTGTATTTGTGAGATGAAGTCACTAGATTGTAATACACATACTAAGCTCCTTTGTCATCCTTCATTCGTATTATGATTGATAGCTTGCCTGCATAGCTGCCAAGCTAAACTCGTTTAAACTATATGAAGTGCTTATCCTTAAACCGCAATTCATAAAATTGTATACTATTCATCAAAAAAGTCATTTAAGTCTAGATTGTCTACGGCTTCCTCATCGACATCCAAAATTATTATAGTTTTTTATGATTCCCACTCTTGATCTACTCTATTGCTATTTATTGTTTTCAATCTTACTTTTTCTAAAATGGTTTTGGCTCCAGCTTAATGATTTAATTGCATTCTGAATCAATTACCATGGAGAGAACATCCTCAACTCTTAATCGTTTTTAACGAATCTATTCGCACATGACACTGGATTCCCCTGAACTCTCGTCATAAGATGAATCAGGTCTTGAATAACGCTGTTTCTCAATGTTGTTTAGACTTTTTAATTGTGATCCCACACTCACTAATTTATTTCTACACATTTAAATGATATCGATACGCATTTTCAGATTGAATGGTGAATTCTGTCTGAAGTCCTTAGTTTAGAAATTGATTCCTTCGAAAATCGACCAATTATTTTGTAAGTTGATACATTATTATTATTATTTATATCAAAACTATTTTTAATAAACACCCTTTTACTAATTCAAATATTTCAAATATCTCAACTTATACAACCTATAACTTCCATAGATGCAGTACACTACAAAATAATCTTAAGTTACCTAATGCCAAAACTCCCACAAAAAATAATCCAGCTCCAATCCATAACCAGTGTTCATTCCTAGTAGTTAGAATTGGCTATTAGACGTGGATCTCTATCACCTTCGATACCTCATCATTCTCTAACTCATAGAACCAATATCATTACATGTTATTTCTAATTCGTATACTCCTGATTTATGATAAACTTAAGGATAGCATATTAACTCAGGGTTGAAAGTCGAGTAGGAAACCTAATACAAATATTGACGAGTCAAAGCATAAATTTTGTTCTTTCCAATACTCATATCAAGTATTTACCTCGGATTTGCCATTAAATTATATCTACAATCAATATCCTTAAAATTACAGCTCTACTGCATCATCTTCCTACTCAAATACGCCAAAGTTACTTATGGCAATCACAATATCTTCCTTATTGAGAGTATACAATTTTTGTGTGTTTGTAATATCATACACAGTTTCTGAACCATCATATTTTATTAATTGATTTAGAGTTGCTATGTAAATATCTTCATTCTCTGTCATCAGAATTGATGTTAGATTTTAGTATAATCTTTTAAGTATGACCTTCCTGTTATAAACAAATTAATCCAGGATAAATTTATAAATATAAATAACACTTGTATAATTTTGTGTTGCTACGAACACTAGAGTATTGTTATTTACTATTCTGAATACTTCAATTGAATTGATGTTTATCGAGTCTATTATTTCATTAAAGTTAAAAAACAACTCATTTCCTTTTAAGGTAATGTATCTCTCCTAGACTATTTATATATCCTTTATTTCGTCAAGTTCAAATTCAGTTACATTCTCTAAGAATTAATCTTTCATTACTTAAATTCTGTATTACATATAAATGCTGACCATCGAAGCAATATACAGCAACACTTTAAGAGTTAGACAGCATTCTACAATCTTTGAATTCAAATTTAGGCAAAGTTAACAAAATATTCTACTCTTCATTTAGTAATTATCCTTTGGAGTTCAGTATCATAAGAGATTGATCTTTTGCTTTTGTGAAGGCTATAGCATCAACTTAAAATTCTGTTTTGCTTTAAATGTTTTCCACAATTTATTCTTATTGCACATAACAAAATTGTGTGGCGTCTCCTTTTAATGTAAGTTTGGTTCCTACCAATGTATGAATTCATTACCTAGTGAATATTCTTCAGAATAATATTCAAGAGTTTCTAATTCGATAGATTTAGTATAACCAATCAAAAAAAATGGAATTGCAATTAAAAATTACATAAAATTAATTCATGTTGTCGAGAATTGGGAAATAATATCATTTTCGTCAAATAACAAGATTGAAACAAACAAAAAGAAGCCATATTGAGTACTTTAACAAGCCAATCATAGAGGTAAAAATTATGAATTTACTTAGGGTCAATATGGCGTAGTTCCAGCCAGGGCAGTACCTTCACATATTCAAAAACCAAGCTATCTAAGTATGAGAACAATTGAGTTTAATAGGTGAGACCAAGCCTGTTTACGGGATATATGAAGGAGCTCCTGTGGTTCATAATTAAGATATGATCCAAAGTAAAAAACACGATTTAAAAATAGAATTGAAAAAGGCAGCATAAATTGCAGCATAAACTGCCCATGTGGCATAAAAATCGGTGAAATAGGGAATGACAACAGATGATTTGGATAAGATAGTTCATGAATTTATAATTTCCTAAAATGCATATCCTTCGCCAATAGGATTCAAGGGTTTTCCTAAGAGTGTTTGCACATCAGTAAATGAAGTGTGTTGTCATGGAATACCGAATCTTAGACCTTTGGATTTTGGGGATTCCTTAAATATTGATGTGACTATATTTTATGATGGAGTGCATGGAGATACTAGTGTTATGGCATAGGTTCCTGAAATGAATCCAAAAATTACTAAATTAATTAATACAACTTAAAAAGTAATAAATTATTTGCACAAATAGAATAGGCTCTTTATGAAGCGATTAAAATTTGTAAGCCAGGAGAGAAGTTCAGTAAAATTGGAGATATCGTTGAAGAAGTAGCTGCAGATGAAGGTTTCACAGTTTGTGAATTATTTACAGGACATGGCATAGGTGAATTGATGCATATGCCTCCAATGATAATCCATAATTGTAATTTAATATTGAATACATATATGTAGTCAATGATTATCCAGGAGTGATGGTTCCAGGGAATGTATTTACGATTGAACCTGTTCTCTTGATGCGTCATGATTAATATTCAATGTGGAAGGATAATTTTACTGTTGTGTCTCCAGATAATCCTAGTGGTATTGCAAACTTTGTATAGCGTAGCTCAATGGGAACACATGGTTTTAATAACGGAAAAGGGGTATGAGGTTTTGACAAAGAGAGAGGATGAGACTGGTATATGACTTATATTTTAATAATTATTTTAATGAAAGTGTCCCTACAAGATTTCGGTTTTCATTAGCCCAATGCTCCTGAAGTTAATACGCCTAGATCTTTGGAGGCTTGTAGAAGAGAAGGCATTAGTCCTAGCGAGATTGTTAAAGTTTCATTCGAGGAGTATCAAAAAAAGTACAGACTATCAAATTTGGATGCTAAAGGAATTGAGACCTATTATAAGCATTTCGAAGAGAAGAGGGAAGAAAAATACAGAGATCTTATTAAATAAAGACATATAGTTTTGGAGGATGAAAAGACAGGTAAAATAGTGTAACAATTATAATTAGGATTGTGGAGTCAGGATGGATTAGGCAAGAGCAAAATGATTTCTAAATATTCCTAATAGGATGCTTCATCTTTGATTGAGAAAGAGAAGTAATAAATTGAGAAAATTAAGAAGAAATAGCAAAAAGAGATTGAAAATATGCTGGAGTTTGAATTGAAATTATAAGAGATTAAGGAATAAAATGAAAAGAAGATGCAGGATGAGAGGACGAAGTAGAAATAGAGAGAATTAGAACTGGAGAAGAAAAGAGCCTAATAGGAAGAAATCAAGAAATAAAAGGAGTTGCAGAAATAATAAAAAAAAGAACAAGAAGAATAAGCATTGAAGGAAAGAATGAAATTACTTGAATCTAAGGAACAAGAACGCATAAAATAAGAGGAATTAAAACAAAGATTAAGAGAAGAAGAAAACAAAAGAAAAGAGGATGAAAAGAAGGCTTAGTAAGAAAAACTAAGAAAATTAAATGAGGAAAACATTAGATTATAATTGGAAGCATTAGAAAAAAGAAAATAAGAAATGGATGAAAAGGCTGAGTAAAGGAAAAAAATGATGGAAGAACAAAAAGAAAAGAAAAAGTAAGAGGCTGAAAAGGCAAGAATTGAAAATGAAGAAAGAATTAGATAAGCCAAAGAGAGAAATGAATAGGAAGTTTTAAGAGTGAAGGAAGATGTTGAAAAAAAATTATAAATAAGTGAACAAAAAAGATTATAGTTTGAGGAAGAAAAGAGAAAAAAATTAGAACAGTAAAAAATTGAAGCTGAGTAACATGCTGAAATGATAAGAAAAGTAATTGAATAAAATGAATAAATGGAATTAGAGAAAAAAAAGGAGTACTTAAAAAAAATCGATGAGGCTGAAGAAAGAAGAAAATAATTAGAAAAAGAATAAGAAAGAGAGAAGGAAAAGAAGAGGTAAGAAGAACATGAAAAAGAATAATAAAGACATCAAGTATTATTATAAAATGAGTAAAGATAAAAAGAGAGAATTGATGAATTCTTGAAAAAGTTTTAAGATAAAGATGATAATTTATAAAAAATTTAATTTGAAAGATCTATTTAAATTACGGATAAAAGAAATCAAGATACATTAAAGAGAATTGACAAAAGAGATAATGTTGAAAGAATTATGAAAAAATAAGAGTACGATAGAATGAAATTATAAGAAAAATTAAATGAGAAAATGGAAAGAGCTGATAAAATATAAGAAGATTTAGAATAATTGCTATTATAAAGATAAAATATGAGAAGGGAAATTGATAAACAAAAAAGAGATCTTTTATTGAAGCTAGAGAAAATTAGAGAAGGAAAAATTCCTCCTTCTGAAATTCAAAAGCAATTTGGTATTACGACCACTGATCTTAAGTCATAACCTTAAGATGAATAATAAAATTTTGCCAGAAAATCCCAATCTTAATCAATTAATAAAAGTAATAAAAAACTAATGACTTAAACTAAGCCTTTTAGTACTGTAAGATCATCCAAAGGCTAAGATAAACTTCCTGAAATTAATTCATCCTCCCCATAATTATAAGAATTATAGAATAATCAATTAAAAACTATAGAATAAGCATAATTACAATAATAACCAGATTAACAATAATGTAAATAATTTATTATAATGATTAAGAACACAAAAAATCTCCAAAAAGAACTAAAAAATAAGAAATAGTCCAATCAAAACCAGCTGAGCCACCAAGTCCAGAAGTGTTATTTGAGTTAAACTAAATAATTTAAAGATAAAACCAGGAGATTATGAGAGTCTTTATGGAGGAGTAAGCAAATGAAAATAGAAGAGATGATAAATTGAGAAATTGTAAATCTGAAAATAGGGCTAAATTAGAAAAGCTTTAAAGCTTAGAGAGATAAAAAGCCCAATAAAGAATTCAAAGGCTCTAAGAATAACACTAATATGAATAACAATAATTTAAATTAGCTCACAATCTAGTAGATTGATTTTATTTAATATTTTAGTGGGGAAAATTAATATATTACTTTTTAATTATTATTAAAACATAATTTCTTCACTTCACAACTAGACCTATACTTATTTCAAAGAAAATTATTTGAGTAAATGAAAAATTATAATTAGCTTGGAAATGGAATCTTTATATTAAGAAAATTTATTTTTTATGATTTTCAAAAGAAGAACTTAAATATAATACTTTATAAATGGTTTTAAATTCTATTTTTGCTAAATACTAAGAAGATCTGAGTCAGATTAAGTTTATATCAATTAAATAAAATTAAGAATTGGAATAACTAACGCATTCTGATTTTCAATTTTAAAGTTTTCTTTTAAAATATATTATCTTAAGTTTGAATAAGATATTCTTAAATTGGGATTGGTATTATAGGTAATAAAAGCAAATTTTACATTTTATTAATTTAACTTACAATTTGTTCTTTATCTTTTTTATAAAAAATTAAATTAGAAATAAATCAGATTGGTTTATGATATTAATTTAATTAAATGGGGTGTGCATGTTAATGTTTATCAATTGCATCCAAACAAAAGTAAAATAATTGTGGTGAAGAAAGTGAATGCAACTCAATTAAAAAGCCAATTTTTGAGCATCCAAGACCGATGTTAGATTCTGTGAGTTCAATTTCCTCGTATTCAGATGAATATTCTTCTCGCCCTTTGCAAACGGTTGGTTAAATATAAACGTAGGATTGGATTTACCTTAATAAGAGTGATAATATGTTTATGGACAGAAGAGTTAATAGGAGATTAAATGAAAACAGCTTGAGTCCGCTCCAAAAGGAATATCAAAATACTTTTTCTGATTTGTCTGTGGAATTGATTACTGAGGATCAAGTAAAATTGCTAATCCCAACCAAAATCAAAAGGTGTTCGAATAGAAGAAGGATTACCTCTAAGGTAGATTTATTAAACAAGGTAAAATAAATGAAGTACCAAGAAAAATTTAAAAGAAGAAAGACTTGAAGATCATATTTTGCATTTTTTAATAATTCAATCTCTCTTAATAAAATGATGTGTTATTTATTGCTACACCTTTTTTTGTCTGAGCAAACCGAAGTATAACTCTGGATACATAATTAAACCGAATCCAAAGAAACTAATGAAGCCGGTTTGAAGGGGTCTTGATTTAATTCCTTTGACGGCTACTCCAATAGCCAAATTAGCAACCGAGAGTCCAACCAAAAGATTAAATCTTGACTCAGGCTTTAAGTTGGTCACAATGTCTGTCTTAAGTCCTTAGCTGGATCAATAAAATTACTTGTTAATTCCTCTCCAAACTCATTTAATGGTTGATTAATTAAATCAAAATAACCCATAAATAATTATAATAATGAAATATTAATTTTACAAAATTAGTCTTTGATTTATTCTTTGAGTTAAATTCTGATATACAATGCAGGAAAAGTGATCCAAAATAAATTGCATCCTCCTTTTGTTATTCTCCCAGAATATTAATCATGAATTTTTCATAAAACCAATCAGAATTACATCGAAAAAGTTAATTATTAATTTATTAACGGAAAATATGAATAAAACAAGATCAAGTTTTGCTACTTTACGATCAAAAACCCAAATTAATTTGGCCAGCCAAGGAACCCTTCCTTGTCCATCACATCCTTCATTTAACATCTCCCACGTTTGTTTATGTACGACTTGTACATAATCAATTTCATTTTGTTCTGAATGTCTCTTTGAAACTTAGCATCAACAACATTTAGCTAAACATAAAGAACATATCATTGGATGGAATGACTTAATGGTACTTTGTAGAAGGCAAAGTGTGTCAGGCAGATTGGGAGACGAACCTTAAAAAGAATTGAATCAAATAGTGCTATCTACCTAGGCTCATCAAGCAAGCTTTAAAACATATATCAAAAATTAGGAATAATTGATTAACAATGATTTTGATGGATTAATAACTAAATTTACAGAAATGATTAATAAAGTCAAAGCTGAATTTATGGCTCCATATAAAAATTATTTGCAAGATCTTATGGATATGGGAACTATTTTGGAAAAATTAGTATCTGACTATTACTTGGAGAAAAATAAGGATTACAATAACGATTATGATAATTTCTTAAGCGAAGTTAGCAAGTTATAAGACCAGCAAGCTTCTAATAAGAAAAGCGATTAAAATCAATTTAATCTAAGAAAATTAATGTAGAATATAATACCTCTGGTCAGCAAGGCTAATGGCTAGTTTTAGAGAGCGCTATAGTAATAAAATTTGAATGTTGAGGAGGGAGAATCTCAAAAGTCAGGATATTCACTTTTCAGTAATATGGCATTGAAACAAAGTGATAATTAAGTATTAAATGAGTTGGTGAATGATTATAAAGTATTGTTAAACAGTAGACCTTGTTATAAAAATTAAGGATTAGCCTAATAAACATATAATGGAATGCAGGAGTTAATAGATAAGTGCTATCACTCTTTAACTTAAGTAGATTTCATGTCTCCAGGCTACAAAAGTTAAATGATTAAAATGAACAAGGAAAATATAAGTTTAAAGCAATAACTGGCCTCTCCAAAAGGTACTAAATACTTGGAAACTATCATTAAGGAATAGAGCACTAAAACATTAAAGTAGTTAACTAAATTAGAAGAAGATGAGGATGAAGTAAGAGAAATGCAATTAAAACATAGATTGAGATAAACAACTCAGTTAATTATATCAGATCCACTAGCATCCATCTCGTTTGTGAAGACAATCAAAACAACGCATAAGTAGGGTATTAATTGTATGGTACAATTTGATGATGATTTTATTGCTACAGGTTCAAATGATAGAACGGTCAAAATATACAGATATAGAGTTTATGAATTGTTTAAGGAAATATAATTTAAGAGTGATGTGACATCATTGGCCGTTTAAGTAAGAAAGGATGGCTCTTCTTTTTTGATTGTTGGTTTATTTAAAGATATTTGTATTTTGAATCAAGGATTTGAAGTACTTAAGTCAATTGATAGAATTCATAATGGTTAAATAAATTCTATAGTTTGTTTAGAAGATGCCACTACAATATTTAGTTGTGCACAAGGTGATAATAGATTGCTTTAATGGAATACTTCGAATGATCAATAAAAAAAGTATTTTGAGCATAGAGATTCTATTACATGTATGACATTACTTGGAGATCAATATATTGCATCTGGTGGAAAGGACAGAAACATTAAAGTATACAGATAGACCTACACAAATAATGTGTTTGAAAAATTATAATTGTCAATGAGTTTGTCGGATGCTCATCCAACTGAAGTCACTAGTTTAGCTTATGGTGGAGGAAGCATTCTCTATAGTAGTAGTGCTTCAGGGGAATTAAAGGTTTGGGACTTTATGGATGGAACCATGATTAAACAAGTTAAAAACTATGCTGGGTGGTGTTTCAGAATAATCAACTTCTAATTAGAAGAGGAACAGAATCCATAATAGAAGACTTAACTGCAGACTTCGATTCCCTTATGTGGATCACCACGAAGAAAGAAGTAACCATAGAATGAATATGAATGCATAAAAAACAGCTTCGTTGGTACTGTAAGTTTTGATGGCACCTTCAAAATATTCAATGGCAAGACTTTATTGAACGACAAGTATTTAATTTAATTAACAATTAGTCCATAACCTATGATCACAACTCAACTGAAATCTTTACACGATTGTCATCCATTTGGAGGAGTATTGGCTATTAGAGATAGTATCACTGATAAGATTGATATATTGAGTAGTGGAAATAAGAACGATTGCAATATTTAGTTGTATAGTTTAGCATAATCCTGAGTCATTTTAATATTATATACTAAGTTTATACAATTTTAATTAAATTTATGAGAAAGATATTTTCCTCAGCAATTGCTTTAACTCTTAGACGCACTCCATTAGTAGTTCCATAACGTACATAACGTTTAGCAGTCACTTTAATCTCTCTTCCATTAATAAGATATGGTTTTTAAGTAAAAGATCCAAATACATTAGACTCTTAATCTTAATGATGCCTATGAAGTTTCAATTGAAGATAATCTCAATGAAGGTGAAATGAGAGAAGTCTAAGTTGGTCCAAAAAAGGAAGATGCTGTTTTAGTATGCAAAGTGGATGGACAGATCTATTGTGTTTCTAATTCATGTCCACACGTAGGAGCTCCACTTTCTGCTGGATTCTTAGTTGGTGATAAGGTCAAATGTCCATTTCATAATGCCAGTTTTTCAGTTAAAGATGGTGTCCATGACGAAGGACCTATGTTTAGAGGATTATAAACATTCCCTGTCAAATAAGAAAATGGATAAATAGTTATAAGAGTAGAGAAATAATTATTAAATGCTCCAAGAACATTGAATATGGTAACAAAAGGAGATGATCCTACACATGTTGTGATTGTTGGAGGAGGGTATCATTATTGACTAAATATATCAGAGTATCTGGTTAGAGTGCAGCTGAGACACTTCGTTAGGCTGGATTCAGAGGAAAGATTACTATTATCACAGCTGAAGATTCATTGCCTTACGATAGAACACCTATGAGCAAGATGACATTTTTGGTTAAATAATAGGGTTTGTAAATAAGACCCAAATAATTTTATGAATAGTATGGAATAGATGTGTTGACCAATACTACAGTTGAATCAATAGATATTAACAATTAAGATGTTGTAGTAGGAAAGGAGAAAATCCATTATGATAAATTATTGTTAGCCACAGGTGGTACTGCTCGTAGACCTCAATTGGATGGAGTCAATTTAGCAAATGTACATACTTTGAGACAATTCAATGATTTATAATCAATAAGAGACAAGGCTAAAACAGCAAAAAATATAGTAGTTGTTGGTGCTTCATTTATTGGTATGGAGACAGCTTCAGCTATTAAAAAGGAATTGAAAGATCAAGTCAATATTACAGTTGTTGATAGCACTACAGTACCATTTGAAAGAGTTCTCGGTAAAGAGGTTGGAGGATCATTATAGAAGTTACACGAAGCTAATGGAGTTGAGTTTGAATTGAATGCTGGAGTCAAAAGAATTGGAGGAGTAGGTTAAGTATAAAGAGTGGATCTACTTAATGGAAAATCTTTATAGGCTGACTTAGTCATTTTGGGAACTGGAATTCAGCCAAATAACAAGTTGGTTAAAGATTAATTAAAAATATCTCCAAATGGTGGTATTGAAACAGATGTGTTCTTGAAAGCTGCCAAGAATGTTTATGCATCAGGAGATATCTCAAGTTATCCATATTGGGTGACTGGAGAACATGTTAGAATTGAACATCAAAATGAAGCTGTAAGATAAGGGTAACATAATTGTTTAATATTAGATATGTTGCTGCTTTGAATATTTTAGGCAGACCAACACCTTTGACAGATGTACCATTCTTTTGGACAAGATAATGGGATAGAACTTTGGCTTATAGTGGAGTTGGCTAAGGATTTGATGAAGTCATTGTGGATGGAGATTTAAGTCAATAGAAGTTTGTTGCTTATTATGCCAGAAAAGGACGTGTTGTAGCATCTGCTAGTATGAACACTCCAAATGTATTGTATATTTAATTAATTTTAGGCTTAAATGATTATTTCAGAGGCATTAAGATTGAATGTTATGCCAAGTGCTGAGGAATTGAAGGAAAAGAAAGTCAGTTTAGATGATATTAAGAAGACTGTCTTAAGTAAAGGATCATCTTGCCATTGCAAACGTGCTGGATAGTGTTAGGCATAATTGTGAGTATGAAGTTAATAAATAAATCCAAATTAATTAAAATAATAATAAAACGTGTTAATGAGACACATTATTCTCATGTTGATCACGCATTGTTTGGCTGCCAATATTGATGTTTAGATCTCATACATAGATGCCCCCTTGATCAACATACATTGGTGTAGTGATACAGTGTTAGCACTCACATCCAAAGGATCTGTATATAGAAGCGATGATCGTGGTAGACAATGGATTAAAATGTCAGAGATATTTCATCGCAA